CAGGTGGTAATATTTGTTTAGGTAACGATTTACATTTAAATTTATGATGAATTACAGAACCGTCATTTACCCGACTACTTGTTTTGATTGTGACGGGCAAGGGCGCGTGTCTAACGTACCTGGACGGCTATTCATCTGTCCAAACCGTAGTTTGGATTCTACATTTAGAGTTACATGACTTTTGAATGCCATATAACTACTATATCGCCTCGTCCAAAATACTTCCTCATCTCGTTTTTTTCCTTTTACTTATCACTATGTTTGCCCTGAAGAGACACTTATGCTAGTGTTTTACACCTGAATTTATGTGCTGTTGTTAAGCGCTAAACCTATCACAACAGCTCTTCTCAAAAAAACTTTATTGTCTGTTATATATTCTATGTTATGTTATGTTATGTTATATATTCTATGCCCCGATATTTTTTAACAGATCAAACCAAAATTTCAGTGGAAGTAGTTGCTACGTACAGAGGAAAGATGAGGCATGTTCTGTATCAATTATCTACATAGACGATCAAACTGTTTTACTTATCTTTACTACCAATAAAAATACATTGCCAACCCCCAGGAATCCAAGATTAACCATTTGGTGCAGTAGGATTAACAATGTTTATTTCCAGCCAACAAGGAACGTGTTGTTTTTACAAGCACAGTCGATGGTATGTGAAACTTCGCAAAATAAATATTAACTCAATAGGGTTGTTAAAAAGAACACTGAAAGGCTCCAAAATAAGCTATAGACCAGCTGTATTTTACAGGATATTGCTTTTGCTGAATTATAATTCGATGATTTGGACGTGACCTTCAGACGCCCTATTAACTCCTCTGTGGGTGAAGTCATCTGTCTTGCGGGAAAACACCCAGTGTCAGACTCATCGCAACTTTACAATAAGCTGGCTGGTGATAAACATTAAAAGTCTTGTTCAAATGGTTTGAAAATTTGGTCTACTTGACGTAGTAATCTATCACTGCTTTGGAAGTTTAGAAGTTTCTTCTTAGGGTTGTTTAATATTCACTCAGAGAAACTAAAGTGGTTTAAATGAGTTTCTAAGAGGAATCCTGCTCGATGTTTATAGATGACTGACTGGGTATTGCCACGACGAACTGATTAGCTATATTCGCCTCACTCGTACAAATGTGATATCCCCTATCTGGATATCCATGGCATCTTTGGATGATAGTCATAAGCTGTAATCCACATGATTGTTTCAAAATGTGGCTGCTTCATCTGAGATCCATTTTACAAGGTTGCAGCGGACTATTTTAATTGGTCTGTTCAAGTCTGTAGTGCACCGATTGTTAGATCTATACATCTATGCAGGTTCAGCCTCTAACGCTATATATGATGCTTTCTGTTAGTTCTAAATCTTTTCGTGAGCCTAACAAAATTATAAAAAAAATTAGTGCGATACTAGTTTTCAGACCGACAGTTACGATACAAGAAACAGAAAAAAAATCGGTCTTCAGTAATAAGGATAGTAAGTTGGTGCACCTGTGGTAATCCTTCAAGATTGTTTTATAATGAAGGTCCAGATCCTCCACGAAAATATCCACTGATGAAGTCGATACCACTTGTTCGAGAAAGAACTTTTAGCTAATAACTACCCGATGAAAAGAACGAAACCCCAATCTCTTTTTATAAAATCGCTATTTCTTTACCTCGTTGTTATAGCTTTGGAGATGATTAGTTCTGGATGGAGCAAAAGGATAGGACATACTAACACCTAAATAGTTATTCAAGATATGGAATCCCAATCTACGGTCACCTCGTTTTCTACGACGCAGTAGGGAGCAGAGGATCGGGAGTTTTAAACGCTCATTGTAAGGGAATTTGGAAAGACCATTCACTAACTGTGTTCCCACATGTTCAACATGCTCAAGCATATTATTATCTTCATCAAAACATGGACTGGCTTCTTGGAAAAAGTACTTTAATTGTCGTCTTACATAGGTGGGATATAAATTTCGAACCGTCTCCTCCTGAAAGTATTCGAATGCTCAGAGAAGCGACTATAACGCCCCAAAACATTCGTCAGCTGTGCAGTAGTTGATGAGTAATGACTTCTTGTCACCCCTAAGTCTTCGTATTCCTGCACTCCTGGAAGTGATTTACCGTCAACGGCATAGTGGTACCTCTTACCGGTTCCTATGGGCATTAGTACACCATTTCTAGGCCACCATTTTGAGACCATCTGAATAATTCGCTTAGGTCATCTTGGAGATCAAGACGATCTGCTTCACTCCCTATTGTCCTCCAGATTTTGACACCGTCTGTAATAAAAGGCATCCACAACTAATGCAGTTTCGGGTATTTATTGACATAAATAATAAGAAGTAGGTCATTCAGGGTGATGACTTGGAGTACGCCACTTTTGGCCGACTTACCATTTATCCTCACATTGTCTTCAGCCATAAAGGAATTTCCTTATCCACTATTGTACAACACCCATTATTCCAAAGCTCAAGAGCTCCTGCATAAACCTCAAGTAGGAAACCTTATCATATGCTTTGCTGAAATCTATGGATATCATATCAAGAGGTAAACCATTAAATTGGTTTTCTGTCCAATCCTCTCTCAGAATTAGTAAGTTGGTTAGCATGATGCCTATCCCGAAACCCATGTTACTCGGGCGTTGACAGATTGTATGATTCTGTGCGGTTTAGTAACATAACCTCTGTGTTGGTTAGACTGGCAAGTCAGTAGTTATACACGATCTCTCTATACTTAAATATAGAGCTATTCATAGCATCCTCCGGACTCCCACGGAGTTGGGTTAACCAAAGTGACATATGATTTGTTCCGAAATAATGTGCGTGAAGAGTGATAGTTATCGTGAACGTAAGTCATCAGGGGCCATTCATTGATTAGGTCTGAGGTTGACGATCAATCGAAGAACAGTTTCCTTAATAATGTGTACAAGTCCCATAGCTGGTAGCGCAGTGATATAGTTATGACAAGTAATGTTGACAATTCTCGCGGAGTAGACGTAACTGAAGTAGTCTGATAATAACTCAGCCTTGGCCAGATTTTATTCGGCTGATATACCTGAGTTTTCGTGCGAAAATAATGAACGAACACCATCAATACTCTTTTTTCGTTCAATATACGACAACAATTATTTTGGGAGGGTGTGGCTATCATGTGCCAACAATCTTTCCTATGTGATGTGACATCTAGTTATGCTATTTACACATATATTTCGTATTTTTCGGTATCCATGCTTTAATGATCAGTGGTCTGTAGGTAAAAACAAGTTGCAGAAGTGTTTTCTACGCCTCAGCAACTTTTGAGTCCCCTTATCGATCCATATGGGCAGTATAATAGCCCAAATTTTGACCATGGGATGAATGGCAAAGTTATAGACTCGGATGTGGCTCCAAACTTATTCCATTCGTCTTCCATCGATCAATCTGCAGTGACCGACCAACCTTTTGAGATGGCACAGACTCTGATTAAGGGAATGCTAGCCCACCAGATAATTAGATGGGGTGAAGCAGGTATGTACTGCACATTATGTGTTCTGAACCTAAAGTACAGTATAACGTGATCACTGGTTGCTAGTGAGGGAAGTATTTAATGTCGTTCTGATCATCATACTGGTGTGTTAAGGCGAAGTCCAAGAAGAACGATTCGTCGCTAATTCAATAAGTGTCAGTTTTTCGTTGCATTATACCATTGAGCATCGAATAATGATTGACAGTCGGCCTCTGTTAAAACATCCACCTGAAGTTGCAAGCTCCATCTGGTTGATCTGCAGCCCACTGAAATCTCCGACGACGAGGCAATTATCGACCTAACTCTGAGAACAGATATTACTGAAGGAAAAGCCGTCAACAAGACAGTGTGGACTACGGATTTTTACTTCTACAGTCACTAACCCACAACCATACAACAAGCTACCTAGTATGTGTCACAATCATGCGCCTCTGATATGCTCGACTGTACGGGAAAGTGATCTCTGAAGTATAGTATTATACCTTTATCCTTACACTTTATAACTATATCATTTCTAATACAGATGTAACGTTCAATGGTTGGACAACAGTCTATATCTACAATGAGCCACTTTTTCGTGACAACAATTATATCGGAACCTAATTAACTATGATGATTAGAAGTATTCAAATTATTGTATGAACTAGGAATCACTGGAACAGTGCAATTTATGCCAAAAACAACTAGGTGAGCACAAGCGAACGAATTGTATTTAGAATTCGAACTCAACCACAAATCAAGTACAAAATAATAATTAGTTCAGACAAACACCACATTCACTTATCGTCAAACCAAACTAGGACATTTTATTTCTAAGACTACAAGCATTCTCGTAGCGTACATTTAAGATGTTTCGAGAACCACTCAATCTGCCCTTACAAATCTCGGAATCATTGACATCCATGACCTGACTACCCAAAAACCGTGGATCTTAAAACTTGTTTCGTCATCTTGCCTTCGAGTTTTAACTCGGTAGAGACATTCTTCCACTTGATTTGATTCTCAAGTGACCAATCTGGTCAGATACTAATACATAGATAGCGAGTTTTGTGTGCGTTATTTTCTATAATGTCCCCTTCTTCGTAACTTCCGAGTACTAACTTCAAGATCATTCTTCATGAAGTTTCATTTCATTCCGCTTTCCGAGTCCTATTACTTCAGTAATACGTACTCCTGAAACTCCTTGTTGTATATTTCTGATAGCAGATCCTACTAACTCCAAATAGTGTTCATGCCCTTGAGTAGGGTCGTTTACTCTTGACTCCTCCAGACTCCAAATAATAAAACCGGTAAGAGATTTGACTTCTTTGAAAACCGTATTCAAAGCTCTCAATTGCGTTGCCATTTCTTGACTATGAACTTATGAAAGCTTTTCTTTAGCTTCTTTTGGATCCGAGCGGTTTGATTTGAGAAAATTACTCATTATAATATACGAGTAGATCAAACTTTCCAACCACAACAGGATTAAGTCTAGTCTTGCTTCGGGACCTTGAGAGAGTATTCTGTGACTTGGATTTTCTGTCTACCACAGACTTAACAACCGAATGGCGTTGCTTGTGGCCACTTTCCAATCCTTGTTTGTTTTTAAAGGCACACATTATTATTATTATTATTGTTATTATTATTAATGGCTTTATAAATATGCACTAAGAAATGTTGAGATAGAAATTGTGTTTTTTGAAGTGACTCGCAGGATTTTAAGACATCAGCAGAATACCTTGACATCCGAACTCTGAAAGACTACGCAAACCGACACACTTTTAACTGACCTCTAGCACTTCAAATGAGGAATGTCCGCGTGAATCTGACTACTCAAGGTTGTTGAAATAAAAGAGGGTTGGATTTAATTGCATGGGATTGAAGTGAGCTTGATAAGTAAGTCTTGTGTTTTCTTGTCTACTTACTTCCACTGCCACGCATATATATTTTGTCACATTTTGATTGTGCTTCGTACTCAAATTTAGGTTTAAAAATGTCTCAGCCGAGATTTACTAGAGTAGTAGATACAGTGGTATCATATCCCTATATGGAGTGTTTTTTCTTACTGCCATTGGAGTAATTGCTTCTGTGAACTTATTGTTCATCTTGTGTTAATGAGGTATGGCAACTTGAACTGATGCATATATGTGTCTGGTTCTACGTTGTAGCTGACTGGCTGACTCAACTATCTACTAGGAAGCTTCATGTTATTAGTGAAATGTATTTATTGTGAAACGTCAAGCATGATGTAATACAAACACCAAAGAGCTTAGATTTCTATTTCATGAAATCTTAGGGCATTCAAATTGAATTTAAAGGATGTAAGACCGCGGATAGATAATTCATTCGTGGCTCAGTTTTTTTTATTTATTTTAACACATAGATATTGGAACAGGGAGGCACCGAATACATATAAGCCACACAAGTCACTTGGTTTGTGAGTAGGCTGTAATACTGCCCGGGTGCCCAAACCGAATCAGGTGGTTTTCTTAGGGGGCCACACCCAGAGCCTTCGACCTGAAGGTCTGATCCACAGGGCAGTGGAGCATCGTAAGGAGATGCAGTCCCATGGAAGCCGGTGACCAACGATTGGTCCACAGGCCATTTGTTACTTCAGGATACTGGAGCCCATGTGCACCACTGGTTTGAAATCAGGGTTTTCCAACTCCCCATAGGTGTGTACAAGATGTGAACTACTGGCTGGTGCATAAATAAATTTTCAATCTTACACTTCCTGAGTCAATCCATACCAGTCTTTTTCTATTTATCTAAGTAGAAAGAAACTAGCGTCCGCAGAATACTTATAATCTACTCGTTTCCATTGTCTTCCGTGTCGAGGTAATTTAATCTATTCAACACTATTGTTTGTTATGAAGCATCTGGTACAGGTATTTTGTCGACTTTCAGTTGTTACATCATAAAGTAAAATTTTGTACCATTTATTAGGACTTGATTGCTACATAGAGTTTTTAGCACCTGTAATCTTTTAAGCTATGTGTGATTACTGATTACTGGTTATTCTTTACAAAAAATATTTTGTAGGTAAATAAACCATTTGTTATGTTTAGGAATCTAAAACTTACTTATCGTGTTTTCATTTTCTCTAAATTGTTCAGATTTCTTTGTTCTATTTTGGATTGATTGGACTCATTTTTATCATGTGTTGTGAACCAGTACATTTTCAGTTACGGTTGTTGACTTCCTAACTACTGTTTACCAAGTATGATAATTGTAATTAACTCTGTTTCTACTCACGTGTTTAGGTTGAGTAATGACAATTTCGTCGATAGTAGAGCATAGTAGCCACATATGTAGCCGATTTCAAGTCACGCCTAATTCATTCAGCTTTAATCGTCAATATACCCAGATCTATTTGGCACGTCTTACTGCAGCCAAGGCAGTGTTGAAAACGTTGGCTGAACAGAGATGGTCAACTTCATCTACAAAATCTGAGGCTTCGCATTTCCCCGTTAGAACATTAGCTGAGCTAAATGGAGATGAAAAATGCATAATAATCGGCACACTTTTCAAGGTACAAGTTTGCTTTCGAAAATTCCTACCATTATTTATTGTGCTTTAGAAGCGTAGATCTTTCATTATAACTTCTCTTGATGTTATTTTTATACAAAGTATTCATTGATTATTTCCATGAGCGATTTGCGGAGCAATCTAATACTGAGCGGAGCAGTAATCAAATACCAGTCAGTTAGTCAGCAACAACGTAGAACTTTGTACGTACGTGCATCAATACCAGTTGCCATACCACATTAGCACAGATGCAGTGGTCGATTCAGATCCCGTAGTGGTAGAGGTAGTCAAAGTATAAGCAATAATCGGGAAAATTAGGGTTTGAAGATGTTACTCAAGGAGTATAATCCAGTGAAACAAATTTGGAAAGAGGAAAAGAGAGACAAGGAGGAATCAGGAGATTAGAACTTGGAAGAACACAAAGAATGGATGCACCTGCGCCATTGCAAACGATTTTGAACCATGTCATTCAGGGTCCCTAACCATCGGTTGCTATCATCTCGCGGTCCCCAACCAGGTAGTCTACACCTACCAATATGACTCAGTCCACTTGTCAGTGACTTCATGGACTTGTGCCATGTTTTGGTCTGGCCGCCCCTAGCTTCCTTCCAACCTACTCCTATACCACTGAACATCGCACGTCGAGGCATTCGGTGGTTGGGCATACATAACACGTGTCCCAGCCATCTCAACTGATGAAGTTTCACTACTTCATCAATCGATTTGCCATCCTTACCTAGTACCCGTTTCCTAACAACTGCTTTACTTACTCGATGGTCCCAGGATATACGAGCAATGTTTCGAAGATACCTATGATCGAATACTAGTAACCTGCTAATATTCTCTACTCTTACCGGCCGCGTTTCATTGCCATAAAGTGGGACGGAACAAACTGCTGCGCAGTAAACACGTCCTTTGGTTGATAGACGGATATCTCGCCTACGCCATAAATGACGCAAGTTGGTAAAAGCTAGTCGAGCCTTCTGTATCCGTGCTGGGGCACCTTGTAATAGCTACACTCTGAACTCCATATCAGTGAATGGAAACAGATAGGGTTTTTTACCTATTTGTCTGGACACTAGGCTAGCAGCTTTATATTTGAAGCTTACAAAATGATTCTATATTTTTCGAACCGAGTAACAATGTAGTGTAGTGAATCGATACGCCGGACCAAAACATGGCACAAGTCCATGAAGTCACTGACAAGTGGACTGAGTCATATTGGTAGGTGTAGACTACCTGGTTGGGGACCGCGAGATGATAGCAACCGATGGTTAGGGACCCTGAATGACATGGTTCAAAATCGTTTGCAATGGCGCAGGTGCATCCATTCTTTGTGTTCTTCCAAGTTCTAATCTCCTGATTCCTCCTTGTCTCTCTTTTCCTCTTTCCAAATTTGTTTCACTGGATTATACTCCTTGAATAACATCTTCAAACCCTAATTTTCCCGATTATTGCTTATACTTTGACTACCTCTACCACTACGGGATCTGAATCGACAACTGCATCCGTGTGCTAATGTGGTATGACAAATCGAACTGATGTATAAACATACGAAGTTCTACGTTGTTACTGACTGACTGATTACAAGGTGCTAAGTCTAGTATTGAAAGTTTTGTGGTTTATTTTTACACGCAGTTTTTAAATTTATGGTTAGTTCTATAATTTCGTTTAGTGATTGTAAACATTGACAAGGAATATCTAACAAACAAGATTTTTTCCCAATAAACTGTTATGTTTATTTCACAGTAAATATTGAAGTACCACTCAAATAATCGTAGATTGTTAGAGGACTTAATGTTATTTCAAATCATTACCGAAACATTTTGTTTTTTCACTCTAGGAAATGCGTTTAAAACCTAGTGTACTACATGATATTGCAGCCGTAGAAATTGAAAATGTTGAATCAGACATTCGCATTTCTTCAACTGATACTCACTCTTTGGTTCATCTCACATCGGACGATGATTTACTTTTTCTTGAAGATGAAGTACAACGTATTGCTTTGAGTTTTTGTAGCCAGATTTCAAAACTTTGGTCTCCAGCTAATCTGGTTACAGGAGTTGTAGTTGCAGCTCTTGGTTACGAGCCTGAATCTCAACCCGGTAATTTCATAATATGCTCTATATTCATGAATACCTCTACTCATTTTTCATGTTCATGTTCATTCTGATGATCGATGTAAACAAGCACAGAATTTAGTCAAGTGATTTTCAGCACTCATCGGATCACAAACTGGTGAGCACTCGACACATCTTCATGATTGTTATTTAACTAAATGTATAAACCGAAGCAAATTCCTAGTTAACATGTGCAAATCAATTTGCACATGTTTTCTAAATTCAACAAATATACTTTATGAGCAAATAAGCTGCGTTTTCGAAGGACGACTCTTAATTCAGCATAGTTTCCATGTTTTAGACATAAATTTTCTTCCAACAATGATAGTCATAAAGTTAAATTAGTACTTTGTTTATTTCTTTATTGTTGCCCTAAGATAAAAAAAAACAGGTTGTGCATTAAGATTCGTAATCGTACATATCCAGGAAGTGTGTTATCAAAATTGAGCTTCATTCCTAGTATAAATATTTCCCTCATGTTAGCGTTTTACGTTGAGCTACAAAAGATGTTCTTCAACTCTTACAGCTTTGATGAGTATCAGCAATACTCAGCTGACATTATGCATAATTTACTTTTATTTAGGTTATTTCATTATTAAACATTTGTAGAAACTAATCATACTCATACTTTACATATTGTAAATAACTATTTTGCGAAGGCGAAAGTATATGTAATTTCTTCAATGAAACAAGTGATTTTGCGTGATTCAGTTTGTTTATGTAGTGTGAATATATTAATTTATAGTGAATTTTATTTTCGAAATACTTCAGAATGCCATGGAACATAAGTGAATGTTCTTCAAATGTGTGTATTATAACTACATTGTTTATAAGTAACTAGAATTTATTTCTTCGCTTGTATTTCACTAATCAATCGTAAACTCTTATTGTTCGACACAATTTTTACCTTTCCGGCCACTATGAACCAATCATTTTTGTACCTGTATGCGTTGAAATTCAACTGTTGTTGTGTTCATTTCTTTGAATTTGAGTTTAACATTTACCGATTATTATTTGTTTTTGGGACTACTTAGTATTTATGCATATTCATCTATAAATATTCCGAGAACCTAAGATAGTCTTTTGATTGAATTGACTTCAGTTGAGTTGTTCCGATAAATCTAACACTCATGTGCATGGAGAACATTTTACTGTTTGTGTTAAATACATCTTTTTATAAAGGAGGGATGGTCGATAAACGAGATGCAATGATACAATATGATTGAGTGATAATTGCTCACGAATCTGAATCATTCCCACAAACTTGTGAATGATGTAAGATCAAAAACACGACCGTCAGCCAAAGTAATGGGTTTTTTTTAGTAAAATGACATGCTTAAATCTCATGAACGGCTGGAGAATATCAGTTTTGAAGTGGGTGTGACTATTAGGCTTAATTCCTGCTTATCGTTTCATTTATTTTTTAAATTTTGAGTGAAGTTTAAGATAATATTTTAGCACGAAGTCTGTTTTTATGGATCAAAGTCCACTAATTCTACTCTTTTGAATAACAGAACATGACATCCTAAATAGAAATGAAAACCGTACCCGGAGAAATTCATTCCTGAAACAATTTCATCCTATGTATAATGAAGTATAAACATCAGTAATGAAGTTCCAAAAATAGTGGCAAAGTTGTAACAGCTGCTAAAAACTCCCTTCACTTACAAAACCGTCAACCCATGTCGCAACAATTGGAAGTCATACATCAGATCATTCGCGAGTTTTGTCTGTGAACGTAATTGTAGCAATACATGCTTTGCGTACATGAGAACTAGATAGCGCTGTGTCTTTCACAGCGTACTCGGGTTTTTAACACTTATTTCGGAAAGTGCTAGAAAAGAGTAACATTTGTGGCATAATAGAATGATGTAAATCTCCTCTCGTCAACAAGCCTTTTTATACACTGTGCTTTTGCCTGTTAGATGAAATGGTCAATAAATATTAGGAATACATCCACGTAACCCTCTTCTTCTCTTGTCATCTCAATAAAAGTAGTAAAAAAGTTCGGACAGCATTAGTGTGAGTGATATAAGAAAAATGTTGGTTGAAAGTTACACTTATATCCATTCAATATTATTAATAATTTACCACCTAAGTCAATTGTTTCTTAATCTTAGGTTGATTGATACCAGTGCTTAGTATCTAATTACAAAACAGTGGATTATTTAGTGGTCGTGTACTATTTACATAGTGTATGGGCTACAAATATTCTGAGATCTGAATTTTTTACCCAGTTACCTATTAAATCTGTAGATGGATTGGAGTTCGATTACATGAGTCCTTAACTGCCTCAAATTTCCCAACGATAACTTCTGTTTTCGGTCCACTGTATTTGTAGCAAGATAATGCAAACATTTCATTTAATACATTTCAATAAAAACAGTTTACTCAGCTTTGTTTTCTTAAGAAATATCAACTCACAGCATAATGTAATTTGATTTCAAAATAATTTAAAATCACTGAAAATACCATTTTTGTTAATAATCACAGGTTCTTTCTACATTGAAGACATGTTATTCTTAGAACCTCAACCTGAAAAACCTATTCATGTTCAAGAAATTTCCCATATTGACGTTAACACAACAGATTTTCGCAACTCTGGACCTTGGGTTGGTGTTGTTAGTGCCTTAGGTTTTGCTGGTAATGGTCAAGTAAAACCGGGACATTCAATAGCTCTTCAACTTCTTGCCGATTGGATACGTTGTGCTGGAGACTTCCATGGTTCATCAGAGTTACACACTGACTCTGGTTTGATACATCTTCTGATTTTGGGTGATTCAATTCAAGCATCAAAATCAAGTATAGATAATGATGGTGATAAGTGCACTCCAGCTGTACGTCTTACACAGCGTGTAAGTTTAAAAAGTCATTTACTTTCATTTGTCATGAAGTACCTTATTTACAAGTCATTCAGGTCGAAATATTTACGAGTTCAAGAATTTTAAAGTGTGGATTACTTTTGAAATAATAACACCAAATTCACTGTACTCATCAGTGAAGACTGATAGTACAGCTAGCTTGGAGTCAGGAATCTTTTATCCTTGTAGCATAAATAACGCAATATATATTCAAATGGTTGGGATTGGATTTTAAAATTAGAAAATCTATATGTATTTATTAAAAAATATGAAACTCACAGAATTCGATATGCACTAGCGCGAAACAGCTGTCTAGTCTTTTTTAGTTTTTAATGGTTGTTCAAAAAATAATCAGTCCATGATGCAAATTATGAACCTTAACTACCTCAATGAATCTGACAAACCTTATGGTAATAATTATCAGATTTCAGAAAATCATAGTTCTTGGGATTTATTTAGGCGGCACTTTTTCCAACTACTCAAGTCTATGAAAGTTCGAAGATAATATAGTTTTTCTGTTAGGTATCTGAAGTGCTCACAAAATAATTCCTTGTAAAACTTTCTATTTAAAGCACTCGCAGATTACTATAATCTTTGTACACGGTTATAGTTTGAAAACATTTTATGTAAATGTATAATGGGGTTGACAAACATTATTTAACCATTGATTTTCGGCATATTGTCCCAGTCACAACATGCTTTTCGTGATGTTTAAAAGTTCTTAGCTGATAAAAGGTGATATGCTAAAAAACCATATCTTTGGTTTTTATGGGTTTTTCCAAGGGATTTTCTTGATGACGATTGCCCATCATCTATTTTCTATTTTCGCTAGTGTAATTACTGCCAGTATGGTAGTACAAGTCACACAGTACTGAATAAATACCGACTAATTTTCCTTGTTTTGGAAATCATAAAGGCATGAAACAAATTGAAATCTAGTCATTTTTGTATGTGTCAGTTTTTGATTAATTGTCTTCCTATTCAGGCTCGCTACTTAACTCGTAATGCCGATGCAGAAACTGTGACCGCTATGGCTCGTTTTGATCAGTGGTTAGCCAGTCTCCCTATAGGATCAGGTTGTAAAGATAATGGCACTGATTTTAATGGTATATCGATAGATTTGTTGCCGGGACCATCTGATCCTACTTCAGTCCTCATGCCACAACAACCGATTCATTCAGCCGCCTTACCTTGTGCCGTTTCTCGTTCTGGTGGTGTTGGCAGTGGAAGTTTATGTGGTCGAACAAATCCTTATAGTTTTATGTTGAGAAATCGAAATATTCTGGCTACTTCTGGTCAGGGTGTAAATGAGTTATATAGGTAAGACTTTCCCGTTCAGTTGTATAACACACTACTATTCATATATACGTGTAGGAAACAATTATTTAATTATCAATGATATTAGTGGTTTTTATTCCACATATTTCCAGAAAATGGCTGGTATAGTCAACCTCCTCATTTAAGCTTGAAATAATTTACGGGTCTGAATTATGGAAGATAATTGTCCAATTGACAGATTTGAAGAAAAAGGACGTCATAATAATAAAAACTGAATAATAATGAAGAAAACTTGTTTAAGGGTAATAATAAATGGATTGCTTTCTCAAGCCGGTCTACCATTCATGGATGTGTTAAAGATGAACTTCCTTTTTGCACCACATCAATGTGCATCTATAAATTTGCTTGCTTATGTGGGACAGGTTACATTGGCCTCACAAAACGATCACTTTCCAAACGCATCTCAGAGCATCCGATATGGCCTTTAAAAGAAGAATGCAAAATAATTACTAGTTCAATGCAGGAGCATTTGTCAACTATGGACACATTGCTCCAAAGGAGTCTTCTTTTAAAATAGTCTACACGTCGAAGGGATTGGATCGAAGGGAGGTCGAATCAAAATCGTATGCATCGCTAAGGCATTGGCAATCCACCAACTCAAGCCCGAACTTTGCGTGCAAAAGCGATACGTTCAACCTCTCATCCTTGTTCGTCCCTAATTCCCTTTTGTAGTTTTTCTCGATTTTTTTCATTTTTTATTTTTATCATTACTATTGATTTTTAAGTAGTGTTTTGTAATCGGTTATTATTATCCTTAAAAAAGTTTTCTTCATTATGATTATTCAGTTTTTATTATTATGACGTTTATGTTTGTCCTTTTTCTTCATATCCGTCAATTGGACAATTATCTTCCATAATTCAGACCCATAAATTATTTCCAGTCTTATATTCTTCTCTTATTCCTAAAGTATTTTGTTAAATAAAGAAGGCTAAAACTTGGAATCAATCTAGGTTTTATACTGTTGCGTGTTATAATAGATTCTTTGGTAGTTATGTATGTTTGTTTCGCTCATTACACTACTGAATTAAAGTGATATAATTATGATTTTGAGTAAAATCATTTCTTCCTACAACTGAAATCTGTGGTTTATTTCGTTGTAATAACAAAACTCTGTTATTTGAGTAAATTTGTTGTTCAGTATATGTACTGATATATTTGTCCAGTCGTTTTCTTTCTTTCTAATATTATCCATCCATAGCCTAGTCCAGTGCAGATTATCAGAATGAACTACTGGTTTATCCAAATTTTTCATAGATCTAATTCACAATGTTTGGAGTGGTTGTAAAGTGAAATGAAATACAAAAAGTATTGAAAGTAGTATGTTTGGGAAATACGACAGGTGATTCGTTGGAAATTGTGTTGAATTTTAAGACAGTTTAACAGAGAGAGATGATGATTTCTATCCATCGGTCTTTGAGCTAGATTCTCATTTAAGTAATGTTAATTCTACAGGTTTTCTCGATTATTTTTAAACCTCCAGGCTAGTTAGTTAAGACTTATGGTTAAGTATAAAATGCTAAATTAAAAAGCTTTGATCTAGTTCTTAACGTAGTGTGTTTTCAATTACCAGACTGTAATTTTTAACTCAGTTTCATGTACCTTGTTTTGGGTTACCATGTATTACCCTCAGCTCATAAAGAAGTGCGGTTAAAAGGAGGCACATGGGCTTGTGCTTGCTTACCAAGTTAACTTAATAGCGTACTGTACTTCATTAAAAACTGACTCACCTGATCACCGAATTAAGCGAATTCTGAACCTAGCTGGTACTTGTGAAACAGTGGTTTAGCGGATAAAACACGTGTTTTTCAACCACAGAGCCACAGGTTGAAAACTAAGCTCACCTACCTTAGTTTGGACAGCTAAGTCAGATCATTAGCCCGCATCCAAAAATTATGACTCAAAGTCAGTTGCATGAAGATGATCTTAGTTATGGAAATTATATAGGTAATTTCAGGATTCGTTTTCCAAAATAGCAAATATTTACACCTCCCAGTCATACTAGTGAACAGAGAAAGTTGTCTTTGTACGTTCGTGTAACTATTACAGTCGTACTTTTCAGTCGAATTTGTACGTTGTCAACTGGTCAATCTTAATTCAGTTTATTTACTTTGACTTATTTGATTTAAAAATCTATCCTCACTATCGTCTCTGCGATTTCGTACAGTTGGTCAAACTTGCCTTCAGAATTAAGGTGAGTACTATTCTTTGATTTAGGTCGAGAATTAGTGTTTGGGATATATATATAATGACTACAGAGCATTTCGAATGCTATTGGGACTAGAGCTACAAATTAAAAAGGCGATTCCGTTCATTGTTTTCTCTTTTGATGCTGCACTTAATACACTCGGTTATCCAAAGTTTAATAATTTTAAAATTGGATACAATTATTGAGTAAATTTAGCAGACATATTTAATGTGTGAGTGATATTTGAAATGCTAAATATCCAATATTTAACAAAGTATATATAGATTACTAACTAACATGCCTTTCTATATAATCACCTAACTTTATCTTTTAAACAAATGAGATTGGTTGATATTATAGTTTTCATGTAAAAACTATGTTGGGACAAAACAATCTAAAGAATTATGCTTTAAGCAATATACTATTGTTATATAACACAGCTCAGAAGACAATTATTAACATCTCAACTAGACTGTTTCTTATATAGTTCGATAGTTAATTGTTTACATTTTTAAACCATGAAATTTGTATTCTGTCATTTACCGCATTAATATTTTTTATTATAAATTTTGTTAGATATACAAAATTAGAGAATGCTTGTGACAGGATGGAAGCTACTTTACTGTGGGGTCACTTAGCTCCTACTTGTCCTGATACTCTTGGAGGGTATCCGATGACCAATGTCGATCCACTTCTTCTCCGTTCATCTTCCACTTCATCTGCTCAAAACTTTAGTCCTGACTATCCTGACATATACATAGCTGGTTGTCAATCTGAAGATCAGCCATCTTGGCGACGTGCTCGCTTAAAGTGGAGTGAGGAGATAGATAAAAATAACTGTGGTTGCTTATTGGTATCCGTACCACGTTTTGATTCGACTTTCTCTTTCGTACTTATCAACTTAAAATCACTTGATTGTCGTGTAGTTCGCTTTGATTCAAGTTTGTTAGATGAAAATTGATGACAAGAGTATAAATATATCATCTTACTTTTGTATGATTGTTAGCACTTTTTAGTAACCTATGTGTGCTACTAACGCAATATTAGTGTGTTTTGCGATGTTAATTCCTTGCGGTCACCTGGATAACTTTCCGATATATGTTGAGAATTTTTTATCAGTAACCAAAACATCCTACTGAGGCAACCTATACTCTTTCGGTGGTTACCAAATATGTCGATTTTTGCACAAACCAAAAATCCCACTTAAAGAGAAGCTGAAAGACTTTGGAATAAATATTGAAAGATAATGTCCTGTCACATGACGACGTACTCAATGATTTGTGGCTGTACGACATCTGATATCAGATTACTCACACTGATATGGTAAGCCAATTAAAAATAGCCAGATGAGAAGGTCAGTCGATGGTAATACGAAGTGGCCTGAAGGACAATTGCACTCCACTGGCTAAGAAGTGGATTGGTTCCCTCGATGGTAGAGTTGCATTTGTATAAATGAGTATTTGTGCATTTAATTCAGTAGCCCAATTTGCCTTCTTGTCCACTCTTGAGTTTTCATCTAACTAGTTGGGGGGGGGGTTAGCTCTTAGAAAGTCCTTAATCCGTTTCAGATTCCCATAAACTAGTACGCCTCATGTAACATTGTTATCTGAAGATAAATTATTACTATATAGGTAGCACCACCTTAGGACTCTTCAAATAATAGCCTAGACTTTAGTGGTCCAGAAATCTTCGCAGGGACCATTTAAGGTGTGGGTAGTAACAGAATGCGCGTTCCGTAAGTGATAATGGGTTACAATCTAGTCAGTAACAAAATGGTTACTAGGACGTATATGTAGATGTTTGCTCTCGAATGGCGAGCACGATAACTGAGGTCGTCCACCACTCGGATGACGTCACCGAAAGGATTAAGTTTGTCGCGCAACAGTGCTTCTCATTACCTTACCGGCAGCGATTAGGGAGATTGACATTTTCTTATTCGTAACAGGCTCTTCTACTTCTCTCTGTCTTTCTTGCGTCTCACGTGTTTTGTCGTACTCGTGTTTATGTTGTGTGCGCTTTAGCGTCTCCATCTCTGTGGGAAATGCGATAATCCGAACTAATTTCATTATATTCTGTTTCGCATTATCTTCCAATCTCCATCTACCAAGAATTAATGGTCTTTCGTCCAATTTCGTTATCATATTGCGAACAAACCGTTTGCAGAGAGTGAATCTTCTCAGTATTTTGGATCAGGTCTGAATAACTCTCTGTGGATGTTTCGCGTAGCTCTCCCGGAAATAAATGGACTAGAACAAGGTTCTCCTCGCCTGAATCCGGCCGGGCATTCTCGTTCTAAAAGTTAGTTCCGCGAAACCACTCATTTGGTTTAATGCTATCATCTAATGGCAATCCACACGAAGAATGTTACTTGGAGTTCTGTTTACTGTTAGCATGTCGCCGTTAGCAGTTCGTGAGTCATTGGTGATCTGTCGCTTTCAATCCTGGTTGCGTTTCCTATGCAATGGAGTACGATTAATGAATCCGTCCATTAAGTGACAAAAGAGATGGGGACACATAATTGTTGCTCCACGCGTTTTCTAATCTTAGCACACAGTACGGCAGTTGTTAATTTCATTCTAGAGATAGTGGTAGGTTTCAGTGGTGCAATCCTGGATTTAGCTAATAGAAGGGAACAGTGAACTTGATGAGAGACATCTTCAAAACGAGTGTACGCCGCAATAGGCATTGGCAAAGTAATGAATTTGAATAGCCAGATTTTGTCGGCTAATATGCTGTAATACTAATTTAGCTGGTATAACATCTAGGGCTATAAACCGAACCGGGTCGAATATAGGAGCTACGTATCACAAAATGACACTACTGGTAGGGGTCGCTTCGGATTCGCGCACTCTAAAGCAGATCGTATCCTTCCAAACATTGCACTTTACTCCTAGAGCCCTTTTGTTTCTTTCCATAGATAAACATGTCTGTGTTTCTCTCTCTGGAGTAGGCTCCATTACATCAAAAGTGCTGCTGGCCCATTCGGTCTGATTAAAGCCATCTAGACGTACAATGTTCTTCAACTGAGAATACATTAATTTAGCTTCTTCTAATGCATCAACACTGGCCAATAAATCTTCAACGTAGAATTGTTCCATTGCTCTCTGTATTATACACTCGGGAAACTTAGCCTTGTTATCTAAGATAGACCTGTGTAGAGCAAACGTAGCGCAGCTTGGTGAGTAGGTTGCTTCAAACGAATCTACTTTCATCCTATAAGTTTCTGGTTCAGTTCTTCTGTCACCTTGTGGTCACTATAAGGGGCATCTAGATCCCGTGGTGGGACAATCACTTGATGAAACATAACCACAGTATCTACCCTGGGACCTATTGCACGCTGCCAAAATCTGGTGAAGACACTTAGCAGATTATTGACTAAATTCGGCCCATAATACAAGCTTTGACTTAGGGATATCCCGGAGTATTGTGCCGTACAGCTTACTAAGCTTTTTCGAATAAAAGATGCGGTGGTGTGGCAAGTACCGAGCCCGACACCTAATGCAGTTCTCTGTAGACTTCTCGGCGTAGGCCCGTTCAACATATAGTGCCATCAAACTACTAAACTTCTTGTGTAATATCTGCTAACGGATAAGCCGGTTTCTCGAAGAATTTAGTCAACTCATTGCTAGTTTTCTATTATTAGGTAGGCTAAACACAAGACAACTGCGAAAATAGATGTTCAGTATTTAACGCAAGGAAAACCCCAATTATGGAAAAGGCGGGAAGAAGGAACTGATATAATTTGGGTTGATCGGATGGCATGGCTTGGTCTTGCAGGCATGGCCTCTGTTGGATGTTACTTTATATCTTTTATTCATATTAAATATATTGTCCTATCTCTAGTTTTAGCTTGTTCTCCATCAAGTGTTGGTGTTTGTTATGATGCAATGAGTTGGTGTAGATGTTGCAACATCTACATCATGATGTGACTTCCACGTAAGATCTTAGAGATTACGCAGTTGTATCATGAAAAATCTACAATTTTAGGATCAGCCTATTATTCGAGAAGTACTAATAATGAAGCAGACCGTAATCTCACAGGGTAAATTCCTACGTGACGCAGGTAAGGAGGGAACTTCTAGATAGACTTCTTTACAACAAAATGTAAACTGTATCCAGCGTTTTTAATAAAAGTGTCTTGAGCTCTCCCTTTAAAACCAGACTTCTAGCTAAATCCTCTGTAATAATTGAAGCGTCTGTGCTGATGTCTATGAAAGAGCAAGTTTGTACTGCCCTTTCTCTCTATTTTTCCACCAATACACGTACTATTTCAAATGGTACTTGTCTTTGTACACACTTAGCAATTTCCTCCATACGGAGTTAGGTATTGGTGTGGATATTACTATTATTATTTTTTTTTCCTATATAACAAGAACTGGTGTCTCCAGTCATATCCTTCTATGGTACATTGCCTCGGTGCGTGGCAGCCTCTTGCTATGTGGTTCAAATTCAGACAGATAATTCACAACTTCCTTAGTATAAACTCTATCCTTTCATTAATGCTGTTATCTCCAGACCTTCCTTATTGGTCTAAGGGATGGTTTTCGGTACATAGTAAACATGACAATCCAAGAATGTTTCGTCCTATGTGTTAGTGTATTAGGGGTTTCAAAAACATGCTCTCGATATCATTTGTAGAATTCAGACCGGATACACGTCTCATCCACCTGCGTCCCACGAGAAAGTCTTCTTAAATTATCTGGATTATTCCCAAATACCAGTAATAATCAGCATCTTATCAATAAATGTACGAGCTACGATATAATTCTGATTGAACGTTTACTCGAGTAGCACTTACTCCTTACGATAGCTGTCTTCTGGTTCGGGCAAGGCATAATGAACAATTGTAGCCGTGGCTTTATCATCACATTACTGAATCAGATATTTTTTAATGTAAATCAGCATCTAACACATTGGTCGAAACAGTCTTCAAATTTCCGTATGAAATTCCAAGTTGCAAATGAGGAGACTTAAGACGAGTGAGAACAAATGCTGTTCTCAACAGTGTCAAACATAGTACAAAACTTTCAGATATTTGTAGTTTTTAGCAAAAACGAAATCATCATTTTAGTTATCCAATCCGCATACAGGGGGTTTTACCATTTGTCAAATAAGGGAGCTACACGTAGAGATTTGGGAATATTCTTCCTAAAGATGATTGGATGGAATAGCTTCGGGTCTTTCTGAAATTCTTAGAGCCTACTCGACTTCATCCAACGTCTGTTTTCACAACATATTTGTTGTCCAGTCTTTTCCAGGAGGAACTGAGCATGTGGCAGATATAAACTCGTATGACATCACCTTTTCAGCCACAGCCTGACTATAATGTTCTCTAACGCCTTGATATAACCTCCCAAGCTTTATTTCTCTTTCTGTCTGAGCTAAGCGTGCTTTAGCTCATTACAACTCCAACAAAGGTTCAATTCCTTATCCGTCTCCTACAAACCGCACATCAGTTTGAGTTTCTGGATAGTGGGGAGACAATCCAGGAATCTGATTAGTCTTATGGTTTTCCTTCACAGACACTTAACAGCATTCAACTAACGTATTTCTGATGGGTCGCTGGTCGAAACTTTGTAGAATTTAATATACTCTACAGATATCTTACCAGTACTGTGAATACAATACTGACGACTCAGAGTCTATGTGAAAGTCATAGTCAGAACAAAAACAACTTAGCTTTAAATGTTATCTCTTTGTAAACGTAAAAACACCCCGATTAGTACAGTAATTAAAGGAATTATGGTCACCAAGTGGATTACACAAACATACCGAGCAGTGTTGCGTGTCTTATTGAAATCAACGGAAAAATATGAGTCGCAGTCAAACTAATATGATAAGATAATAATATCTCTCAGTTGGCAAGTCACATGCAACAGGGGTATTTTACGGACATGTCAGAAAAGGTTGACGTGATATGCGTTTAGGCAGCGATTTTATTGGCTATATCTATCGGATAATCTAAATTTCGGAAAGTAATGCGGGCGAGTTTAAATAATTTGCTGGATGGCTTAACATGTTAGTGGTGCTCCTTAACATACACGTTTTTTCGCTTAGACTAGCCGTATATATTTCTTATGAACCACTCTCCAAACGGTTTTCAGTACAAGATATATTTAGCGGCTTCAAGTGACATACAACTATGAGTGTGTCGTTTTCAGGGAAGCCATATTAAGCTGAACATTATTTGTCACATCCTGGTTCTGGTCATCATTGCTACATAGTCATGATGGTCGCAACCTCCAATTTGTACCTAATTTTGCCAATATATTTCTATAGCAGCGTCCTTTGTGTTACACGGTTTTCAAAGCGGCCGTTGTACCTTGATACGACGAAGGGGTAATCCACGTTTGGTGCTTACTGCGAGGTATGACTTCAAAGCTAGTTAGTTCGTCACATCTTTCCCTTCTAACTCGAGTAGGCCCCCAACCATCCGACATACATAATCGGTGTTGGTGATCTACATTCACATAATTATCACTTATTACGTATTGAAAGAATTTTCTCACCATTCATATGCATCAGTAGTTTAAATAATTCCTATCGTAGTTAAGCAATAGTGAGGTCGAGATCTCACAGTAAATAAATAGTCCGTATTAAACTCAACAAACTAACGGAAACACTAGCTGAAATTCTTCCTATGCACATTATGCTTTTAGTTCAGTCGGCGTACTGATGAAAATGCAATTGTAAATCAACTCATATGGATAGGATATCGACATGAACATTAAATGACTTTCTAATTTAAACCAAAGACAACACCAATATCAACACTTCTACAATATTGATTGCTTTTCGATCTCTCAGTACAAAGTACACATACTGTCTTTAAGTTAAGCTATTAATCAACGGCTGCTACAACGCATTTCTATAACACTGTTATCTGAGAATATATTGTTATTATAAATATAGGATGAGGTGTTTCGAGATGCTAATTACTTTATCTTAAATAATCTATAAACAGTTTTATTGTCCTTTTTCCGTTATCAGTGTAGGGATTTAGTTAGTGGAGTTGGTTATGGAGAGTTGCTGTGAAACTGCTGAGCTTAAATTGCCGTACATTCCGTGGTCATGTCAGTAATTGGTCAATCCATTCTATTCACCCATGGCCTTAATAAAGTTTGGCAAACCACTAGACATCCAACGGTTATTTAATGACATTTATAAGTTCACCTAGACTAGTTATTTGGGTGGGATTTAGTGATATTTCACTAATCTTTCATTACTCTCATGTCAAAATCATTTTATTACTACATAATTTCAAGTAAATTGAGCATTGGGTAGAAAACCAATGACAAATATATTTTTTGTGATATCCCAACGAGCAAAAAATTATTTTTGACATTTTTTCACTCAATGCAAGTGCATTGATGAATAGTTTAAATGTTTAAATGATTTGGCCTTGCCCTTCACTGGCTTTCTGTCAGCCGTAATCACTGTTCCAAACAGAATCTAGAGGAAAATTTCTGATTTTGCGATGTAACAAGAGAAGTCGATGAGATGTCACTCTCAATTCGTGTGCAAGCCACCAAAGTCAGCGTTTTTAGATGGTAATGACAATTTATTTTTGTCACCGCTCGGGAACACGTACTACCAAAATCTATCGCCCCTAAAATAGTACTGTCACTGAATATCAGCGATCCTTTAGAAACAACGATAACAAGTACTGAGAGTCTCTGAACATCATTGCCTCGGATGCGCTAGGTTTCAAATGGAAGGAAAACTCTTCTACAGCAGAAAATTTTAGGGAATGTCTCCAACTTACAAACCATAACTCATCTAGGACAAAGTGACACAACGATGTTGACCTGGAATTAATGTGACGGTGTCTTGAAATTTGACACGGCATGGAGATATAATCGATTCATGGACAATGAGGGTGTAAACGAGCCTTCTCTCACCGAGCAAGGATTTCACAGGTTTTAAATATTATCCAAATTACGACAGAGATCAGTGGTTTGAATGCAGTGAGAAACAGAGTGATCGAGCCGTAGTTACTGTATAAAATTTATTGGTAATTATTTTGTTCTGTAATTCAGTGTTTTATTGAGTGACATTTTTCACTCATTATTCTTCCGTCCTGTCTTGTATTTTAACCTTATACTTTGACCTTCGTTATGAAGTTTTGTTGCCTCATGACGCTACGCAGTTGATAATAAGGTCGTGTTTGACCAGACTCGTGGTTGCTGAATGATTCTGTTAACCATTGCTGACCTTTGACTGCCTGCTGAATACTGTTACCATGATCCTTGCAGCTTGATATCAGATCCTATCCTGTTGGGAATACTCATGTTAATCTTCAGGTGCTAAACTCCCATTTACCAACCACACTTTTGTTTAGTATTTCGTCTTGTACCAGGCTGTACAATCTGTATCGTCCAGAGTATTTTGTAACTTCGATAAAATTTGTTTTCCTCGTTAGATGAAAACCGAATAAATTAAGCATATATTTTGCGTGCTGAAATAATTTAATGCGAGTGATTCAAAAAGGCCTTGTACTCTACATAGAACAAAATATTTTGGTTGAGCCTAATAAACTTTGGTGTGTTGGTCCCCTGGGTTCTGACTAAGTACTGGAAATTAGGTTGTCACACTGCGACTCCTAAACCTTTCCGAATAAGTCAGTTATCTCGATGCCTTTTTTAGAATACCATCAATGTAGGTTAATGATCTGCAGTGGTTTAGAGGTTTAGGTTTTTCGAGGCTACAACCTAGGTTGATGGCTCATTTACCACTGATCAAAGATATTGTTTAAGGTTCCTGGGTTATAAGTATGTGTAATTCCTTTATATCCCCAGTCGGTAGACATCGTTTATGTCTGTGGTAATAGACGAGGCTATATGTGCGCACATCAAATAAATCAGAGGTCAAACATCCAATAAAGTGAAGCAGTGGATTTATCATTTGTAGCACTCATAACGATATTATTATTGGATAGCTTGATACTTTCACACACTGTCCGTGATATATCTACATTTCCTCTGTTTCCTTCTAGATTGGCATCACGTTTTGCACGATGAGGCACATGAATGAAATGGAATGGCCAAAACGCTGCACTGTAAAACTGTTTTTTCTACCAAATATTTTACAAGATCAGTATTTCGGAGTAATTCATAATTTTATTGGAGTCATTCCTTCACTAGCTTTGGTTTAGGAATAGCCCAAGTGGCCATACTATATTGTTACTCTCTATCTTGGTCCACGCCAACCTTAGTGGACAGGTTAATTTACTTCTTTAGTATACTTAGTGGACATAAAAATTCTTTCTAGATGGATTTGTATTTAAATGAAATGATAATAAAAAGGTAGTGATATTTATTAAGATCATAAAATAAGTAGTGTCAGACCACTTGTTAAACTCTTATCACGAGTGACAGTGAGTAGTGTAACTAAGAAGACTATAGTTACCAGACACTACGAAATTGAACTCTATTCGAACAGGTCTCACAAAAACCTGCATATTAATCCTATCAGAAGTATAACTCCGAACACAATACCAAGACGTCCACATAGACAAATATACAATTTTGGGATTTGATGTATTGTCGTGGTAACAAAGATAAATGTACTAGTACCGCATTGCACCATAATGCCACAAGTGTTCAAAATGAATTTTATGTCAAGGCTGGATGGAAAGTATTGCACAGTACTCGGGATTAAACCATAGAAAATGTGATTACAGTGTCTTTGATTACTGTCGCTGACTCTAAACATGACGCATAATAAAATGAGTAACTTTTGACACCTCAGCTAAACAGTATTCCGTTACATCCGGAATTTCTGTCTTTGAGGTAGTCTTTAACAAGTTATACACCACAGAGCAAATAATAGTGTGGCGTACAGTGTCTTAAATCTGATACTGATACATGGTGTGCTGCGCGCTAACCTACTAGCTGACTACTTTAGCGATGAAGTGTATTGGACTGCCGAATGAAGTGTACAAATGCCCATTCATATATATACCACTATACCTTGGGAAATAGACCCATTAACCTGATGAAATGTACCTGAATTTCGGACCATCTCTGATTGTCATCGATTAAACTTTTCACTAAACTACTTCCGATTTTCCATATCGATACTCACACGGGGTCAGCTTTAATCACTACAGGTTCTTCGTGTCTGAAACGCTCTTCTAGTAACCTTGGCAGCATTCACTTCCATGACCAGTTTTAGAAGTACGACAGTTCTGTAGAAACTAACAGTATCCTATCTATCACACGTAGCAGAATTAAGGTTACACATAAAAACCGGATACGACATTTTTATAATCATTAAACTTCTCAATCTATCCAGTGAGATCGACACCATCATCGTTTATTATTATCCATGACACCTTACATACCCTTTCTTACCCCTTACATCTACCTTTTATTTTCTTTGTTGATATATTCTTCTTCTTTCTAACTATGAACTTGTTTATGCATTTTAGTTATTTATATACCTTGAACTTGTACCTTTCTCAACTTCTTTTTATTCCAGTTTTGAAACATTTCGTATTACAGCCAACTTGCAACGTAGCGTCAACTGATAGTAACTGTTAAGCTTTTGTGGGGAAAACGAGCTTATCTGTGTTTAGGAAGTACTAACCTTTGAATAACTGTCGGATCCAGTGGAACTAATTTAACCAAGTTGCCCAATTATCCTCATCGAATGATAACAAGGACTTGGAACCTCGCCACAAGGTCGAGTAGCAAAAATTAGGAATTCGGCTGGTTTCAATTAGCTCTACACAAAGGTAGTGGATACTGGAAGAAAATCCCAGGAATTGGCTTTATTCGAGTACGATGTCGGGTTACTTTTCTACGCGCCATGTGTAAAAGTGTTCGCTTCTTTCTTTGCTGGAAGTATTAGTTGTTTACTGTCTATGATCAGGAGTAATTATAATGTTAAATGTATGCCATCCTTATGTCTTTACGTACTTTTGTGAGTCTGAGTGTTTTCGTCTCATCTAATCATTTCGTTCTCTTGTGGTACCGCTTAACCTATTTGTGTAACTGCATAATGTACTTGTAATTTATGAGGCATAAAAAACCTAGTTTCCACGTTCTCAATCGGTGGATTTTACATAGTAATATAATAATAAGTTCTGTGTCTAGAGACAAATCATTCCGGAAAATCTTTTTCATTCTGTTGACATCACTAAAATATTTTCAAGTCATGGGGAATGGACGAGAAACGGTAAATACTTAGCGGATACCCAATGTTTATTTTATGGATTGTTTCTAACTACTTTGGCTTTTGAGTACCAGGTAAATAGCTTCGCTCCCACGTCCTGACCATTCGTAAAGGTTTGATTCGTGAACCTAATATTGCGGTATAAACCGTAATAAACATCCAAAGTCTTATATGGAATACGATGGGGTAATTTACATCCGCTACTTCGCTGAAAACTATGAAAACTTCGAAGTGACTTTGATGTTGAAATTTTTCATCATAAACTGTAACAGAACCAAGCTTTTGTTCCACGTATCAGTCACCAATAATTTTTACTTAGAATGTCGTTAACTTCGTACACAATCGGTCTTTTTCAGCAAGTTAGGAATTTCGGACTCGTTTCTGTTACTATTACTCAGTAAATACACAAACCTTTGTAAATATAGCTATTCGCTCTTAAGCAGTATCTAATTAGGTTTCTTATCTCGTTAAGTTATGCTGATATATACACATATTCTTGTACCATAACTGTAATTAAATTCCTAGTAAACACATTCAAATGAATTTTCAAAGCATCTGGTAACAAAGTTTAGGTGGTTTCACTAGTGCATTCGATAGAGCCAAACTTTAAGGATGAGCTTCAGCGACACTAAGTCTATTTATTTATTTATCTGAACACAAAGCAATGAGAATTTGAGGAGAAAAAAGGAAGGTAAGGAGTGTAAAAGAAAAAAAGGATAACGGCCAGATTAGTGTAAGATAGTGTAATAATAATAGTAATAATGGGGGAAGTCAATAGCTTGGATGCAATTGGAAGTAGACTTATCCCCCGATAGTTGTTACAGGAACGACGTGAACCCTTTTTAAAGATAGGGACAACTATCGACTCATTATATGACGTTGGTGCACTCTCTAGTTCCCAGACCTTTGTAAACAACACAGTTTCTTAGCCAGAAAGTCACCACCATCTTTAAAAAGAGCGGGAGGTAAGTCATCTGGACCTGGTAATTTGTAGCGCTTCAAGAGTTGGAGTTTTTTGCTGGCTTCCACCTCATTTGGTGGATCAGTCTTCACCGGCCATGGAGGGCAGGACAGTCTGACTGATGCCGTCGCAGAAGACCAGTTGAACTGCCCTTCGGAGGATTCTGCTCATCGTCCAAGACGTCGATGGATGTTAGTGATTGGCATCCCGTCATCCTCACAGATTGTTTCGCTCACACCAGACTTCTTGCTGCCAGTGGCTCGGATGAGTTGGAAGAGCTTCCGGTGGTTACCAGATGCAGCTGCTGCTTCCAGCTCATTAGCACACCCCAACCACCAGGCTTATCGGTCCTTACGCAAGCTTTGCCCGATTTCATTACGTAACAGCCTTCGTTTGTGGTCAAACTCACAGTAACCCGGAGATCGACAGGCTTCGATGAGTTGTAAGGGGCCTGAAGAAACCCAGTGCTTATAAGCGGGACGTTTCGCGAAGGCAGGTGGTAGAATTCATCGTTGATTGCATCCGGACTGGGATCTGTCAAGGCATAGGCGGAGATGACGAAAAGACATCGTTCCTCACGCCGATTTCTTCTCACTTTGATGGAACTTTCTAATTTAACAGCACATAACAGACTGTTAATGGGGATCCAATCGATTAGTGCTTCCTCAGCTCTAGCGCTTAGTGCGACACAAACGCCAGCAAGACCAGACGAATATGCCATAGGGTCCCCGGATAAACGCACGTAAAACAAGCTTATTGAAACGACAGATGGAGAGCGAATTTATAGTACTTCACCAGAGTCTTGAATACGGGTCTCGGATAGACAACAAACGTCGATATTAAGACTTTCCAAAGACATAGCCAGCCCTATCTGTTGTCCGACTTGCATAAGTGTGCGAACGTTGAAGGCAGCCAGTTTGAATGGTGCACGTAGTTTCAGAAAAACTTTCAGTATTCGTATTTGGTGGTAGCATACAATTTTCAATCAGTCAGTGGCTCGAGAACGTTTAGATAGAACCGAGTTTCCACCATAGGCGAGCTGCTGTATAAGTCGAAAAATAAGGATACATAAAGTGATAATAAAAGAGAGTGAATAAATGACGCAATAAATAAAAATAATGTGAATCGTTTGATTTTTAATCGAAGCAAGACAAGTATTTTCCATAAATATCGACATTTTCCTTTTATTTGTGTGTGGGCTGTAATACTACCCGGGTTCCCAGACCGAACCAGGTGGTTTTCTTAGGGGGCCACACCCCGAGCCTTTGACTTAAAGGTCTGACCCACAAGGCAGTGGAGCATCGTAAGGAGATGCAGTCCCATGGTAGCCGGTGACCAACGATTGGTTCATAGGCCATTTGTTCCCGCAGGATACTGGAGCCCGTGTGCAAGATTGGTTTGGGATCCGGTTAAAGCGCTGTACATTCGCTTTTCGTCCTCTCATTTTCGTAAAGAAAACCCCCGCCACGAGAAGGCAGTGAATATGACTTCCCTGGCAGAGGCTGTATACGCGTGGCCGTGTGAGAGCATTTCGAGAGGGAGGGTGGGCACTCTCCACTCTCGGCCATACCAGGGCATTTGGGGACACTAAGTAGTTCTTGACTACATTCAGCTGGTAAAAATATGAAGGAATGATTCAGAAACTCAGAATTAGGATTTACAGTTAGGATCATGGTTCTACGATTCATAATTTGAGGTCATAACTAGGGTCGGCATTGCGTGTGTTGCGGATTTAAGAATATCATTTACTGTTAGAGTGTACGAAACCTAGGGTTACATTTGAGATTAAGGCAGTAGGAATGTGCTTAATGGACAGAGCAATGAGGATAAAAATGATGAGTTTCTTTCATGAATTTCAGAGCACTGTGACGGGTAGTTTGTACTTCATCAAGAGCTCAGTTAAAATTGCTGATATTTAGTTCTTAAGATATTTAATATTAGTAAATATATATACTGCAAAAGTGTACGGTGAATGTAACAATGTGTGAGTTGAACTGCAATAAACATGTGCTGTTCATCAAGATTTTGTCCGAAACGCTTATTATTGGTTGAAGGTACTCGGTATTACTCGGAGAATTATCTAGGGTGTTTATGAGATCTCATAGTGATCCGTGCATCACAACCTAACCGGTGCAGAAAAATAATTAAGCATTAGTTGATTGTAAGTGATATAATCATCGGGTCACCGTTCGTATGCGCTATCTTGTCGGTCCTAATAACGTGTTGATATTAATGCTTAATCAGTGCAGTTACGATTAAAGAACCGCATATAGCCTTACAAAGGTTCTAAAGGTAAAATGAACTCAAGTAATATGGACGACATTCCGTATCACACTAAAGTTGATTTTCATACCTACGAGCTGATTACGGACTCCAACAAATTCATTAATCATGCGCAAACCGTATATACATTTTAATTTTCTGGGTTTTTAATAAATTATTGATTTGTATCACGTATCGTTGTTGGCCAAAAGGTCGCTGAGGGTCGTCCATAAAGTATAGTTCCACTAGTCGAGGCCATAACTAAATATTAGTCTCAACCTTAAGGTTACGTATCTAAAAATGTTTTTGTTATCAAAAACTATTATTTATGTTTGATAGACATTTTGTTCCAATATATGCACCGTGAACTTTGATTGACTTGCTCGTTCCAGATTGACTCTCCCTAACAGTTCAACTTTGGTCTTTGTCAACTTCGTGAAGAAACGCTTGTATCCACATTTGTAGGTTGGTACAGATTGAGAATATTGATTTGGAGTTGGGACCCCACACTCGTTTCATAGGTTTCACCACCTTAAAGAACGTAGGCTATATCATGGTCACCTAAGTCGATGTTACTTGACAGCTTTATCAACTGACTAGGATTTCTAACCTGGCGCCTTACATTTGACCTCACCTCTAAGTCCGTAGTGTTATTTGTTTTTAATTCGCCTCTTAGGAGTCTCGACAATTACATAGTATTACTTTTGTGACCTCCCTTTCGTACAAGTTTTGCTTTTGATGTTTACCACTAAGGATTATCGCACATATATTTTTATGACTACATATGGGAATAATTACAGGAACCTGACTATTGTTATATTTTTCGGTTTGAAAGCCGCATTTTGCCTTGTTGGTTGATGAGTTTTATGGTAGTGGGTCATCAGGTGTACTGAAGTTCTAAATACTTTTCACTTGAATATGTATATATATATATATATATATATATATATATAAACTCTCAGGCCCTTCTTTATCACAGAATATCTTCGTAAGTTGAATAATAATTGACTGGTAGTCAATAAACTATTTTCTTGTTCTATTCAGTGTCCGGTTATTGCCCTATGTATGTATGTATTTTTCCCTAAAGTAAATTTGTCGAAATACTTTATGCAAAGTGAATCTTAAAAAAGTGAGGTTTTACATTATCAATCCAGGAGATTGGATCGATGGGCAGAACACTTTAGGGATCAGTTCAACTGGCCTTCAGCCACACTCCGGTTTTCCACGATCTCCAGTCAACCTGAATGGAAAGTTAATGTAGGTCCTCCGCCTCCTTACAAATTTGAAAAAGCCATAGGAAATCTGAAGCGAGGGAGAGCAGCAGGCCCTGACACGTTTACTCCTGAGATTTTTAAGGATGGTGGTTCAGTATTAGCAGCAAGATTAACTGAGGTCTTAGGTAGAATTTGGGAACTGGACGTAATCCCTTCTGACTGGTCTCAATCACTGATAGTGCCAGTTTTTAAGAAAGGACAAAAGTCCTCTTGTGACAATCACAGAGGAATCAGTTTGACAAATATAGTGTCTAAAATATTAGCTTCAATAATACTTCGACGCCTAAACAAAGCTCGTGAAAAGCTAGTTTTCGACCTGGACGTGGTTGTATAAACCAGATATTCACACTACGTCAGGTCCTAGAACATAGGCGCACATTCAGACGCCCCACAATCGTAGTATTTCACGACCTTAGGGTGGCATTTGACACTGTTAATCGTGAGGTTCTACGGCAGTGTTTGTCATTGGAAGGAGTACCAAAGAAGTACATTAACTTTATAAAGACTCTCTACTCGAACACAACTGGTCGAGTGAGAGCTTATGGTGAACTGTCATCAGAATTGATTACCTCAAGTGGTGTTCGTCAGGGCTGCCCACTCTCTCCATTCTTGTTTAACTTTGTCATTGACGTACTTTTAGAGATAACACATCCCTCATCTAAATTTCCAGGGGTTGAATTTCTACCGAGAGATCCACTTGTTGACTTGGAATATGCTGATGACAGTTCTATTTGGTGAAGTGGCTGACAAAACACAGAGTCTTCTGACCACTCTAATCAACAATGCAAGCATGTTCGGGATGCGATTCTCTCCCTCGAAATGCAAAATGTTACTTCAGGATTGGGTTGCATTGACACCCGAACTAATGATAGGGAGTGAAGCAGTTGAGCGTGTCGACCGCTTCACTTATCTTGGAAGTCTCATCAGCCCTTGTGATCTGGTGTGTGACGAAATCTCAGCACGGATACAGAAGGCTCGACTAGCTTTTGCCAACTTGCGTCATTTATGGCGTAGGCGAGATATCCGTCTATCAACCAAAGGACGTGTTTACTGCACAGCAGTTCGTTCCGTCCTACTTTATGGCAGTGAAACGCGGCCGGTAAGAGTAGAGGATAGTCGTGGGTTACTAGTATTTGATCATAGGTGTCTTCGAAACATTGCTCGTATATCCTGGGACCATCGAGTAAGTAACACAGTTGTTAGGAAACGGGTACTAGGTAAGGATGGCAAATCAATTGATGACGTAGTGAAACTTCATCAGTTGAGATGGCTGGGACACGTGTTACGTATGCCCAACCACCGAATGCCTCGATGTGCGATGTTTTATGGTGTAGGAGTAGGTTGGAAGGAAGCTAGGGGCGGCCAGACCAAAACATGGCACAAATCCATGAAGTCACTGACAAGTGGACTGAGTCATATTGGTAGGTGTAGACTACCTGGTTTGGGACTGCGAGATGATAGCAACCCATGGTTAGAGACCCTGAATGACATGGTTCAAAATCGTTTGCAATGGCGCAGGTGCATCCATTCTTTGTGTTCTTCCAAGTTCTAATCTCCTGATTCCTCCTTGTCTCTCTTTTCCTCTTTCCAAATTTGTTTCACTGGATTATACTCCTTGAATAACATCTTCAAACCCTAATTTTCCCGATTATTGCTTATACTTTGACTACCTCTACCACTACGGGATCTGAATCGACCACTGCATCTGTGCTAATGTGGTATGGCAACTGGTATTGATGCACGTACGTACGAAGTTCTACGTTGTTATTGAGTGACTGACTACCGTGCTGTTTACAATTTTTAGTGTGGTAACGTCTGTATATGGTCACTGATATATTAATTCTTCGAGCATCTTTATCATTGTTTTGAAGAGTAGTTTTGGTCATTTATTATAATTGGTGTTCTGTGAAATGCTTTAGGTAGAGAAAGTCGATCATTTGTATTGGTTAACAACTTAATGCATGTGTGATTGTTGAGATAAAGTAATGTATATGGCTGACTAGTTGGCCTCAATCTGTGTCGTTGGCCGAAGTATAGGTAATAGTAAACAAGTTTTTATTATCGCATCAGTTTACGAAGTCAATGGTTGTTACTGGGAGTTCTTTCTTACCAATCCAGTTAGTGTAGAAGTTTAAATCAAATATATTAGAATTTCTCAATTTTGTAAACATGTTTTCCAAAATATCCAAACTCTCAGTCAGTCAGTCAGTAACAACGTAGAACTTCGTACGTACGTACATCAGTTCGAGTTGCCACACCACATTAGCACAGAGATGCAGTGGTCGATTCAAATCCCGTAGTGGTAGAGGTAGCAAGAGTATAAGCAGTAATCGGGAAGATTAGGGTTTGGAGATGTTATTTAAAGAGTATAATCCAGTGAAAGAAATTTGGAAAGAGGGAAAAAGGGACATGAAGAATTCAGAAGATTAGTTTGGGAGAACACAGAGAGTGGATGCACCTGCGCCATTGCCAACGATTTTGAGCCATGTCATTCAGGGTCTCTAACCATCGGTTGCTGTCATCTCGCGGTCCCCAACCAGGTAGTCTACACCTACCAACATGACTCAGTTCACTTGTCAGTGACTTCATGGACTTGTGCCATGTTTTGGTTTGGCCGCCCCTAGCTTTCTTCCAACCTACTCCTATACCACTGAACATAGCACGTCGAGGCAGTCGGTCGTTGGGCATACGTAACACGTGTCCCAGCCATCTCAACTGATGAAGTTTCACTACTTCATCAATTGATTTGCCATCCTTACCTAGTACCCGCTTCCTAACAACTGTGTTACTTACTCGATGGTCCCATGATATACGAGCAATGTTTCGAAGACACCTATGATCGAATACTAGTAACCTACGAATATCATCTACTCTTACCGGCCATGTTTCACTGCCATAAAGTAGGACGGAACGAACTGCTGCGCAGTAAACACGTCCTTTGGTTGATAGACGGATATCTCGCCTACGCCATAAATGACGCAAGTTGGCAAAAGCTAGTCGAGCCTTCTGTATCCGTGCTGAGATTTCGTCACACACCAAACCACAAGGGCTGATGAGACTTCCAAGATAAGTGAAGCGGTCGACACACTCAACTACTTCACTCCCTATCACTAGTTCGGGTGTCGATGTAACCCAATCCTGAAGCAACATTTTGCATTTCGAGGGAGAGAATCGCATCCCGAACATGCTTGCATTGTTGCTTAGAGTGGTCAGAAGACTCTGCATTTTGTCAGCGTCTTCACCAAATAAAACTATGTCATCTGCATATTCTAAGTCAACAAGTGAACCTCCTGGTAGAAGTTCAACCCCTGTAAATTTAGATGAGGAGAGTGTTATCTCTAAAAGTACGTCAATGACAAAGTTGAACAAGAATGGGGAGAGTGGACAGCCCTGACGAACACCACTTGAGGTGATCAATTCTGATGACAGTTCGCCATAAGCTCTCACTCTACCAGTTGTGTTCGAGTAGAGAGCCTTTATAAGGTTAATGTACTTCTTTGGTACTCCTTTCAGTGACAAACACTGCCATAGAACCTCACGATCAACGGAGTCGAATGCCGCCTTAAGGTCGAGAAATACTACCATTGTGGGGCGTCTCTCTATTCATTCAGTTTTAGTTTATGGTCGCCTGGTTTTAATGGAGTGCGATTTATTGTCGTTTTAGTGTTTGATTTACTATATAAATACCTAGACACAGTTTGTACAAAATCTATAATAACTGTTTTCAACAATTTATTAACCCAGTTGTTTCATTTATTGAAATTATGTCGACTAGTTGCACTGTCAATCCTACATTATTGTTAAGATAAGTATTTATGAGTTTTGTAAAAATGGCTAACATATTTTTTATCACATTAAAGAAAATCAATTAAGTATTGCAATTTTTCTCTTTAAAGACCCTAAATGAAATAAAGGATTTCAGATTAAATTCAGTTATTATGAGAAAAATGCGCAGACATGTGATTATTTGGTCGTATCATTAAAGGATTAATCAACTCATGTTTAGTCATGTGTTTATAAACTATCATAAACTAGTAGACAGTAGTGTACCATCAATCAAATAATTAGTTAACAGATAGACATAATAATCTAGAACCCTGAGGAAGTGTACAAAATCAAGTTACCATAATCCGTAGCATCTTAATGATTATCAAGATAAAAGATATCCAAACGTGAAGAGAGAAGGAATAACGAGTAATGAGTGAATATATCTGCATCATTGTAACAGGTTATAAGCTGTCATCTAGTGTCTCTAATCGCTGACTTTCATCTTCTTGGTAACTCTGTATAGGATGTCTTAACTTTTTTATGCAATTCGGACAAACAAGATAATGACTACAAGTTTTATCGTATTTTTACTATATTAGTCGATGGGCTATTAAGTAACCTTCCGTTCTTACCTGACATAGATATGAACAACATCTGAAACTCAAAACTTGGTGTCGCATCTATTTTCTCATAGTAATTGTGATGGTCTTAAACATCTCGCTTTCTGTCCCTAAGATATTTTGATGTAAACCAAGTTATTTCGTACTATCTGACGTTCTGTAAGGCGAAATTAGTAGATAACAAAGGATCCTTCATCTCGTCACCGTATTCATGACTTGTATTGTCCGTTCAGTTTATGTTGTTCAGAAGTAACTGCTGCGGGAGATGATGATTCGATACATATTGATCTACATTAGTATGTTTGCTGTAAGTTTGAACACTTGTGACAAAATTTATGTCTAGCGCACCCACCTTGTTTCCACACCAAATAGCAATTTATTATAAAATCTTGCATGTTAGCTTGACTAAACTAAGCAGCAAGTTATCCTCTGAACTATCCTCTATAATAAAATATCAATATTTGAAGGTGATCCGTATAAATAAAGTTTATACCAATAGGTATTAATCGATTAGATCACAAAAATCCAACTTTCTAATCACTAACTCGTTCTTCATACTCATGTTATACATATTCTTATGAGTGCTTCATTTTCTGTATTTTTCCTAGTAAAACATACTTCAAGTGATTTGGAGACTCCGGTCTAGCTAATTGCTGTTTTTACCTTGGAAATTAAAGATCACCAATAGCAATATGTCCAACAATAGTGGATTAGATATAACAAATTTGGATGATTTACGTGATCCATCGGGAATCTTTTCACTCATCGAAGTTGTGGGTAAAGGTACTTATGGAAATGTATACAAGGGACGATACACGCGAACTGGTCAGCTAGCTGCCATCAAGGTTATGCCAATTACTGAAGAGGATGAAGAAGAAATTAAGCTGGAAATTGATACATTAAAAAAGGTTAGTCTTTCGTCTCATTTGTAGATTAAATAATTATGTTTTGAGGCCTGACAAAATTAGATAAGATTGAGGTTGTTTTGGAAACTATTATATCTATTGGTCGTCGGACAACCGTTCCATCATATTTTGACTCATGTTCTAAGAATGTATGTAGTTGAAATTCGCTTAATTCATTAGGGTTGATGCATTTATTCAACTGTTACCTAATTGTGGTGCGCTTGAATCTATTTCCTAATTTCATATGTACTGATAATATCACGAAACACTGTTAATCCCAGAGTCTATTTTAGTTAATTGCAACCAGAAGCTTAGTCTGTTGATCAGTTGCTTCAGCGTATATTATTTATTTCAACTATTACCTAAAGGGTTTACTTTTGGAGAAATCGATGGTTTTTTGTATGCTCTTTCATATTAAGACATCTTTTTATTCTGTTTATTTTACACAGCCTTTGGTCCGGTCGATAAATCACCGTTCTCTAATTGGCGGTATCATTGCGTTATATATTAATAGGGCACAAAGCCACAAGTTATAACACTTCCCAAGTCCTCTTTAATGTGACAATAGGTCTGACGTTAGGGATCAAAATGGTAATGTATGTCTCATTACGATAAATTGAAATCCACGATTTTATTCAAAGTTATATATTATTAGTTTCTGCTTTCTTATATACTTCGGTTTGGGCACCCGGGCAGTATCCCAGCCCTCACACAAATCGAATGATTTATGTGGCGCATATCTATTTGCTGCCTCCTTGTACCACTGTTTATGTGTTTAAACAAATAAATAAAATAAATATACTATCGACAGTTAACTACATGATCCAGGTTAATAGTCATTGTGAATTTATAAGGTGTTATCATATTTTTCTCCAATCACTTTAATCCTTCATATCCTCTATTGTTTCATTCGGCGGTGATATATAAGGGATACTCACTTATAACACATGCAACCTCTCTAGTGTATTCGAATTTAGTAAAGTTTTACCTGGTGTGGATAAGTGGGCTTTTAAATTATCATATTTCACGTCGGAAAGAGGTATACAGTTCCTAGGACCAACTTTAAAATAAATCAGCGAAAGAAACAAGCAAAAATATACTATGGTTATTAATTAGCAAAATTTTTAAGATTTAGGGAAGTATAGATGTTGGGTTAATGTGCACCATAACTATAGTCTAAGGTTTTCAACTATTAAACACAGCTTCCTTGTAGACGTCAGTTAGGCAGCATACTATCTCACTTGTATCTTGGATCAATGGGTAAAAATTTATGAACTAAAGTCATAGCCTAGTCTAACATCCTACTCTCACTGCAACCTTCATTTAACGAGTTAATGTGTTAACAAGTATACGCAGAGTTAGTTGATGGTTGCCTAAAAACTCATCAACTGATTTGTATTCTTCAACAGTTATTGTTTTCTTGATAGTTCGGGAACTAAATTGAAATAGTTCTTTGAAGGCACGTATTACTGACCACTTGTTATTTGTTGTTTTGTTCTGCTTCCACGATCCGTGTTTCATATCTGTATAGTGAGATAAAATGGACTGTTTGTCAATATACTTATTCTTTGTTAAGGATTCAGATTTATTTTACTTGAAGTCATTCTTCTAAGCTTAACGCGGATCTACCATAATAGATGTAGGTATCTTTTGTGCTTTTAATGTGCTTGTTATTATTGTTTCTCGCTACATATTTCAGGATATAACTAGAGTCAACTAGAATATTTTCTAAAGTCATGTAATACCAAAAAATATCTCCAATTTTTTTATTTCTGGTTTTGGGAATACATAATGTACTTTGTTACTCTATCATAGAAAATGTAGTTATCAACGACACTCACTGAATTTAAGGTGAAAGCAGATAATTCTTAGCTTATACGTATACATTCAACGTATAATATTAATTTTGACTGGGGAAAATGTTATCTCACGGTACTTTGATACATTTTTGTCGACATGACTTTTCTAGTTTATCCTGCTATTTCATCCTGTACATCCACTTAATTTATCTGTCTGTTATTCACTCAATGAATCACGGATTACAATATTGTTTATATTTACCGAAATTTAATCAATCAAGTTGTACCATTAGACGTTATGTATGATAATAACTTCAATTATTCATATTCATTGTCCAAAATAATGAACAATGTATTGTATGTAACATTATTTAAACTGTATTTAGTTAGTCTAAAATCAACATATCAATTTGTAAGATGTGTTTTCTTAAATTCTTTACATTAACATTTGTCAGATTCTTGTACTCACTATTGTTGCTTATTTTCTTGTTTTGTTTAGTTATCGAATCATCGAAATATTGCTAGTTATTATGGTGCATTTATTAAAAAATCTTCACCTCGTGATCATCTTTGGGTAAGATATTTTTTACTAATCATAACAATTTTTAATAAAGTTATCACTATGTTGAATTTGTTCATTTCTTTTTTTACAATGACTTTTGTTTTATTGTAAATATTATTCTGTTGATGGTTTTAGTGTAATTACTTAGTCAAACAAATCTTTCGATTTAGATATTATTATAAACAGAGCAATAGTAGTGAAATATATAAAATAAAATGATTTCGATCGTTGTCAAATGTTACCGTCCAACTGCAGTTAAAACAAATATGGTTGGGTTCCAGATACTTGATTTAGTGGAGTTGAGATGCAAGGTATAAACGAATTAGACAGTCAAATTGTGAAGAAGCATTAAAAAATTTAAGTAATATAGTTGACATTGATACATCTTAATATCTGCATAACCTATTTACACAAATTCAGGGATGTAAGATCATAAGTAATCATAGTAAAAATAAGTGATTAGATGATTAAACAATATAATTAGGATAAAAATTAACTTATTGTGTGATTCACCAGTGACTGAGTTAAAATGCAATTGTGTTTAACACGCTTTCATTCGGTTTACTGAAGTTAGGTCGGGAATCTTTGATAACAATAGGTTATGAAAGGCTAAGTAAATGTGATATTTATTCAGTAGCCTAATTTTCCATTTGCTTACTTTTATCATTGACTTCGCTTCTAAGATATGCTTGAATATCACTTGTACGACCACAGAACTCATGTCAAACCATATCTTATCCTGTTCCTTATGAGTAACACCTAGATCATCAATTTTCGTGTTTATAGTTGGTCGAAAGCGAATCAGACTAGTAGTGTTTTCAAGCCACTCATTGTTTTATGTGTAGCCTCAACAATGCATTAGTCACAAGGTCGTACTTCTTTTCCCATCTAATCTTTGCGTTGTGGACATAGAAATTATGTCTGCCATGTTTTATTCACCTGTCTTGTAATGGAACAAAAAAAATCAAATCAATCAATAGCTTGACTCATTAGTATAGTACTTGTATGTATACTTTGGACAAAGTAGTGCATTCCTTTTAATTTCTCTATCTTTAGCGTTACACACATATTTCTGATTATTGTCGTGCGTATGTGTTATTTATACAATAATGCGAAGATGCATCCCACTCACCATGATGGTAAGTGGTGGACACATAATCATACAGACATATTTTGTGTTTATAAAGCAAATATGAAAAGCTTGTGACAATTTCCAGTTTTTTTTCTCTACTCCTCCCATAATGTTTGTATAAATATTGAAAACAATTCTATGTTTATCAATTTATCAACCACTTCATCCTCTTCATTGTTGTCATTATTATATCGATGGTTGTCTGTTAATGTCTGTTGGGTATAAAGGGAATAGTGCAAACAGACAATGGAATAATATGGTAAAACTGTTTCACAATATCTTTCCATTTCTTTGTGTTGTTACAAATTTATGACTGATTCTTCATCTATTCTTTGCTATCCATGATAATGATGATATAGCTTACTAAAGAGAAAACTCAGAAAATCAATCAGGCATCGTTAAGCGAATGATACCAAACACTATGTCTTATGATGAAATTCAATCTATGAGGTTCATATTTATATATTCATCTCTGTAACATTTTTTTCGTAAGGGCTAGTGATAATACTAGACTACTTCTACCAAAATTAACTCAAGCACAGAAGCAACAGGACCATTACTATTGTCCACTTAGCAAAATAAGAACTTTATTAGCGAACAGTAATTTACTACTTTTTAAGTCAGTAAAGTTCTCAATTCTACTGAATAGTGTATACATTTTCTTACAGAAAAAGGCTCTCACATAAAATGCACATCTACCGACAAAGACTGATCAAATTCAGTCAAGATAATCAATAACAGGATAATCCAAACCCCTTCTAATCATGATATGAAAATTACACCCGTTCCACTCTTAACTGGCTATCTGAACTAAGTAGCTCAACGGATAACTCGTTAAGCGTTTGAGGCAAAATGTACTGGGTTCGAGTTCTGATGTAAACACTAACACTGGAATGTAGGTCAGACCAGCTGATTCGGCTCAAATAGGACGAAACGCTCGTCCCAGGTTTCTTTATTAGGCGCAATCCAACTATTCCATAGGGCTTGTAGGAGGGGCTGACATTAAAACAACTATAGTTGTTTTTTCTTTATCCCTAACGATAAATTTTGGGGCCATAACCATATGTATTAACACAAATAATGGTCGATTTAATTGTTATCGAAATATATACTCAATATGTCTAGATGCACACTTTTTTTCGCCCAAATATATAGAAATTATAACATACTGAGGAAAAAGTTATCTCTGACTGCAACCACGTTTGAACTCGAATCTAAACTAGTGATAATGTGATTACTAGAGCTCATTATCGTGGTAATCATTACACTAATTATTAGCTTTTATTTCCATCTTAAAACGACAATAATAATTGATCATATCATTATTAATATTATATTATTGGGTGACAGGTGTGAGGAGTGCACAGAGGGAAGCAATAAAATTTGCTCATCACGCAATGCTGTGTGAATAACAAATTCAAACCACAGTTGTTTTAACGTTGTTCCATTCTTTTTTCTTTTAACTAACCGTACAACAACATGAGAATGTTTTTTTTTCAACTTTTTTAAAGATTTTCCTTGTTCGAGTTTGTTTTTCTTCTTAGTGAAACAAGTGTTTGTTTTTTAATTTTGTTTTTAAACAAAAATTCATCCCTAGCTTGCTATGGAATATTGTGGTGCTGGATCAGTGGCTGATTTAATAAAAAGTGAGTAGTTTTTTTAATTTAAGACCAGAGTAGGGATAATAATTTGTATCTTATCCATTGTTACTTTGTTATTTCAATCCTCACCATAATTTCTTTTTATGATTAAAACAAAGGAAAAATAACGTAACGAAAACAAAGTTGTCAGTATTAACAAAGAACTAAAAAAAACTAGTAGACACAAAAGAAGCGCATTTTAAGAAATGTGCGCTTATTGGCTGAGATAGTATTCAAAATGCTAGGAAAGATAAAATATGATGAATTCATTTGGACCATGAGAACAAATTCTCTGTCTTATTGTTGTAATCTACAACCACCGAAGATAGATACACCTGGTGGATCCTAATCACTTATGGTCCCCTATCTAACGTGGGTCAGCGGTTAACAGCACTATAAACTGAACTACAATCCTATTCTGTGATATTCATTAATCTTTTCTTAACCTTTTGATATTGCAAGCTGTCTATAAAGAGTTTGCTAGTTGACAGGTATGCATGATACTGGTCAATATCGCATCAGTTGATGATCATTTTTAAACTCTATAAATTCTTTTGTTCTCTTGATGAGTTAATGGATACACTTGTAATGTGCTATTGTATTTACTTTCAGGAAATATGTCCCACATTTATAGAGTATAATGGTATTATGACAATCAAACATTGTTTTTAGCCGTACAGTCAATTGATTACCTCAACTGTTATTGAAATTACCAGGTGACAATTCTTCATGAATCTTAAATTATTAATGCGTTGCCACGAAAATGAGCTAACATCAGTAAACTGTATAACTAGTGTGAACAAGATAGATTTCTTTTTCCTCTAAAACGAGACTTATATCCAAGATAACAGACAAAAAATAAACAGTTGATTAACAGTTACATAAGAGTGAGTAAATATAATTAAAAGGAATTTAATGCAAAAATGATTGTATGTTACAAATTTATCAGTGATACCACCTAAGTACATAAAGTCTTACACCTCTTCCACAAATTTGGCTTATATATTCTCTTGTATATATATTTTTTGTCAATATCACCTTGTTGCAAGTAGTAGTGTTTATTTATTTAAGCATGTTTCTTAAAAAGATTTTTGGTTTTAGTTCACATTATTAGTTTTCCAGACGATTCGTCATCTTGTTATGACATTCTTTTCTCTACTGTTTTAGGTACTCGCACGAAATCACTCAAAGAAGATTGGATTGCTTATATTTGTCGAGAAATTCTCCGAGTAAGTAGATTATTATTAGTCCTGTGAACTGATTGAATATGAATAGAACTTGACTACTGTCTTAGAGTATATATATATATATATATATATATTCCCACTGAAACACGATGATGACCCTAGTCGAAAATACACTGATTTATGTTAATCTAATACTAATACAAAGAATATTGTATCTTGATTAAACATCATACTGTAATATATCAATGTTATGTTGCATACAATAACACATTAACAATAAAATAAATATTACACTGAGTAATCATCATATTAAATTAAAAATGAAAGTAATCTTGAATAAAAAAGTTATAACAAGTTAAAAACGTAATTTTGTTTTCTTATTTTCTCATATCAATATTTAACTTTCTATATATAGGAATATTATATTGAATTTGTATATGTTAAACGATGAATGTGACTTACACCTTAACAAGTCAGTTAGTTACAATGTAGAATCTGATACGTATGCATATCGGTTCAAGTTGTCAAACCCCATTAGTACAGTGAGATAAAATTGTAAGGCCTAATTCCAGAATAGAAGAGGTAATAACAGTATGAATGGTAATAGGAAGGATTAAGCATCGAAGATAAAACTCTATGAGAAAATATAAATTAGTGAAATATAAAAACACAAGAAGTTAAGGGGAATTTAGCGGGTGCACTACACCATTGCAAACGATTTCGAATCATGTCAATCGAAGTCACTAACCATTAGTAACGATAACCACATGGACCCCAACTACGTAGTCTACACCTATTAGAATGATTCAATCCAATGATCAGTCTTCATAGACTTGTGCTTTGTTTTCATTTGGCCGCCTCCCTAGCCTTTTTCCAGCTTACTCGTACACCAGACAACATCGATCTTCGATGTAGGCGGTGGTTGAGTATACGTGACACATATGTTCCGACCACCTCAGTTGATGATGATTTACTACCTCATCTATCGATTTACCATCTTTACCTAGCACTCTATTCTTAAACCAGGCATTACTCACACAGGGTTCCAAAAATACATGAACAATGCTTCGAAGATACTTATCATCGAATATCAATAACCTAAGAATATCTTTCATTTTTAATTGCCATGTTTTATATACATAAACTATAGCGGAATGAACAACTGCACGGTAAACTCTTCCTTTATTTGGAAGACGGGTATCTCACTTACTTCACAAATGACGCAAGTTGGTAAAAACTAATCAAGTCTTCTGAATCCTTGCTGAGTTTTCGTCAGATGCCAGACTATCAGAACTGGTTAGACTCCTAAGATAAGTGGAGCAGTCGTTGAGTTCAACCATTTCACTCCCGATCATTAATTCATGGGGTGACGCAAACCAATCTTGAAGTTACATTTTACATTAGGAGGCAAAGAACCTCATCTCAATCCAATGCTATTTTCGTCAGACGTTCTGATGTAATTTGGCTATTTTCAGTTAGTAATCAATCCATGAATGTGGAAAATAGTGTCGATTAAATTCGATGTTGCGATGAATATAATGAACAACTAACTATTAATGTAGATTATGTATCTTTAGACACACGATACAATTGTTTCAAATAAACTTTCAATTGTTTTAACAAAACATAAATAAATAAACTTACAGTTTAAATAACAATTTTCATAAGCAAACTAGTTCCAACGTTATTTGAACATTATAAGGGTGAATACATAACATACTAATTATGATTAGAATCTAGGTATGGCGTCCAGAGAAATGAGATATATTTTTCATTTATAACGTTCCTATTCTATTCTATGTGGACCAAAATGTTTCTCTGAACATTCAATTTATCACTGTGTGAGTGTACACCTTAGGGTTGTATAGTTTAAATCAATACTATCATAAGATACAATTAGTTTTGTCTTGAAAAACTAATATAAAGTTATTATATTAGTTATGAGGACACTGGAAACCAAATGGTATTGATCAAACTTATGCAATCACAGACGCGAATTTCGCATTTCTACAAACGATATTAGTTTCCAACTGATTCTCAACTTGTGCTCATATTTAGACTAATTGTTCTTCAATCATTTCATAAACAGAGATTACTATATGAATAATTCTCTGTCAAATAATTTCACTTTCAATGAATTTTAATTAAACAATGTCTTTTCTCATCAGTAATTAAAATTGTCTTGTAAACTTAGTTTAACAAGATGGATTGTTTTCGTGTTAAGGAAAGCATTTAAAATTTGTTTTACGGAAAGAGACAACAACAAATTTTCAATACAAAAATGAATTCATGGTTTGCTGATTGTTTCTTAAAAGTTACTACTCCCAATTTAATCACATCTCTAATAAAAAGATTAAAATTTCAACAATAAAACAGAATAGTTTGATATGTATCTTTAGTGCAAATATATATATTATTCTTCTAATAGTGGTTTTGAGCTTGTTAGGGTATCGTGAATCCTGGTCAACCGAAGTGGTCGGAACATATGTGTCACGTATACTCAACCACCGCCTACATCGAAGATCGATGTTGTCTGGTGTACGAGTAAGCTGGAAAAAGGCTAGGGAGGCGGCCAAATGAAAACAAAGCACAAGTCTATGAAGACTGATCATTGGATTGAATCATTCTAATAGGTGTAGACTACGTAGTTGGGGTCCATGTGGTTATCGTTACTAATGGTTAGTGACTTCGATTGACATGATTCGAAATCGTTTGCAATGGTGTAGTACATCCGCTAAATTCCCCTTAACTTCTTGTGTTTTTATATTTCACTAATTTATATTTTCTCATAGAGTTTTATCTTCGATGCTTAATATTTCCTATTATCACTCATAATGTTATTGTAGTGAACGAGAACACAAGTGGGAACAATTGAATTTATTCGAATACAGAATTACAGAACATCTTAGTAAAATCTGAGAACCATACAGTAAATACTTAATTTGCAAAATGTCAATAAGTCGTCTCATACTTCACTGTTCCTTCATTTCTAAAGCAATCATTCACTGTTCTCGCTCCCTTTTCTTCGATCTTCTTAACCCTCTGGTGCTAGGTATTTCAGTTTCGTTTGATGATACATACTACTTATATCTATCGAAATCAGTAGCATACACCACATTACTACCTCTTCTATTCCAGAATTAGGCCTTACAATTTCATTTCACTGAACTAATTAGGTTTGACAACTTGAACTGTTGTGCGTACGTACCAGGTTCTACGTTGTAACTAACCGATTAAATATGAGATATAGCATTCAAACTCACAATAGCTTTTTTTAGAAAAGACATCAATGTGATTTAATTCATCTGTTTTTACATTATGGGTTGCTATTTCATTCCTATGGAGAAACATTTATATGTGATAGTTAGTAATTAACTGTTGTCTATTCAGTTAATGGTGAGTTTTGAAATAAATAAGACTTGCATTTAAAAATCCTATTTTTTAAATTTCAATTTAATATGTTTCAATAATTTTTCTTCGTTTTTAAATTTTTGGCATTAAAAATTCTTTAACTGACACTATAATTTATTAAAATATTATGACCTATATCTGAAAGGTCATTGTTTTATTTTTGGTAAACTTGTTTGGTTCTTAGATTTATTTCTTCCTCCATATGCATTCCATTCATTTTTTGAAATATATTTGTTTTAAATAAAATATACTTTCTTTCCTAGGGTCTTATGCATTTACATGCAAATCGTGTGATTCATCGAGACATTAAAGGTCAAAATGTATTGCTCACTGATAATGCTGAGGTGAAACTTGGTAAGTTCACTATTATCATGATTGTGTTATCATCATCACTGTTGCCGTTTTGGTTGTTGGTTGTGTTTATACATTTTATATTCTTTGATATATAATATAATGTATATATTATCTCAACATAAATAAATTTACATAAAAGAAACGTTCACTTATCCTAACCTATTCTAATTTCCCTTGAATTGTACTATAACTGATATGTAGTGGTTTTCCCATTCACTAACATTGTTCCTGGATTTTAATGTAGTAGGTATTTATTAAAACTTAAGTCGCTAAAGATAATATTGTTATTCGCTTCTTCTGTCTTAATGTGATGGTCGTACCTTGGTATTATGATGACCCAGTTATGCTACTTTTGCTGGAAAATTTGTTCCTTAATGTCCTCCTACCACACTAGACAGGTCGGTCAGTGTGGTAAAACTAAAACCAACAAACTGCTGGCTGACTGTAAATGACTGTGAAGGCAATAAGGTATTACCCTCAAATATCTGTCAGTTTCAGTGATACCACCTTCCCAAAACGTAAGGAGATTGGTGAAGATTGACCCTGAAAACGGCTTATCTCACTTTGCTTTAGATTTACATAGTCGGTAGTAAAGCATTGAAAGTAAGGAGCTAAATCATTCATAACTACTCACAAAGAGGTGTTGTGTAACCGGTTTGAAGCAGTTAACCCTTAGATACTAAGTTCACGTTCCCGGGTAGTTAAGACCACATCTAACTCAGTTTCCTTTTCAGATACTCCAATAAGAAGTATCCTTTCATGGCGCAGAGGGAAGTGAGAGAAACTCTTTGAACCGAAAGATGTTTTCTTGGTTGTACCTTTAACTGGAATTTCTATTTTACGCTATTCTCATCCACTTCTTTTCTTAATCATTTATTTGTTGGGATTGTATTCTCCGCCTTTCTTTATTTCGTCACAGTTTCATTCTTTTTATGAGATGCATATTTATTTTGGTACACAGTTGTGTCAATATTAATGTCTTTTAAATGAATAAGTTCATGTCACCAAGCTAACTGTACAACTATATTAGAATTAAAACGTATGGATTCTAGTTTCAGCCAATGATTCGCGAACATATGAGATTTCCAAAGATAAAGTCACCTATTCAAACCTTTCTAATTGATTTTGTTGACCACTTAATATCATTGAGTTTTATGTAACAGGTTTGCTCCATACCCTAGTGGCTGATTCCTTACTTTCTATTGTTATTGTAAATATTGTTTTTTATGCAATGTGTTACCCATATAACGTGTATTAAAATTAGTTACCGTTTTTTATTTGACTGTATTATGATTTATGCTTTATGAAACTAAATTACATGAGGCTTCTGTGTGAAATTTTTTTGTTTAGTCTTAGATATTAGTAGTTATTGAACAACAAACAAAAGCAAGACATTATTGGAAATTTTGTGATTTGCACATTTACCAACGAGAGCATGACGTATCCGAATCTAAATAAGTTTCACAATGTACTGATTTTTTTGGTTAGAACTGACTAACAAACAACAATGTTTTATCGGTTCTAATTCGCGTCACATGAAATTATATAATACTAAGCGAAAGACAACATGCCTAAAACTAGAATTGTCGTTCCGAAATATGTTTAAGCGAATATCTAAAGGTCACTACATTGCTTTGCCTTATTTTTAGGAAACAACTTATTATTATTTGCTTCTGATGTTTACCAGTTTAGAAACTTGAAATTACAAATATAAATACCTGTATGAATCTTATATTGACTGACTTACCAGACCATTAGCGTTTTATGATCTAATGTCATAAAGGTGTTTTCAGTGATGCCCAGAAGATGTGAATTTTTTTGTTATATTGATGATATTCTCTCACATTTGTCGTGTTCACCCTTCAGGTTATCACTTACACTTCTCGTTTTGAAACTTTTCACGATTGGTAGATTTTTATTTAACCACTTACGGTGTCCTGGAAATAGTATATACTGGCAATCACCGGTTGCTGTATTTATGATATCTTTTACCGTATCTCTACTACTGGTTTGTTGAGTTGATATGTGATGTCACGATATTACAGAGAAAACGCAAAAAATCTTCACATTGTTCACATTTGGAAATAAACTAAGTGATTTGCTTATCTGCATACGTATATGTAACGACTTTCGTTGCATTTTAGTTACAGACATCCATGGATTGACATAACTCTATTATCTTTGACTGAACCATGTAAATGTGTAGAGATTACCTGACTAGGGTCCACGTGATTATCATAATCAATGATTAGATATTATTAATACTGTTATTACCTCTACCACTCTGGGATTTACCCCGAAAATTCCATCTCTCTGTCTTAACGGGATGTTAGCTACTTGAATTGATGTACTGATGTGTCGAGTTCCACGTTTCATACTATTGTCTTTATCTCAGTACATCAAAAATATTTTTCAACGTGTCAGTTTACCTTCATTCTTAGACATTTTAGGTTGGTTTAGTGTGTTTGCATCGTATATGTGACTCGAGTAATTCGAATAAGTTTCAGTAATGAATCATAAGGGCGATTATTTAGCGTGACATTCAATCTAATGATAGTGTCTAACTCTCTGAGTTTGTTTTACTATCAGTAGCACAGAGCTCATGTCTTTAATTTCTTGATATTTAAAAGACAATCGGTGAAGTTAATTCATATTATTATCTTATCACCACAAAGATTTCTTCATGTTAAGTAATTTAAATGTTACATGTATTAACCGATAATTAACGACTTATAATCAAAATGAATGGGATTGAGTTCAAATATGTTATTAAGTAATCAGGTAACACTTGGTTACATCATTGAACTGTAGCTATCATGTTATTGTTTGTTTGGGTACATCAAAAGTTTTTTTTTTTAAATTCAATATTTATCAGCTTATGATACTGATAGATTTCTGTTCAGTGTCATACTTAAAGTTTCTGTTGTTAACACTTCTAATTGTAATATTAATTGTTTTTATTAATTTAGATTACATCAGTTTGTGTCTTTTCTGTTGTTTTTTCTTCGTTTCTATTCCTGTTGCCACTATGTTTAGTCGATTTTGGAGTGAGTGCACAATTAGATAAAACATTTGGTAAACGGAATACATTTATTGGGACCCCGTACTGGTAAGCTGGGTTTTTTTAAATAGCAAAAAGAATCATGATACTTCAGAATTTAATTGTTAGTGTTTCATAACCACAGTCATTTAGACATAGGATGTGTCAATCCCTCAATTTTATTAACATATAATCGTTGTATTGTTTGTAACCCTGTCTTCTTTACCTAGATCTCATAACTTTTGAAAATAGTGTTTCAAAATATACCATTGAGAATTGTATTACTACCAGTTTGTGACCTCTGAGTAATTCCAGAATCCTACTAGATAATATCCCAGCTATTATTGGTTTATTAAAACTAAAATATTATCATTTTTTCACCATTGACTACTTTTCTGAATTATATATATAAAGGTTTACTGTTTTGTCTTTTTTTTTTTTACAAAAAAGCAATGTGATTGTTTATTTATTAATTCAATTAATTCTTGTCTGTTTTGTATATACATCATTTGATTATCTCTTTTCAATTAATTGTCATCGGAGAATCGATACAATGTGATGATAGCAACCGATGGTTAGAGACCCTGAATGACATGACTCAAAATCGTTTGCAATGGTGCAGGTGCATCCACTCTTTCTTCTCCCAAATTTTAATCTCCTGATTCCTCCTTGTCTCTTTTTTTTCTCTTCCCAAATTTATTTCACTGTTTTATACTCCTTGAATAAAATCTTAAACTCTAATCTTTCCGATTACTGCTTATACTTTGACTACCTCTACCACTATGTGATTTGAATCGACAACTGCATCTCTGTGCTAAGGTGGTGTGGCAACTCGAACTGATGTACGTACGTACGAAGTTCTACGTTGTTACTGACTGACTGACTACAATGTGATTGAGTTGTAAATTATTATGTTTATAATAAGTTGAAAATAATACAATCCATTTTTTATCTAGAATAAAATTGAATATTATGTTCAGTTTATGATGATAGACAGGATTATGTAGTTTTTCTCAAATATATCGTGTATTACGAATTTTAAACCAAGCTGTAATAAATATTTACACCATCTAAGTGTTATTATTCTTTCAACTATATACAATTAATATTACAAGGTATATAGGACAAAACACTTTAAAATGATTTGTGTTATAAAACGGATATAGTTTTTTTAATTAATATTACCGTAGTAGATTGCTCATGTAAAATACATTAGTTACTAAGTAGGTAGTATTCAGTTTAAGCCTTAGATGAACTATAGATTGAATAGTGAAAGCACTCAGCATTTAAACATTGGATAGAGCTGATTGGGAATTTTCAATACCTATGTCAGTCTAGGTAGTCGAGTGTATTGACCTGTACTTGATAATCTACATTAAATTTCTCATTCTTATATTAAGTTTATGATAAATAAGAATAAATTGCTCGCATGTATTTTCGAGCTTGAATCTACTGAGATGTTTATAACACATGTTTGTCATCTTTCTCACCTAAACTAAGCTATTAGCTTGAAAGAATTACAATAAAAATGAAAAATATTTCATTTCAAATTGATGAGACTAGGTAAACTATTTCATCGAGTAAGTCGTTTTTGATTTCAGTTGTACATGTTAAGTTGTTCAAGACAATCAGCAGTTAGCGTCAGTTATTTGACACTGATCACCAAAAGTTACCTGGAACTATAAAGTAGCTACTGCATTAAGACTATTCGAATTAGTGTTATTCCACCGGGAACTTCTAAACTTTTTCAATCGTGATTAATCTTTACCAAATCTTTTGTATTAATTAACTTCCCATTTTCCCTTGTATCTTCGTGTACTTCGTTAAAATGTTTTCACTTTATTGATTGTTGTTTTGAATGATTTTTTGATATCTTAATACTTGTTCTAGTAGACTTTAACATAGATAAGTTAATCAGTTATCCCTTCTAGCGTGTGTAGAAAATCAAATCAGTGTTTATCATGTATACAACCTTTTTCGTAAAATAATACCTTGTTCCTTGTAGTATAAATAACTTGAGTTACTACTTAGTGACTTTCCACTAGTTCAACTATTATGCTGTTAAAAGTATCAATTATTTCATAAAGTTTCATTCTTTTTCTCTTTTTAATAGAATATTTTTTCAAATTTATGTGACTAAATTTAGTGCACAGAATTTTGACTATGTAATCTTGATTCTACCAACCATAAGTCTTCATTCTACGAAAGAGATTATGCGTTATTTAATTTTTGTCATTAAACGCAATAATCCTGCGTACAATTTTTCTAATTTACATTTTCTTATAACCCTTGTTCTTATCTGATTGGCTGTCACTACTTTTTGTTTGCTAACTTACTGTGCTTCAAGATAATGTTTTTGTTACTACATATAGAAAGTTGAACTATTCCAGCTTGTCTGCCTGAATACCAAGTTTCTTTGCAATTCCACCTTCTTCCTGGATTCCTCAGTTTCAGATTATTGTTGAAGGTTTTCCTTTCAAAAACAGTAAACAACAAAGCACATTAAATAATCATTTACTTATTTTTTTTGTTTTTACTTAACATTTACACATGCATGTATATATACAGATATTTTTTTCATTCAATACATCTATTTCATGAAGAGAAATAGATTCATTTTGGTTGGTTTCTCGTTTTTTTGCTCATCATATTTTGCAACATAAAACTATTTCCGGTTTATAGTTTATTCGATAAACATTATTTTCTCCCTTGTTTATGTAAGAATGAGAGTTGTTTTGTATGAACCTTTGAAAATTTTATCTATTACAAGTATTTATTTATGCTGAATAGCATCTTATAGTTCCCCTGGTTCTTATAAATATCGAGTGGAAGTTGAACATCTGCATGTGTTATTGTCGATGTAATCTGGACAGAAAATCAGTCCCTGTAAATAGGTACTGTTACCTCTGAAATAACATTAATGACTTTGTTACATCGAAGTGGGATATGGGAACAAAGATGATGAATGTTTCTGACTTTCATTGGTAGAATTGATCACTTATATACTTCTGCAAAATACATAGAAACATTATCTCAGTCGAAATATTCTCTGAATGGAAATACATTTACATTTAATTTGCCAATATTGTCTGAACATAATAAACACCGTTCATTTAGAAGTTCTAAATGTTTTACTTCCATACTTCAGCATCGTTTTCGGTAAATGTTCGGAATTTTCATGACTGACAATACTCTATTTCAATAATTATCATTATGACCACTCTAACATGATTTGTTTTGTACTGCTTTTTCTCGATTCATTTTCTCATTGGTTATTCGAGTCCCAGAGTGAACATCAACTCTTGGATGCAGATACATCCAGCTAACGACTCCCAAGTAGAACGAAACGCGCGTCTTAAAGGCCACTGTTAGACACCATCCATCTATGCTTATTCTGTCTTTTTAGGTTTTGATTTTATCTGTCTCACTCACATTGTAACCTACCATGTTGTGACACCACCTGAAAATTTCTTTTTCAGTACAATTTTCGAAATCATCTCACGTGGTGATTACTTACTTACGCATGTTACCCCTAGTCGAGTAGCATAGGCCGCCCACCACGTGGTGATAGTCAGTCGTAAACTGTTTTTATATTTATCTAATCAATTTGACGGAAATTCGGCTCACAACTATTTCATTTGGTATTTCTATTCTGTGCCTGAAACTTTACATATCATTGAGGTCTGAGGGCGAAGTCGCACTGCTGACTATAGAGGGGTGTGACAGCAGTAAGGTGTTTCCTTCAGACAACCAGCATGACAGTGATGCTGCCTTCCCACAAGGGGGGTGGGGTTAGAAAAGGTCGACCCTAAAAATGTCATACCTCACCTTACCTCACGGATTTCCGTCTCCGGCGGTAAGGCCCTTTGAAGAACGGAGCTAACACTTCAAAAATCTTCCACAAAAAGGACGTGTGTGATCAGCCTCAAGCAATTGTCCCCTGGGCTCCGCGGTCACGCTCCCAGGCCGTTAAGGCCGACATTAATCCGAATTCCATATCAGGTTCCTCAAGAAATACGCTTCCACGGTGTGGGCAGCCGGGAAGTGACACCAGCCCTCATATCCGTAACAGCACACGAGACCAAGTTGGTCACATTCAAATCCTTCCTACACCTCCTAATACCTCTCTTATCTCCATGACTAACCCTTCTCACGTCCTGATTCTGCTTCCCGTGGCCTCGCCGGCGTAGGTATAGCATTGAGTCCTAGGGCAGAACTAGCTCTCTTAGAGTGGATCCCAGTAGACAGTCGTTTGTGCGCTGTCCGATCGAACGGAACAGTAAGAATCCGGAAAGATAGGGACACTCGTCTCTGCCTATTCTCCCACTGACTGCAGCTCAGATGATGTAAAAGATGAGTTTTACAGAAAGCTTTCGGACCTTCTCCGAAAAGCTAAGCGCTCGGATGTAGTAATAGTGGCCGGTGACTTTAATGCTCAAGTAGGTAAACTAAGCGATAGGGAAAGACACCTAGGTGGATCTTATGGTGTCGTGGCTCAAAGAACAGATAATGGCGACCGCCTGTTGCAGCTATGCTCAGATAACCGCCTCTTTCTTGCAAATACTAACTTTAAGCGTAAGCAAAAACATCTTTTCACATGGCGAACCCCTAATTCGTCCAAACGTTGGACCCAAATAGATCACATCGCTATCAGCCACCGATGGAGGGGCTCGATAGAAGACTGTCGCTCATTCTGGAGCACATGCCTAGATTCAGATCATGCTCTAGTACGAGCACGTATTTGTCTGCGTCTTACTGGACGTAGGAAAGACGCTGCAAGGAAACCTCTTAGGGGCCTACTTAATGATAGTCAAGCTAAGAGTATATTTCAGGGACAACTAAGAAAACAGTTAAGCAGCCATGTAAGTGATGCCCAAACCGAGGCAGCATGGAATGATATCTGAAAAGCTGTGGAAACAGCAGTGATATCTGCTAGTAATGTAAACCACAAGGTTAAGGAGAAACACTGGATCTCAGCAGCATCTACCACACTGATAGATGCTCGGAAACTCATCACATCTGGTTCTCAACATAACGAAGAGTGGAGTCAGCTTAAGCGCAAGCTGACAAGAAGTCTACGCAATGATCGCGAACAGTGGTGGGTAGCGAAAGCAAGAGATATAGAAAAGACTGCGACAATAGGTAATAGCAGACAACTGTTAAGACTAGTTAGGGAAACCGGTATTAGGAACCCGACTGTGAGCGAAACAATCTCAGAAAAAGATGGACATATTATTCATTCTCAATCCAGGAGATTGGATCGATGGGCAGAGCACTTTAGGGATCAGTTCAACTGGCCTTCAGCCACACTTCGATTCCCTACGATCTCTAGTCAACCTGAATGGCAAGTTAATGTAGGTCCTCCGACTCTTTACGAAGTTGAAAAAGCCATAAGAAATCTGAAGCGAGGGAGAGCAGCAGGCCCTGACACGTTTACTCCTGAGATTTTTAAGGATGGTGGTTCAGTATTAGCAGCAAGATTAACTGAGGTCTTAGGTAGAATTTGGGAACTGGACGTAATCCCTTCTGACTGGTCTCAATCACTGATTGTGCCAGTTTTTAAGAAAGGACAAAAGTCCTCTTGTGACAATCACAGAGGAATCAGTTTGACAAATATAGTGTCTAAAATATTAGCTTCAATAATACTTCGACGCCTAAACAAAGCTCGTGAAGAACAGACTAGAGAAAATCAGGCTGGTTTTCGACCTGGACGTGGTTGTATAGACCAGGTCCTAGAACATAGACAAACATTCAGACGCCCCACAATCGTAGTATTTCACGACCTTAGGGTGGCACTTGACACTGTTAATCGTGAGGATCTACGGCAGTGTTTGTCATTGGAAGGAGTACCAAAGAAGTACATTAACTTTATAAAGACTCTCTACTCGAACACAACTGGTCGAGTGAGAGCTTATGGTGAACTGTCATCAGAATTGATTACCTCAAGTGGTGTTCGTCAGGGCTGCCCACTCTCTCCATTCTTGTTTAACTTTGTCATTGACGTACTTTTAGAGATAACACTTCCCTCATCTAAATTTCCAGGGGTTGAATTTCTACCGAGAGATCCACTTGTTGACTTGGAATATGCTGATGACAGTTCTATTTGGTGAAGTGGCTGACAAAACACAGAGTCTTCTGACCACTCTAATCAACAATGCAAGCATGTTCGGGATGCGATTCTCTCCCTCGAAATGCAAAATGTTACTTCAGGATTGGGTTGCATTGACACCCGAACTAATGATAGGGAGTGAAGCAGTTGAGCGTGTCGACCGCTTCACTTATCTTGGAAGTCTCATCAGCCCTTGTGATCTGGTGTGTGACGAAATCTCAGCACGGATACAGAAGGCTCGACTAGCTTTTGCCAACTTGCGTCATTTATAGCGTAGGCGAGATATCCGTCTATCAACCAAAGGACGTGTTTACTGCACAGCAGTTCGTTCCGTCCTACTTTATGGCAGTGAAACGCGGCCGGTAAGAGTAGAGGATAGTCGTGGGTTACTAGTATTTGATCATAGGTGTCTTCGAAACATTGCTCGTATATCCTGGGACCATCGAGTAAGTAACACAGTTGTTAGGAAACGGGTACTAGGTAAGGATGGCAAATCAATTGATGAAGTAGTGAAACTTCATCAGTTGAGATGGCTGGGACACGTGTTACATATGCCCAACCACTGAATGCCTCGACGTGCGTTGTTTTATGGTGTAGCAGTAGATTGGAAGGAAGCTAGTGGCGGCCAGACCAAAACATGGCACAAGTCCATGAAGTCACTGACAAGTGGACTGAGTCATATTGGTAGGTGTAGACTACCTGGTTTGGGACTGCGAGATGATAGCAACCCATGGTTAGAGACCCTGAATGACATGGTTCAAAATCGTTTGCAATGGCGCAGGTGCATCCATTCTTTGTGTTCTCCCAAATTCTAATCTTCTGAATTCATCATGTCCCTTTCTTTTTTCTCTTTCCAAATTTATTTCACTGGAATTTACTCGTTGAATAGCATCTTCAAACCTTAATTTTTCTGATTACAGCTTATAATTTTACTACATCTACCACTACGGGATTTGATTTGACCACTGCATCTCTGTGCTAATGTGGTGTAGCAACTTGAACTGATGTCCGTACGTACGAAGTTGTACGTTGTTATTGACTGACTGACATATCATTGCAAAATCTATGGTTTCGCTAAGTGTTCGCCATGCTTCAAATGTGTTATAACTGTGTAATATCTGTGTTTCCGATTACATCTCCAACCAATATATACCTACGTTTAACATTACTTTGACCCAATAGGTTACTTTAAATGTTATTTCATATTTTCAGTTTATTCAAAGCCTACGTGACATTTATTAAGAGATTATTCAACATTTCAGTAATATGCTTTGTCTTCTTGAGAATGTGAATACTGATTTTTTTTATGAATCTCGTTATTTTTTTCATCACTAAAGCTAATGTATCGTAGACTGGCTATATATATATGCTGTGTCCGTTTCTTATCTTCTTTTTTTTTCTTTATGTGTCAATTACTAACAGCCAGGAAAAGTTTCTTTTTCACTCTCAATCCCCATTTTGTTTATGCATTTTCATTTCAGCAATTTGAAATCCAATTGGTCAAATTTTGTCATGACCTAACTTTAATTACAACTGTTGACCAGATTCTTTACAAGTATCTAATATGTAATTCATTATAATATAATAAATTAAAAGACCGCACTGAGTTTATCTATTTACAATGAATAAATTGGCTATTGACTTAAGGTGCTTTGTCTCGAAAAAAATCAGAAAGAAGAAGTGTTAAAGTGAAATATGGATGTAAACTAGATAGTTTAAAGAACAAGTATAAGAAAGTAGTTGAAAAATTGAATAATCAGAGTTTTTGTCACAAAATGATAAGTATATTCACTGTCTAAACAGATTTTCTGCCATTACGTGTTAATGCACTGGTATGATACAATATAGAATTAGCGTCTTCCTCTGATATACTTTTAGTGAGATTGTAATATGTAATAGTGTTCAAGTCATTTAAATATTTGATTCCCAACGGTTATCTCATGGGTTGGAGAATTACATCCTCGACTTTAGTTTAAAAAATCAGGTAACGTTATTATTTACTTGATAGTTTTAATACAATAATCTACTTAGTGAATGTTAGTACTAACTGAGAGGTAGACTTGATTATATAAGTAAAGTATAGTATTGCAGTGGTATTGTTACGGCACTGTTACGATAGTAGTATAGTTTCAGCCAGAAATATGATGGTTACGGTAGTGTATTTTGATAATGTTTCTCCATCCATATACATGAGTTTTATGATTTTTCTTCACTACTTCTGTTGCCCCTCGTAGAGGAACATAGACCACCCACCAGTATTGTTCATCTAACTCTATCCTGAGCAATCCTTTTCAGTTACCATTCATCCTTTTCATGTTTGCTTTCAATTCTCGTCTCAGTGTGTTCTCTGGTCTTCCTCTTTTCCGTTTCGCTTTAGGATTCCAAGTTAGCACTTTCTCCCTGCTGTAGTTTAGTGATTTACGCAATTTATGTTGTCCGTTTCCAACGGCTTTTTTAAATTACCTCCTCATCTGGAAGCTCGTTCGTTCTCTCCCACAATAGGCTGTTGCTGCTGGTATCCGGTCAACGAACATTAAGTACTTTGCGTAATCAATTATTCATAAATACTTGTATTTTTCTGGTGATGGATGTAGTAGTTCTCCTAGTTGCATCTCTCTACAGTAGAACTGTATTAACACTCGTATTAAAGATTCTGACTCCTTTTATTAAATTGTCAAAACTTGAAGTGATACACCGTCCTACTAAATTGTTTATCAGTTGAGTCACACAAATACATTAGTAGTTAGTAACTATCGTGTAATTGTGGCAGAAATAGTTAACTCATGAAATAGAACTGCTACTAATTACTAATCAGTATCGTTAACTTAATTTTCACTCTTGTTCTGCCTAATTGAAGACGTGCTCAAATGAATGATTCCTCCTGATGATATGGTGTATTTTCAGTCGCTATTGCATTATTATTACATTTCATTGCAAGTTTTCTTATTTTTTTGGAATTTATAGGATGGCGCCTGAAGTGATTCATTGCGAACAAGACTCAAGTTGTACATATGATGCTCGTTCAGATATCTGGTCATTGGGTATAACAGCTTTAGAAATGGCTGAAGGTCGACCACCATTATGTGAAATGCATCCAATGCGTGCACTTTTCTTAATTATGCGTAACTCACCACCTCGATTAAAACAATCACCGAACGGATCTAGACATTGGACACCAAGATTTCATGATTTTGTCAATAAATGTTTAACTAAAGATTTCCATAAACGTCCAAATACATCAGAATTATTTCGACATGAATTCATTACAAATTTACCAAATGAAAGACAAATTAGAATTCAACTCAAAGATCATATAGATAGACATAGACGAAATAGGCAAAGTAAATTAACTAACTTTTCGTTACTTATTATGACTTTATCAAAATAACACTATTCTATATCTTATTACAGTGTTTTTACTCCACACCAGTCACTAGAAGATTAATGACATTTTTGTAGCTTTAAAAGACTGAGTGCATTGTGACAACATAATACATGATAAAACAGAACAAGTCATCCTACATAAATTTATATGTAGGTCAGCGGTTAAATTTTTAGTGTTTTCCTTAAGTGCATTATTTTGATATTTTCAGTATTCATTCATGGATCTGATTGTTATAAGTGATATCTTTAATAGAAACATTATTTGAGAAAGTTATATTTGTTTATGATACCTTGAACATATTTGCTAGTGACTTTAAAGTGGCTGGAATATCGATTAGTTGAGTCAAAACTATCATAAGTTCTACTCAAGTAAATTCATTGAAGATAAACAAAGTAGAAGTCAGTCGTCAACCGAACTACACAGTTCTATTGACACTACGATGCAGGTCCGTATCCCATCGGGGATCATTAGTTCCCTCATTATTACAGATATTCTTTGCTTCCTATTGTCTTCAACCATTTCTCACGATTAAGAGCTCGGATTCGTTAAATATAATTTGTTACACTCATATAGATATTTTTTAAACGGTTATTTATCCATATACATAATATTGTTGGAAAATTGATGAAAATTGAAATCTGTAAAAAAAGAATAACCATTTATCTTTCGAATAAAGCTTCAACACTTTCGTAGAAATAAATAATAAATCAACGTACGTATTTCCAGGACATAATAAAATCATATCAAGGATAAATTAATGGTCTTTTCAGTGAAAACATTTCCAAACATTGAAATTATCAGGTTTAAGAGTTTTAGTTTATTATGATTACATTAAATAGGTGAAGGACAATCGAAATAAAATAACTTATGGTCGGTCATATCGTACATTAAAGTCTATATATTGTACTTTATTTTTAAACGAAGTAACGCTATTATTCCTTTATTATACGGTCACAAACGAATGAATTACTTTTTGATCTGATGAACAAAGCATCTCGAAATTTCTCTGTATGTAGGTGATATTAAACTTCATTTCGATAATTCTTGATCATTTAGATTGATACTGATTGCCGAGTGATTATTCGACTGAAGTAGTTAGAACATGGGTTGCGTTTACCCGAACACTTACCTACCTCGACGGGCGATATTTGTTAGTGTGTAAGTAGGTTAAAATAAGCTAGGATCAGCCACAATAAGACATGGCATCGATCCTTGGAGTCATTGACAGCTAGTCTATGTCATGTTAGTTGACGCTGACTAGTACTATTTTGTGTGACGATCCACAATGGCGTTTGTGTATATTTTAACTCGTGTGGTTCAACGCTACAGTTATAGACTTTACTAATCGACTGTTCGGAATACATCTGACTCCTGCATGACTGAATTTTTTAAACTAAATAGTTATGAAATAATGATCATTTTTGTAATATCTATTCGTTAGTACTGACTAAATTTTATGTATTAAATTTGTTTTACGAGTATTTATCTAAGTAGCATAAATGAGAATAGTGAAATATTTACTTGAATAGTGAATAAATACCACAGTTTTCTGTCAGTTTTGCTTCGTATTTACGAAGTTTCCTTATCTATAAAGGTTATTCTTAGGTGAATTACAGTTAAGTATTTTGTCTGATTTTTATTTTCTTCAACTGATCAGTCCTATATGGTGATACAGCAAATTAAGTAATATTTGAAGCAAGTGAGAACGTATAGGCAGTATTTTTAAGGTGCAAGCTTCTTGATACAGTGGTATTTCAAAGTTTGGAAAATTACTGTCCGTTAAGTAATGAGGAAATCTAAGGCGAGACTATAGCATAGGGATGAGTTTAAAATGACCTCAACAAATTTTCATCAAATTTCTAGTCAGTCAGAAAGTAGCTTTTGTAAACAGATAGTTCGTATAAGGAAAAACATCTATTAAAGTCTCCTAAAGGTTACTCTAGCTGTAAATTGAAAAAATTACTCATAAATTTTTCCTTATGGATGTAAAATACTAATCTCGAATTTTTATGATCACTTGAGTGGATAGGGTTAGGTATGTATAGCAAGAATCAGGGGTTTAAGAACAGGATCTTCATCTCCATCTGATGTCAGATATAATTCAGAAAGGGAGACGAGCGATTTTCATGCAAAAATACAGTAGGCACTATAAATCTAAAATATAATGTCAGTAGGTCAAGGTATTTGAGGATAGTACCAGTCCTCTTTTTTATACAATCTACAGAGAAAGGATTGTTCATTTTATGCGTTCAACGCTATCATCTTCACTCTATGATTTTAAATGTTTTGAGTAGTGTACGAAGATACTTTGCCTTCTCTTAATAGTTTATATTCTAATTTCTCACAAAATCCTAAAAATCGCGTTTTTTATTCTGATTTGCTTCTTCTTATACTATAATTTTACCAAATCTACTTATCCTATTATGGTAACTCACCAGCAAACAGTTGTACACTTGTGTAAGTGTGAAGTAAATTTTTTGGCACTATCAATATAATCATGTTCTACTTTTTTATTTATCTCATCAGCTGAAGAACATGAAAAAATTTATGAATATGAAGGAAGTGATGAAGAGGAGGAGGAGGAAACTAGTGCAGCTGTTAAAGGAGCTGCTGCCGCTGCTCTAGCTATGTCAGCTGCTGTTAGTGGCAATGGTCAAGCACATCGTTTACCTAGTCAAATTAGCCATCATCCACCTCAATTTCGTCAACCAACGGATAAACCTCCCCATAATCAAGTGCTTCGAACTAGTGGAGTTCCTGATCAAAACGAAGTAGCATCGTTTGTTTCACAACCATCTGTATCTGGATTAAACTATAGACAACATGGACATATGATACAAAGTGGGAATATTGTAAATGATAATGTACCAGTGAATGCTCGATTTATCTCACGAAATCCTATGTCAGTAGTTAATAGGTTACCTGCTGTTACGCCACAATCAATGATGCCGCATAATAGTCGGTTGCCAAGGTTAGATGAAGGTGAGTCAGCAACTGTCAATGCTAAGGAACCAGGTGAAAATACACTTCGTCAAAATTTCGCTCGTTTACAGGTAAGTTGTTTGCTTTGTGTTTGATCCAAAGTTTTCACGTGCTTTTGGTATGATTTGTATCGAATTAGTTCTTTTTATCTGAGAATGCTTAAAAGTTATCTTTTGTTCAGGCTATTTATATTTGTAATTTTATTCTCATATATGCATACTATGCTTGCATAACACTTAGTAGTAAGACAGTTATGTTTCGTAGCTTTTAATCTCCGTTTTAATATTTGTAGGTAACGCTACTCAAAATCTGTGATTGAATAACATAGAAATTCTCAAATCTTAAGATTAAGTCATGAAAACATGATATGTGCCACATATTTATTCTTTTCTTTAAATAATATAAGTATTTTAATAAAAGTGTGACATTTACATCAAAGCAAACTCGTGATGAATGAAATATTTACTGTGTAACTGATTAAAAGATGAGTTCCTTGTCAACTCAACATCAGATATAAAACTACTCGAAATTCAAGTCCTTTCTTCTCAACACTCATTAACAAGTGAGCTATTGTTAGTTTTTGTTTTAAAGATTCTTATGTGATTTTTTAGTTTTTGAAATTCATTCAATATTTCCTAATCCCATGAATGTGAAAATGATTACCTAGATATACTGATCGGTTGAATTGTCTCAGTATCAGTCATTATCTAGTTTTTAGATGATGAAGTAGGGATGCTATCGATTCTGTCTAAAAGTTCAACAACATCTTCATTCAGCTCAGAGAACACAACACTAAAAAATACTATATATTGTGAACGGAACATTGTTATGAGTTGAGATTTATCCCTCAGGTTTCTTTTGTCAGTGTATGTTGGTTTATTTGTCCAGAATTCACCTCATAATATTGTGAAAGGTATGATCAATTAATCTTTTTTAATCTATAGAACAAGTGGCCAGTAAATATCTGTATTCACGGGGAGCATTTCGTATCCATCATTCAAAGACTAGTCTTATGGTTCCCATACAAAAGTTAGAAAGAGGTGCTTTGGAAAAGAATTTTCCCGTGTAGTGAATAAATATTTGGAGAGTTATCGGTTGATAATATGTTCACAAATTTGTTAAAAATCCTTGACATCCTAGATCCCAGAATTTCTTCAACGTATGGTTCCTAATTATAATCCAGTTGGAAATTTATAAATCTAGATTTAAGCTTAGTTTATGTTACCTCGAGATCTAATGGTCGGATTATAAATCCGTTGTGAACAGTAATAATGAGTTATTGTTCAGTCTCTACTGAATATTTTTTCAAAACTTTCATAACTCAGATTAAAAATTCGATCGGCGGTAAGCAAATAAAACTAAAATCGTTTTTAGAATTGTGAAATTAGTCAGTTTACCTTGCAGTAATACAACATTAATTGTTTTGTTAGTTACTCATGATCAAATTACTTGATACCGTTATTGTACTATAAAATTTGACCTTAAAAAAAATACACATTCGCTTCTTCCGAGTTAAGGAAACATTTTAATAAGATAACATATTCGTCGAAATTGCTGACTACATAGTTTCGTTACATTGGCATCAAGCGATGTTTCTGTTGTAAAAATACGTTGTATCTATATATTTTTTGGACATAACGAAGTTGCCAAGAATAATAATTGGATGAAATGATATGATTTCTCCACCAACTTAATTTAATTTATTCTACACGGTTTCTCCATGGTTGGACGATAATTAAATATCTAATTATTGCCCTCATTTACATATATATATATATATATATATATATATATATATACTTGTAAGTGAATAGATTTTGTGTTGTTTAATAATTCTTGTTAGCCAATGTTTATGTTAGCAATTAACTTTTATTCGGATGGTTATTAATAAATAGAAATGACTCGCTTCTGAATACACTTATATATTTTTTCTTTTTTGCGTAATACTCTCATTCAGTAACAACGTAAAACTTCGTACGTACGTACGTACATCAGTTTGAATTGCCATGCCACATTAGTACGGAGATGCAATTGTCGATTCAAATCATATAGTGGTAGAGGTAGTAAAAGTATAAACACTGATCGGGAAGATTAGGGTATGAAGATGTTATTCAAGGAGTATAATCCAGTGAAATAAATTTGGAAAGAGAAAAAAGAAAGGGACTGATGAATTCAGAAGATTAGAATTTGGGAGAACACAAAGAATGGATGCACCTGCGCCATTGCAAACGATTTTGAACCATGTCATTCAGGGTCTCTAACCATGGGTTGCTATCATCTCGCAGTCCCAAACCAGGTAGTCTACACCTACCAATATGACTCAGTCCACTTGTCAGTGACTTCATGGACTTGTGCCATGTTTTGGTCTGGCCGCCACTAGCTTCCTTCCAATCTACTGCTACACCATAAAACAACGCACGTCGAGGCATTCAGTGGTTGGGCATATGTAACACGTGTCCCAGCCATCTCAACTGATGAAGTTTCACTACTTCATCAATTGATTTGCCATCCTTACCTAGTACCCGTTTCCTAACAACTGTGTTACTTACTCGATGGTCCCAGGATATACGAGCAATGTTTCGAAGACACCTATGATCAAATACTAGTAACCCACGACTATCCTCTACTCTTACCGGCCGCGTTTCACTGCCATAAAGTAGGACGGAACGAACTGCTGTGCAGTAAACACGTCCTTTGGTTGATAGACGGATATCTCGCCTACGCTATAAATGACGCAAGTTGGCAAAAGCTAGTCGAGCCTTCTGTATCCGTGCTGAGATTTCGTCACACACCAGATCACAAGGGCTGATGAGACTTCCAAGATAAGTGAAGCGGTCGACACGCTCAACTGCTTCACTCCCTATCATTAGTTCGGGTGTCAATGCAACCCAATCCTGAAGTAACATTTTGCATTTCGAGGGAGAGAATCGCATCCCGAACATGCTTGCATTGTTGATTAGAGTGGTCAGAAGACTCTGTGTTTTGTCAGCCACTTCACCAAATAGAACTGTCATCAGCATATTCCAAGTCAACAAGTGGATCTCTCGGTAGAAATTCAACCCCTGGAAATTTAGATGAGGGAAGTGTTATCTCTAAAAGTACGTCAATGACAAAGTTAAACAAGAATGGAGAGAGTGGGCAGCCCTGACGAACACCACTTGAGGTAATCAATTCTGATGACAGTTCACCATAAGCTCTCACTCGACCAGTTGTGTTCGAGTAGAGAGTCTTTATAAAGTTAATGTACTTCTTTGGTACTCCTTCCAATGACAAACACTGCCGTAGATCCTCACGATTAACAGTGTCAAATGCCACCCTAAGGTCGTGAAATACTACGATTGTGGGGCGTCTGAATGTTTGTCTATGTTCTAGGACCTGGTCTATACAACCACGTCCAGGTCGAAAACCAGCCTGATTTTCTCTAGTCTGTTCTTCACGAGCTTTGTTTAGGCGTCGAAGTATTATTGAAGCTAATATTTTAGACACTATATTTGTCAAACTGATTCCTCTGTGATTGTCACAAGAGGACTTTTGTCCTTTCTTAAAAACTGGCACAATCAGTGATTGAGACCAGTCAGAAGGGATTACGTCCAGTTCCCAAATTCTACCTAAGACCTCAGTTAATCTTGCTGCTAATACTGAACCACCATCCTTAAAAATCTCAGGAGTAAACGTGTCAGGGCCTGCTGCTCTCCCTCGCTTCAGATTTCTTATGGCTTTTTCAACTTCGTAAAGAGTCGGAGGACCTACATTAACTTGCCATTCAGGTTGACTAGAGATCGTAGGGAATCGAAGTGTGGCTGAAGGCCAGTTGAACTGATCCCTAAAGTGCTCTGCCCATCGATCCAATCTCCTGGATTGAGAATGAATAATATGTCCATCTTTTTCTGAGATTGTTTCGCTCACAGTCGGGTTCCTAATACCGGTTTCCCTAACTAGTCTTAACAGTTGTCTGCTATTACCTATTGTCGCAGTCTTTTCTATATCTCTTGCTTTCGCTACCCACCACTGTTCGCGATCATTGCGTAGACTTCTTGTCAGCTTGCGCTTAAGCTGACTCCACTCTTCGTTATGTTGAGAACCAGATGTGATGAGTTTCCGAGCATCTATCAGTGTGGTAGATGCTGCTGAGATCCAGTGTTTCTCCTTAACCTTGTGGTTTACATTACTAGCAGATATCACTGCTGTTTCCACAGCTTTTCAGATATCATTCCATGCTGCCTCGGTTTGGGCATCACTTACATGGCTGCTTAACTGTTTTCTTAGTTGTCCCTGAAATATACTCTTAGCTTGACTATCATTAAGTAGGCCCCTAAGAGGTTTCCTTGCAGCGTCTTTCCTACGTCCAGTAAGACGCAGACAAATACGTGCTCGTACTAGAGCATGATCTGAATCTAGGCATGTGCTCCAGAATGAGCGACAGTCTTCTATCGAGCCCCTCCATCGGTGGCTGATAGCGATGTGATCTATTTGGGTCCAACGTTTGGACGAATTCTGGCGTAATAATATTATTCAGCTCGTAGGTCATTTTATATTGTCATTCAATAGAAGTAAAAAAAATAATTTATCCATTTGTTGTTTAGATTGTATTTATATTGTAAAGAAAAGTAACTGATCAAGATACTGAAGTTCGAGATTGTTCTTTTTTGTGCGAAACCAAACTACATGAGCTTTCTTTATAACCTTCCAGCTAAGTGAATAAACCCGTACGGCAATGCTTAATGTAAGCGTAGTACTATTGAATACTGTTTCTAGTCAAGTGGGTTATGGCATCAGGATTCTAGAGAATAGAACGAACAGCCAGATATTTCCTTTCTTGAAGCACAATCCAACAATGAAAGTTAAATGCTCTCGTGAAAAATAATCATTGTGGCCGAAAAACCTAAGGGGTGTTTATATGGAATAATGAGTGAATAACTGATTACTGTATTAGTAGTTATTCACAATTATGTATACGTTCTGTGAATTCCTGTTGTTTCGATACTACCGTAGTGGTCAATATTTTTATCTTATAGTAATATATTCAATAAAATAAATAGTTTAAGATTGTTAAATAATAGGTATTCGATTGATGGATCGTTCTATTTTTGGCGAGACAGCCTTGTCTAGATGAATAACACAGTTATTCATTTCATAGTTCTCAAGACCAATTCACTGTGTTTTCACTTAAGAATCCCTATAACAACTCAGTTATAAAGGTGTGAGAGGGGACTCAGAGATTTTAACTAGTTATTTGATAGATTTCTCTGTGTGTTTCTCTTGCTATTAACGCTCCTATCAAATTGTTGCAATGAATGACGATTTTGATAATAGTTGAATTTTGCATGTGTGTTTATCTATTAGTCTATTTTGTTTCTTGTAAATATTTGCAATCGTATTGTATATTACTTTTGTTATACACAAGTTTGTTTTTATCACATAATGTATACATTATTTATACTGCTGCATATATTTTATATAATTTATGCGCTTTGTGAATCATTAGCACGATTACATCATCATAAACACACATATATATATTATAGCTTTCTTTCGTTTAATCTACTCTATTGGTTGTTGTATATTGGATTGTATGGTTTTTAGTGTTGATTTACTTTCCTTCTGTCATACCAAATATATTTTTGTTGTTCATCATATTTAATGTCATTATTTTGAGTAAATTTTGATTATTTCTGCTTGGTTTAAAACAGAAATGAACATATTTTCATATATATGTTTGAATTAGATCATTAACTCTTCTTATCTCATGTGTGAACTCATCTAACTCATTACATACTATTTTTAAGGGTGAATATCAAAATATCTGTTTCATCAAATTTTAACAAATGAGACCCTGTATGAAACTGATGAAATGTAACCATCAAAATATCGTATCTTTAATTTATGTAGCAATTAAATTATATATATATATATATATATATATATATATATATATATATATATATCTGTTTATCTAGTCTGAATTGTAATAATTTACTCAGATAATAACATGTTATGGTTAACAATATAAACTGATATCAATCAGTGAATTGTTTATTTTGAAATTTTATTCTCTCCTCTCTCTCTCCCTCTATGGTTATCAAAATTTTCTCATTTCATTTAGTTGTATATATGAATTAATATATATATATATATATATATATATATATATATATATATATATATATGAGAGATAGTGGAGAAGATTCGTAGCTCAGGTGGATGATTTTGATGGAGTTTTGTTCTCTGAGCTGGATGGTTTGGTCGTAGAGCTTTATCGTTCTTCTGAACGACATCATCAGTACAAACTTCAGGTAGAAGTGATGTGTTCGAATTTTTCCATATGTGGTCCACAGCTTGTCCTGTACATCTCGATGTTGATTGGTTTTTATTGAAAATACGTTTGTGCTGATGATGTCGTTCAGAAGAAAGATGAAATCTCCACGACCAAGCCATCCAGCTCACAGAACAAAACTCCATCAATATATATATATTTATGCAATGAAAAGATTTTCATTGCTTCGATAATCAATTAATTGTGTGCACTTTTATTTATCTAAATAATGTTTCTCTTTCATAATAAATTTTTCTACAATTCATCTTAATTATATCATCATCTGATTGAAAATCATTAAAAAAAAGAGAGTTATTATTATTATTTATTGGTAATGATCCAATTTTCATGTTGGTTCGTTTTTTTTCTAATAAAAATAAACTAATGACTATTTTTCACCAAATAATGGTAATATTGAGAAAATTCTACATTTATCAATTTGTTTCATATAAGGCAATTTCATAATGATGTAACTAAAATAGTGTGGTTAATAAAACAAGTTTGCGTTTTTTATACTTTTAATGTGATTTTCGTTATATTATTAACATTTATTCTAATTATTATCATAGTTTGATACACTAGATTATAAATGATATCTGATATATGTATAAAGAATGATTAAACTATCATAATCATATCTAAATTGAAGTTATTACAAATCATTTTTGTATAATGTTAAAGATTTAGTCGTCAAATCAATGATTTTTATCTTCAATATTTTAAGTTATCAGTTATATTTCTTCATTATAATGCTATTTAGACTTTTAGATGAAGTTTTAATATCACTGGGAACTTGTGATTATTTAATGGCTCAACAAGTAATACATAAACTTAAATATTTTATTTCAACACACAAATATTGGTACAAGAGGGCACCAAATATATATGCGCCACACCATATTTGTGTGTGTAAGGTCTGTGATACTGACCGGGTGCCCAGACCGAACCAGGTGATTTTCTTAGGGAGCCACACCCCGAGCCTTTGACCTAAAGGTCTGACCCACAAGGCAGTGGAGCATCGTGAGGATATGCAGTCCCATGGTAGCCGGTGACCAACGATTGGTTCATACGCCATTTGTTCCTGCGGGATACTGGAGCCCATGTGCACCATTGGTTTGGGATCCGGTTAAAGCACCGGACATTCGCTTTTCGTCCTCTCATTTTTGTAAACAACACCCGTGGTGCGAGGCAGTGAGTAGGACTTCCCTGGCAGAGGCGGCTGTATACGCGTGGCCGTGTGAGAGTATTTCGAGAGGGAGGGCGGGCGCAGTGAATTATCGATCGAACCAAAGACGCGTAAAACACGTAAGAACGACCTAGAGTCCCGATTGGCCCTGCTCCCCTGTCTAGCCCAGCCAGTTAAGTCCAGAACGCAAGTCTCAGCCTCTGATATATGAATCATTGCATTTCAAGCATACTGCGTTTATACACCAATGAAACCGACCACAACGTACCAATAAAATATGAAACAACATTTGTATGAGAACTAGCCAGATGTGGCTGTGAATGAGGGAGGTTGCGATTAACAGACAGGGAATAATTCATGAATGGTAAATCGTATGATCATAGGTCAAAATAAAGCTCATAATAAGAGGGGCATGAATATGAACAGTTTAGTTACATAACAATTATACGCTAAAAACATACTCATAATATTGGTCCATAAATGGATCCCAAAAATTACCATTCATTATTCTTATCAGGGTACAACAAAATTTTAATGCATAATGTAGCAACACCAAATAATTAAATGCAGTTTTTGGAAAGTTTAATTGTTCGAAGGTTTCCTGGTTAAAAATACAATAATGTATAGGAGGTTATGGTCAGATCTTAATAGGTTAGTTCATATGTGTGTTTTCTTAATTCTCACTTCATTGTCTTAATTTTAATTTCATTGAATCAGTTTGTATGTGTATGCTTACGACTTTATTGATTTTCATGTTCATTTATCTGTGTTGTTTTTAAATATGCATACTTTAATTTCTTTCTTTTTACATTTTTGTTCGCACCACATATCTGTGGTATTATAACATTTTTTTATATATATTATAGATTTCTCATACTGTTGTCATAGTATTATCAGGGAAGGAATAAATGTGATTATAAAACGTTAGCCTACTTATCCTCTGTTTTACATGATTTATATAGTGACCGCGTGTATTGTCAAAAACAGGTTTTATCAAATTCTGTCTGTCTATGTACGTATGCATGTAAATGTGTAAATAATCATGTTGATTTATCGTCTTCATCCTAGGAACGTGAACACCATCCATCTGTAGGTGTTGCCCCTCAACGATCTGCCAATGGACGCCCACAATCATCTAGTCATCACTTTCCTCAACATTCACGACCTTTGAATAGTAGTCGTGGACCACCGGCATATAATCAGTCACAACAGCAAATGCATTCGAATCAACCGAAACTGGGTGTCCTAGCTGCTGGGAGTCGTCTAGCTGACGCGGGTGGTTCATCATCTTACGCTGCTACTAATACTACAGTCTCAGATACACCTACAGATAGCCAATCTGTAACTAACAATGAGGTTGTGTCCACGTCATCGTCAGTTAATAATCCGGTCACTACACCCTTATCAGTTATTGGTGCAGTTGGTGATAGTGGGCAACTTTCGCATCATTTTCCCCTACAACATCATAGAGCATCTGTGGTTAGTAGTCGTTGTTGTTCTCGTTGAACATTTCATTAAACTATGTGCTTTGACCTTTTCCCTCCTCATTTTTACTGCTGTGATTACAAAAGCTTATTTAGATAAAATGTATGCATTAAGGGAATTGGATAAGACACTTTTTGATCTCTAATTAGGATGTGTATATTCCATCAGTGATCATAATTGGAAAAAGTTAAATTAATTTGAAAGCTATTACTCATAATATAAAACATAATTAAATAGTCTTTACTAGTTTGTCAAGATTCAGCATGTTCTCTTGTGTTTAACACTTAGTTCAGGATTTTTTACTCGGAGTCATAATAAGTTGACTGAAGTATATCGATTAAACTTGATAAAGTTGTTTCCGTTCTCACGTAACAAGATTCTATGTACAGCTTGGTTACCTATTGTTTCCAGTTTTATTTAGTGAATTCCATACTACTCAGTAAGATTTTAGTAACTTCAGTTTAATTCATCAGATCTTATTTCTGAGTTAGCGTTTTATCTTTACAAGCAACTTCTATCGAAGTGCTTCACTATTTGCATAATCTGTTTTCTTATTCACTTTTTCTACTGACTAATTGTCAGTGGAATATAAGTTGTTTATTTCATTTCATCAGTATAATTTAAACATTAAAATATTCACAAATTGTGATTCAAAATCGAATCAAATTCATTTCATTGCATTGAGAAGTATCTTTATAAATCACAGATTAACTGATCGATAATTCATAACTCAAGATGTTGTTGCTGGACATTATCCTTCAGTTTACTTTTAGTATTTTTCTTCTTGTTTACTATACATTTCTTGTTATTATACATCGTTAGGTTTTCGTTAAATATTGTATTAAATATCGACCTTTTTTGTGTGATGTAGATTTTCTCTTAGATATTGTAGCTTGCTCATTTAATAACTAGAATATAGTTTTTCCTCTAAGTGAATTTCTCTTCAATGCAAACTTCTGTTTTTTTTATTTTGTTGAATTTGCTTCTTCTCAACATAAATTTATCTAATTGGAATTGTTTAGCGTTCAATTAAACTAGGTTTTCTGAAATGTGTTTGTAATTTGATGTATACATTATTAAAAAAATTCGTTATCATGAACTAATTCTTATAGATTAACTAAAACTAGTAGTTATTAGTTTATTCTATAATTATTATCATTAATAAGTCTAATGCCTATCAATGTTCTAAATTGATTACTATGTTCTAATTCGTTATATATATATATATATATATATATATATATATAATATACCTATTCATCTGTAGTCAATCTGTATTATAATTAAGACGTTCCAACACTGTAGACCATTTTACGTATCAATGCCAAGGTCGGACTTGATAGTTTCAAATAAGTTGAGCATTGGGTAGAAAGTTAAAAATAAATATATTTTTTTTTAGATGTTAATGAGTAGGGAATTGTATTTAAACCTGTATTAATTGGATTCGGTTATTCATTCACTCTGAAGAAGTGGCTTACCTAAAGTCCCGAAACGTCAGAAATACAATTTTCTACTCATCGGGATAAAAAATATATTTATTATAAGTGTAGAATACTAATTGTAATCAACAATTATGTACTAGTTAATTCAATATTGATCAGTAAAGCAGTTAACTTTTTGCCCTGAGTTCTAAAGGTCAGCCATTTATACTTTGTATTTAATCAATCAGTTTGTTGGCGAAGTTTTAGCTTAGTGTGTGTATCAAAACACTAACGATCTTAACGGTTTGTCCATAGAATGTAACTGATTTAATCCTAATTCTCGAGTATTGCTTATGTGAACGTTATTGCTTTCTGTCTATTTGCATCATGCTAAGTTATATTTTCATATAGTTTAACAAAAATGAGTGAATGACTTCTCTAGGAGTATAGTTATATATATAAAGTAACTATAGGGAGTTTGTTGAATTTTCTAGTTGGAGCCGTGGATACGCATTGCTGAAGAGTCGCATATTATGACGAAACAGTCATACAGTGCTTTCTAGTTTTAAATAGTTGTTTAATTAAATTTAGTCCGTAATGTTAGGTATAAAATATGCATAATTTTGTTAGTGAAATGAATCCTCAGAATAACTGGACAAATTTGTGTGTTCTAAAATATAGTAAGACTGTTGAGTGTAGCTAAATAGTTTCTGCACTCTTCAGTTAATCTCAATAAATCTATAATAAAAAATCATTGCATTTCGTTAACTTTCGTCAAATTGTACCATCATCAGTGTACACATTTGTTTATCACCCAGTATTGGTTTATTGGTCACAATTATCAATTGAATATAGTTTCAAATTCCTTAAATAGTTTATTAAATCTCGATATTTTGTATTACTAAGTGTCTACATGAGGATTTAACCGTTGAGGAATTCATTTATTCATGTTACTTTTTGTGTAGATGCAAAATGTGTTTTGTATTTTTGAGTATTTTTTCAGAACGTATTTTTGAGACGATTTTGATGAAATCCATAAATACATATCGTATTTTGACTAAAAATTTGCACGCTTTGTGAATGTTGTTAGGTCACACCGCATCCAATCACACTGGAAGTTTAAATACATCTTAGTAAAATTGCGCATAAAATTAAATTCAGAAAAATAATACGAAACCATTGTAAGGAATCCATTTTATGTAGACCCACTGTTCATGATAAGTATATCACTTTAATTTTATAACGTAAGTTGTCATTTTGTACAAGAATTATATGAGTTAAAGGAACCGATTTTATTAGGTTTACTGTAATATCTTTTTCTCTGTTGAGTATTCGCCCGTATTTTCGTGTCATATAGTTCATAAGGTTTAATATACATACAAAGTCAATAACCTTCTCTCGTCATTCCACTTTGTTTTCATTTCGTTGTTCTTTTTTCTTTCTGCATGTGTAAGTTTGTAATTTAAGTTTTTTCTTCTTTTTTCATGTATTATTGCTTGCTGTTTTTTGGCTTGACGCATGTTGATTATATTGATGGTGATGCTGGTACTATCTTTTGTAACAATTCATATGATACCTAATACTCATAGCCAAATCCTCCCAACTCTTTTCATCCGACTGTTGTTACTTCTTGTTCCTCATCGTCATCACCATCGATATTTTCAAATGATCATTTGGGCAATTTACTTATTTCACCATTTCGTGCAAAACTTGCCAATCCTGGTCCACCACCCATTCCACTTCATCAGCAGGTTCGTATTGGTAATTGTGGATTGAACGGGGGATTACATAATGCTTCAGGAGTGCAACATCAAACTGATGAAGTGAATGGTTCATCTAGTATAGTTGGCATGGGTAACCCTGCTAGTTCTCGTCTTCAGCACATTGTCGCACCGAAGTTTCCATCAACCCGTCCAACAAGTCAGGTATTTTAAATCTCTTATTTTTCCTGTTGAGTTCTCTAAATAATTATCATATAAACTATTTGTTTGTGTTTGGAAAATATCGTTTAGTAAAAAGTTATTTAATGTCTGTCTTTGTAATAGTGATGATACACTGTTGAAATATTTCAACTATTCTTTATACGGATAAATCCAAATATATCTTGAACAAAGTGGTTTCCAACTAACTATCGGGTGAATTTTAGAATTCTTATTATAATAAGTGACTAGTTAGATGAATCAGTTATGTTAATAATAAAATGAATGAATGTATGTGGCTTTGGTTTTTTATATAGCTGAAGACTGCTCTTAAATATACTAACAACTGTAGATTGTTGTGTTAAAATTATGTGATTGTGAACAATCTACCCTGCTATTTGATTTGTTAGGACTCAAAGACCATCATAACGTTCAACATTTAAAAGTAATAATATTCTCAGTCGTATTGTCAAAATACATTAATGAGCCTTCTGTCTCATTTTCACAATCTTGTTAGTAGAACTAATACTTACATGTAGTGAACATAATGCCTTCAACCATTTTTTTCCTTGTCAAAATTCACTACCACAATTCTATAATATTAAGAGAATACGTTTTTTAATCGAACTTCGATTTTGTGGCGAAAACTTCCACAAAATGAAAACAACAGTTATTAGTTAAACTGGAAAATAATTGTTTAGAATACAAAAGATTAATAGAATTTTGGAAATGATGCTGTTCATTCCTTATGTACACTAGACTATAATTAGTTATATTCATATGCCTATTCATATATGACCATTGTTCAATTTTATTATCTGCTAATTTAATATCCCTTTCCCTTTGATAGCGTTGATTTCTCTCAGTTAAATGATTTAATCAGGGAGCTTTCATTGTCATTCTGAACAAGATTTTCAGCCCCTACTTCATATTATTCCTTAAGTGTTATCAGTTCATTCCGATGGCCTCGTTTGTCACTTTCATATGAAGTAGGCTCGGAAAAATCTTGTCCAGAATTACAGTGAGAGCTCTATATTCGAACCATCTAATTCATAAAACTCTGCGTCACCAAAATGATCTCCCTGGGCTGAGAATTCCCTCCACTGTTTCAAAAATATCCTTTATCTCTTTGAACAGGCTGTACCACATTTAGATCTTCGTAAACCACCATTAGAATCAGCTTTACCCCAATCAATCATCACATCAACTAGTCCAGTTGCTAACCAACCCAAGTCATCGGTAAACACAAGTATATCGAGCCCTGTTAATCGGTCTAGTGGAGCTGCAATGGCTTTTGCTGTTACAACTAGTACTACCACGACTACAACAACATCAGTGCCGACTAGTACAACAACAATGACGACGGTGACGACAACAACAAGTGACGTTTTTAATTCTAACTTTGCTCGTCAATCAGCAACATCAAATTTACTATCTGGATTCAGCAATCGATCTCCAGCACACCAAATATCCTTACTTGGTGAAAATGGTTAGTTTTAATAGTTCTTTCAGAGTATTATTTGCGTGGATATGTATGTAAGCTTCATATAAACCTAAATACAATCCTCTCTGTAATAAAATTGTCTCCTAAATGTAGCAGCATATAAATACTTACAATTACTATCACGTAAAACTAAATATTAGTTCAATTGTCTGTCATAGTCAACATAGAGTCCTGGCATTAGTGTAATCCATGTCACCCAACTCCATTCACTGATCACTATAATCGCGCGTACCTCAACCAGACGGTATGCATCTACCAACATGATTCAGTCCAACAGTCACTGATATCATGGACTGATACCACCTTTTGATTTGGTTGCCTATAACTTTCTTCCAACCTACTTCTATGCAAGCAACCAGCTAATTTGTTAGTTAGATGAATTATCCTCAGTTTGAGCTATTAAGATCTGTTATCCTTAAAACTGTTTCCTACAGCCATAGAGGTATCGATGTTTCTATTCATTCGAAATTGCGATAAATAGGAAGGCTGTTGTTTTGTGAATATTAATAATTAATAAATACATATCCCAAACTAATCAAAAGTTATTAGATGACAAATGCCGTATCCCAACATTATAAAATGTTTTTATTTTCCCTCTAGTAGAATCTATCGTTTTTACAAGGAGTTATTATTGAACACGGAGAAAAAATGAGGGATTTGGATCATTTCTACTCATTGTCACTATTTAGTTCCGGGGACTTTAATCGTGGATTGTATTCTACCATTTATCATGCCTTTTGACGAGCTTTTATTGTCATGTCATAATAATAAATGAACGAAAGAGTAAATGCTCTATCGGTCAATGGAATTTATGTAGTGCCCTACTGGTGATTGCGCGCTAAAGCTAACCAGACGGCTACCAAAAATAAGTCAATTAGCCAAAAAGACTTATTATTAAATGAATAAATTATCCATTCCAAAACCAAGAATACACATGTTTGGAGAAATAGCGTGTTTATAAGTTATTATTATTATTATTAGAAGCTTTATTCGACATTATATTTTTGGTACAACATAGAATTCTCAGCATAAAGTATTTCAACAAGTTTCCTTTTCTTATACCTTGATCGATTGTGATCGATTGAATGATGACCAGTTAGATGTTAGAAGTTCGGTAATCCACATTTGATTACTGATCATTTGTTTCAATGCATATTGCCAGCAACCATGATGTCGCTGATTGTACCTATTTGTATCCCGTATAGCGAAAGGTTGTAAACTTTTCATAAACGCGCCTGAATAGGTTGTGCGCACAATAGACATAGTGATGTGCTAAAACGAACAACAAAACTGATAACTTGATGAAATATCTAGATCGGTGGAACAGGTAGCCCAGATATTCAAGCAGGCCACCGGTTGATTAATACTTAATCTAAGTTACACTCGAATGCGAGTATCCATTTTGTGGATAAAGTAAATCATATTGTTTATCGACTACACGCGCCATGCTTAGTATCCGAAGCCGTAAAAATAAGATAAGTTACCGACTTTCGATAAAGTACAGATGTGACTTTGTTTCTGACCGACCAGGTATCAAAATTCAGGTTAATATTCGACAATTGATATCTATTGAAATGGAAGTAATTTTGATAAAATGTTTTAATCATATCTGCTCATCAGTGGTTAATGTATGCTTTAAATGACTGTTTAGTTAAATTCTTATAAACTGCGGTCTAACCACATGGGTTATATTGTTTAGTTACTTTTTGTTAAAATTAAATTGATATTAATGTACGGGGATGGTTCACTAAGAATAACATAACATATCAGGTAATATTTAGTTGTAATTAAGGAGAGATGAAAATAAATGTAATCGAATTTCTCGACTTCACATTTGATTTTGATATTTAATTCAATTAGATACTCAAATTTAATACACGATATCATAATACTGTGAATAAGTTTCACTTTTATTATCTAAACACATTAAACTAACAAAAAATTTTTCTACCACATAAGGGTGTTAGTGTGTTTATTTGAATTAATGCTATCAATCGAAACATTAATAAGTTATATTTTACAAAATCTAACATGGTAAGACTTTAATTTATGGACGACCTTTGTGCAACGTCAAAATAACCTTAGAATGTTCACTTATCAAGGTTAAATGAAGATTATATATAAGTGTGAGGAATTAAGATTAGGATTCATAGTTGAATGTTAGGGCGAGGAATTAGAATGAACATTTTCATCATGAACTGACATCAGCTATAATGCCAAAATGGTATTTAGCCAAATGAGTGAATGAATTTCGCGCCAAAATCCAAGATCTGCTATCTTAAATATGATTTATTCGTCCATAAATTATAGTCTCTCTACTAACATTACTCATTCTACAATACAGTTAATGAAAAAACACAACAAAATGAACCAAATAAAGATAAATTCTGAAAATAGTCTTTCTTCCTTTATAACTGTAGCATAATCACTGTTAATTCTTTCTTTCTCTAAACCTTTGTTTCCATTATATTGATAGATAATAACATTTAAAAAAAAGGAATTAAATAGACTTACAAAAAATGACACAAACAGCTATTGAATTTTCGCTTTACTTTCAGTAAAATACATATTTTTTTTATTAAAAAAAAGATACATTGTGTTTCTCTCACTTTTATAGATGTGTAAGTTGAGCTCATTATTTTAAGAAAATATTTCATTCCTATTTACAATATTGATTTTTCTTTAATGATATCAATCGGAAATTATTGTATCATATTAAGTAACTATGCTTCATATGTTCCGTCTTGTAGTTTATCATCTTTTTTGTTTTACAATTTCAAGACTTAAAATGAGCTGCTTTATATTTTCGTTTCTTAAAATACCAACTTCATTTGAATGGTAGTCAAAATAAATGTTCTAAATAGAAAATATCAATCGGTATAGTTTATCCATTGAATATTGGTTTTTCTAGCTTACAATCTCTGTTTTTTAATCATGGATACCAAATAATTTTATGTAAAGTAGAAAAATGTCTAGATCCACCGTATTTAGACATGATATTGTTGTATGTAATTTTAAGTTATTTTTGTTAACTTTAAACGTGTATAATTACCGTTCATTATGTAATGAGAATATTAGGGGCTGACACAGATTCACACTTTATTTCATTATGCATAATAGGAATTTATTTTTATTCTTTCAATTAAGAAAACATATTTCTTCATTTCGCTTAAAATTTATTAATCTGTCTCAATTTTATCTGTTATTGGTTTTACTTATAACAATAATATTATGTATATTAAATTTTAACATAATTAATCGGATATATTTTTGTTTCTCCCCTTTCTCATCTACTCATTCTCATTTGTAATGAATTTCATTCGAACAATATAAATTCAATTATTTTATTAACAGTTTCAACTAAGAACATCACTACAACTGTCGCAAATAACAGTACATGTATAAGTAATAATCATAAAATGCATTCAAATCAACCTGAACTTCGTTCACGTGCAAGTAAACAATTGTCTAATCGTCAAAATTCAGGTGTTATCCCCCAAAAATTACATCATGCTCATCATTTACATCAGCAAAACAATCCAAATCACATAAGTAAAAAATCTGAGGTAAGATTTCACATTGTTCTTGTTCATTTAAACTTAATTTGTACAATCAGTCATTGTGTAGCTCAATAGCGTGATATATAATTAAACTTTTTTCAGGGGAAAACAGTTACCAGTAACATACAGTCATGTTTTACATACTGTATTGTAATAGTATAATATCCAGGTTGTAATTTATACTTGTATGTTTGTAATTAGAAATATTTATCTGTGGGATCAGAACTAGGTTACTGATTATAGCAAAGTATTCGCCAGAAGTTATTGTTTTGTATTCGATCAAGCGAGATGTGATATTTCAATAATTATAATGTTTATTTTATAATTTCCTCCGATTTTTCAGTCGATATGAGCTTAGGTTAATAACCGTGTTTAATATTACTAAATCACCTGCAATCCGTTAATCTGAAATTATAATTTAATTAGTCTTAATTTTTAACTATTTAAAAGATTCTAAGTCGATGACTATATCATGCTTTTTCATAAGCCGTACCAATACATAAGAATTCTGCAAGTTGAAAGTAATCGGTTACCTTTATAATTCACTTTTTGTTTATACTTTACACTTTGTACGAAGAAGAAATTGGCATAAATTAGTTTATATATTCGTGATGTACGAAATACAAAAGCCAGTATCTGTATAAATTTGCCTAGACAGTAATAATAATAATAATAATAATAATAATAATGATAATAATAGCAGCTTTATCATTTTAATATATGCTAACTTATGGTAAATGAATAGATTATATCGATTCAATTATATATGTTTAGTAATGACTTCAATATATTGTTTTCAAATATCATTCACTTTGTATTAATTTAATATGATGATACATGACAACCGGGTTAGAAATCAGTTCATTCATCAGTCCACGGGATATGGGGTTCATTTTTATTCATCGGTTTATTTTAAGACCTTATTTAGATTTAAGATTGTTATTTTTAAATGCAGATTCATTAAAAGTTTTTGTTTTAAAAAATATCTAAATCTAAATACCATACTTATTATAATCATATACTCAGCATTCCTCAATTTTCCATATTTCCTTCGAAATATATTTCTTATGCGTTATATCCCGATTACTACTACTACTACTTATATTATAATTGTTTTGGGCTTTGTGTTTTTCATTTTGTTCTAATTTCTATCCTCAGTATGTTTATGTGAAGTGTGACAGCTTGAACAACTACATTGTTTATGCTTAATAAATGAATGTATTTTAAAAAAATAATTATGATTCTCTTGAAAATTTCTCTTGATCTTAAAAAAAAATGTTCTGGTGGATATTTGTTTGTTGCTACAGCTGATGTAAAATAGTGTCCCTTAAACTTGATTTTCAAGTCTTTTTAAAGTATTATATCTTGTATATGCTTTCTTTTGTTTTATATAAAGTGCTTGCATCAGTTTCTTATTTGTGGTTTTTAGTTTATTAATTCCAGTACTAGTGGACGATCATCATATTTTTATTTCACATTGGGATTAGGGAAATAGTTTTTTTTACCTTTATTCCACTGAACATTCTTCAAAAGCATTTCTAATGGATTTAATGTAAAAGCAGTGATTTCGTCTACTGATAAAGAGTTGGAAAATTGTATGGAGAATTTGTAGTTTGTATTTCTTTAGATAGAATAACCGATTCAAAAATACTGAGGAATAATATACTTTAGATTTCAACACTGCTACTACACATAACAGTTCTAAATTTCTATATATTGTAGGACAGATGTTGTACACCATTGCACAGTAGTGCCATGTTAATATTGTTGTATTCTAAGTACCAAAGGGTTAGATAAGGGATTAGTTGATACATTACATTGATCAGAAATTGTCTTTTTTATAGGCATAAAAAGTCAATCATCACATGTTACCGGTGCATCTGATTACCTGGTTTTCCCAATAATCACGTCTTACGTATGAATTCACTTGTCTATGTATTAAGTAGTAATGTCTCTCACTACAGGTTATCTATAAAACTTGTAGATTTAGTGGGTAATCATGGTTCTCATTTGACTGTTTCAATGAATATAATTCTTTTTTCGTTTCATATAATATAAAGATATCGCGTCTTGAGGTAAGTGAACTTTGTGGTTTATGTATTGGCGTATATTTGCGAACATGTCTTTTTTTAATCAATTGTGTGTGTAAATGTATACGCGTATGTGTGTGTTTGTTTCATTAAATGATTGATAAGGTCAGATTAGCTTTTTTCATCGATCCAATCCGATTCGCTAAAGCCAGTCACACCCCTCCTCTTGCCGGACCCCATAGCCCTCATTCCAATTTTCTTGTATGCTCTATAATATGGTATGCTGTACATATGTACCCTTTTTCCTCCCTTCCTTTTACTCTAATTGCTTGACTTATCTAATTAGTTTTGACTAGAATGATTTTCCATAGATATTTGATTAGATTGCTTCATGAGTTAGATCTGTAAACTTTCCATTTTCTTATTTGCATTATCTTATTACAGTTTTACATTTATGTATGTTTTTTTAGAATATAATGTGAAACTAACATATGCCTTTCCCTTTTTTATCTTCTCCCTACTTTTGCTGCGCTTATCTTGCCCATTTTTGCATAATGTACGATTTCGTCGATGGCGGTACCTGTCTTTTACGGATCTGGATGGGTGGGGGTTATGTCATATAATACAATTTACTTTTGATGTTACTTTCTTGTCTTCGTATTCGTTCATCCTCGTTTCATTACGTTTTTGATGTATCACCATAATTTCATTTTCGGCTTGCAATTATCCACCTGTATGTGTATCGTTAATTCGGGTCACTGTGGTATTATACATCTGTTCATCATCTGCTATGTGTTCATCTTCCCTTCTCAAACCTTCATCTTCTTTCACTATATATCATATGGTAAATTATACTGTTCAATGAAACTGTCACAACAAACCGATTAATAAAAATGAATGTATTATCACTTCTGCTGTCATACTTCTATTATTTTGAATTGAAAAATTCTGAATGTTAAAACTTGTGTTGTCCCGTAATTTTGTTTTTTGTTGACACATGGTATCTATATAACATAAACACTGATTGTGTTTTCTTGTAAAAACCGATTGATATGGTAATGTTTTGGATGATAATCTGTCTGTTGGTGTTGTATATCTACACGAATATTATATATATCCATTTCTAAATAAAAACGGTCTATTTTTGTGGGTTGTTGGTTGGATCCACTTTTTGATGATAATAGTATGGAAAACGGAATACCTTATTAAAATCAATAGGAAAAGCATCATTATTACCTGTTCTAAGTAGTTCTGGTGTTAGTAATAGTATTGTCAATAATATTGTTACTAAAGTGGACACTATCTTGCCAACATTACAAACAAATAGTGAACCGACCATTTCTTCGTCATCACATATCGTTTCATCTTCATCTGCTTATTTATTAACTTCCTCTCCTTCAACGGTTGTTTCATCAACAGATATATCATCTGAGCATGTTAGTACGCAACAGTTTCATATTAATTTATTCCAATGGCTTAAACAAACTCAGTTGAATCCATCGTCTGCATCATTAGTTTATTTAAGAGAACAGCTCCGACAGAATTTATTCTCTCAGAGATCGCAGGACCACCAACTACAACAATCACAACAACATCATGGAACTGAATCAACTAAACCACTTCCTACAACATTAAACTTAATGACAAAAACAACATTAACTACTACATCAAATATTGTTCATCACTTCCCAAGGCAACAACAAACAAATGTATTGAATGTTTTCAGTCATTCAGATGAAACTGTACGAACTACTCAACCGTTAGTAGATAATGATTGGTTTGGGTCTAATGTTGACTTAATAGAAGTAAAAAATAATGATAATAACAATGACAATTTAACTGCTGCTGATTTATCATTTATTCAGACTATAACCTCTGAATCATTATCAACATCGCCAAAACCACCTCTAGGTCCAAGATTATTAAGGCGTAGACTACCAAAACCAAGACCAGATGAGTTTATTGTTGTTGAAGAAGGAGATGATGACGAAGAATTAATCGAGAGCGATCAAAATCCCACTTCAACATATCATTTTAACTTAGATGAGATCTCCCGCATTTATGACTCATCTATATCTGTTAACTGGGAAAAAATAGACTTTGTAAAAAATGAACCATCTCAACCTATTACTGAATGTAATAACTGTTTAAATGTAACTGAAGAGGATAATGATAGTCAAACAAAGCCTGAAGAAATGATTAGTTTACAATCGGTAGGATATTTTTCACTGTGTAGCATCTATGATGCATAAGTGTTATTATTATTATTCTAATGTTTTCCTGACTTACGTGCAATGTACATTCATTTAGATCATTTTCTCTCCCATTCATTTTCGTTGTTAGTATAGTTTGTGTGTTACTAATATTTTTTTCAAATAAATTGGTTTTAACTATTAAGATGCCTGTGATATATTCGTTCTATCATTATTATTATTATTATCATTGTCAATAAAATTTCAGTCCTGAATGAGTTATCAATGTTTATAGTACCCATTGTTTTATATTAGTACTACTGTTAGTAGTACCTATTTGACCTTTTGCTTCACTCTTCATATTGTGGTAACAGTATACATCATAGTTTTGTTCCTTGCGTACTTTGTTTAAATAGCTTTCAATGTTGTAATATGAACAAAAATATCGGTATTGTCTTTTACCATTATCGCAATATGGAATTATTCTCTTATTATTTTTTTATATTTTTTACTCCTGTAGGAACTTGATCAATTAGCCGCACAATTGACTAATTTAGGCGCTGTTTCACCTAGCCCTCATCGACAAAATAATCGAAATCAGTTGAATGGTAAATCCGACACAAAATCAAATGATAAACAACCATCATCATCACAACAACAACAACACTACCAGCAACAAAAATCTTATGAAAATAATGTAAAATCATCAACATCTAATGAATTAGTTACATCAATGGAATCAGTATGTGCGGTTGAAAAACGGAATCGATCTAGTTCACTTTCTTCAACATCATCATCATCTTCTTCGTCATCTACCACTAATTCTTCTATATCATCTGAATTTCACGGTAATGAGGGTTCACCAGTACATGTGGAAAATAAACATTCAACAAGCAACTCATCTACAATGAGTAGATCTCATTCTGTTGGTTCAAATCATGAATATCACACGTCAAGCACTTGTTCTTCATCCTCTGCTTCTACTATTTCTTCATGTGATTCTAATCAACGTAAAAATCATGAAAATGCGTGTCGAGTTATACTGAATGGAAAACGACATTCAGAAATAGATCCTCGTCGACTTACTGTTGTTGAGAATGTTCGTGTGTTGAATAACAATAACAACCAAATGAACCATAATACTAATGTTGATTCTAATGAGCTTGATGACTTAGATAGAATACAAAGAGATCCAGTACAATTCATCGCTTCTAATGATGACCAGATTGACGACTTTAACTATGGAGCTTACAACATACAGAATGATGAGGAAGATGACGAGGACACTGGAGGTGGAGGAGAGGAAGAGGAGGATGAAGATGAAGGTGATGTCATCGTTGTTGAAGAAGAAGAAGAGAATGGTGCTGATCTAGAAGAGGCTGAACAGTTAAGGGCTACTTTATCTATTGTTCGTACACGTCAAAGATCATCATGTGATGAATCGATAAGAAATGTTGATGGTGATGTTGGTAGTGCTGTTACAAATGAATCCTCATGCTATGTAGACGATGGAACGTTGTCCAATGCAGCAGTGAGATGGCATAAAGAGGGGACCTTGTAAGTTTTTTCTCTAATATTCATCTCTGTTGTACTAGTGTTTCTAGTAATATTTTTCCTCCTACAACATGTTCCCTTGAAATTAATTTTATTTATTTGATCATAACCTAATGAAATAGCCATAATTAGTTAGATAATTGATTACGCTGTATAATTGATTTTCATGCATGACTAATTTCATATTTGTTTTGTATTTTTCTTCCCACGTCCTATTCACTGTGTGCCTGTTTTTCTTTTTTTTGTCTTTCTGCAAATTCTTGCTTTTATATAACGCTACCGTAAATTCTTTTCGTATTTTATTCATGGAATAATCCCTTTAAAAACACAAAAACATAAATTGCTCTTATATGTAACTAACTTCACGCTAATTTAAAAAATATAATAACATTCTTTTTTTAATAATCCTCATTACTGAAGTGACAATGTGGTGCACTCAATAAATCTTATGCCTAATTCACCAATTATTCAGCCTCCACCGCTTCCTCCACGCTCTAAACGTCATTCTTTTTACTTAGAATCTCACTTTCCTAAACCTGTACACCGAACTGTTGTGGTTTCACCACCATGTCATATTTTGTTAGAGTTAGGTTCATCCAATCAGTCAAGACGTTATTCTGCACCAGGTCTTTCAATTTTAAAGTAAGTTATTTTTGCCATTAGTTTTTGGTTTGTTTTAGTTAAATGCGCCTATGTTCTGCATTCCTTGAATTATTTCCCCTACTATCATCACCATCACTACCAAAATTAACAAAGTCAACAACAATTAAAACGTCTTTTTTAAAACTTTAAAGTTTCATACTTTGAAGTGGTATTTACCCCATAATGTATGCATTTGTTTGGTTCAAACTATGTGTGCGTGTGTGTGTATATGTACTCATACAGTAAACGAACACCACACAAGCTAAGAGATTGTTTTTTCATCAATATTGTGTGATTACAATTATTGCTAACCATTATATTGAATTATTAACAAGTAGTTTTGCTCATTTGATCACTTTAATTCTAGTATTTATGTGTTTTTTTAAATGACTAGCGTACTATTTATGTATTCAGTGTTCCAATACTCGTTAGTTATTTTGAAATAATTTGTATTGCATTAATTTTTTTTGTGAATCATTCACCCCTAAATGTTTTGTTTAGTTTGAGGGTTTGATTTCTCGGTTCCCAGTCATTCGGTTGACGATTTGAAAACGACATTGTTTAGTTTTTGTTTAGGAAACCTAATAATCTATCAGTGATGTAACAATAAATATGGCTGTCTTATACATAAACTTGTATTTAGTTAGTGAATTTCACAATTTTTATCGGCGGTAGATCGTCTATAAACCGATGCTATTGAGAAAGCACTTGTTTATTAATGGTGATGTTCGATAGTATTTTAACCAAAATTGCAAAATTGTGACCGTTGGGACACAATTACTGTTACACAGTCTAGTTGTAACCACATGTGATTTATTAGCTTCAAATTTGAATTAATCTGTTAGTTTTTACTAAGAAGGCGGATATTTAAACTAAATTGATCCCTTCTTTATCATTTATTTATTGCTATTCTATTAGTAAGTTAACTTTAAAAAATAACAGAATATCTGACCATAATAAACTTGTTATTCTTTCTATATAATAAACAAGAGGGATCAATAAGATTTAGCCATCGAATGACCATGAATTTATTCATTCACAGTTTAGAATTAGGTAGGTTAATAGTTAAATATTCATCATCATCTTTTTTAGTGATAATACTCTGTTCTATAAGTTGAACAGTTTTCTTATGATCATTCTGTACTGTCATGTTAACCAACTAATATAACAGATAGTTTAAGATATTCTCTCTCTCAAGTATACTACGATATGTTAGTATGATTATAAGACTAGACATGTTATATCGGATCCGGATTCACGACCTAGAGTATAGGCTAAACAGTACTTTATTCCACTTAATTACGAGCAGTCATTTCCAGTGAGTTCGGAGTACAAATCAATGACAAGAGTGGAGATCGCAAATTTAATAGTCAGTAGGCTGTTTTTCCATGCTCAGTGACCAGTCATATCTTACTCCCACTACCAAATATCACCAACTAAATTTTGTAACGTTGTTTGGAATGGACAGTATCCTAATGGTAGAACTTCGTTACTTTGAACTACTGAATTGGAGGTTCAAATTCCAACCGACCTATTTCTATCCGGATAGACGGCTTATCTAACTAACCTGAGTAAAACAATATAAGGGTATAATAAGATATTTGTAATTGACCCATTCACCTGCGAGAATATAATAACACAAAAAGGATCCTATTACGTTACATATTAATTTCATCAATTCTATAACTTTGTTTATAATGTCCGATCTTGTCGATTATATCAATGGAGAAACGGAATTTCTAACTTTTAGTACAGTTAGTTTATTTTTCATAATGATAGAAGAACTGTTATACATTGTTGACACTCATGCACACAGTGATCTAAACCAATTTTTAAGGATTTCTTCCGTTCATATAAACTTCTTTTACTGTCCAAATGTTCGTATTATAAGGTATTAGAAATAAATCCCAGACTAGTCAAGCATAGATACAGACTCAACTTTGGGGAAAAATGAATTCATTGTTTATTTCTTTCATACACATTTAAAGTATCTTATTATTCTGCACTTGTTTTCTTCATCTATCTCTTCTCTGCGTACATGTTTATTTTTCTAAGAGACGTGTTAACTTACATCAGCGCATTTCTCAGTTAATTTCTAGTTTTTCTTGTATATTTGGGACAGAATTCTATTGCTTTTTTTTAGCTAACAGTAACTCATTATAAGGTCAGTAATTTTATTATTGTCATCTGCATATATATAACTGAAGAATATTTTTGCTGGTAATGATCAGAATTATTCAACGTTAGATAAGTTTTAATAGGTTTTTTTTTTCAACCTAATTCAATCAATAACCAACTCATTATAGTTACTAGTTGTGAATTGTTCCATTTTGTTTTATTACGAGGGTTCAGTTTGATTAATGTTAGTGCTTAGTTTTGTCTTACATAGAGTACCGATAGTTCAATTTAGTGGCTTGATAAGGTGTCTGATTCTATTTTACCAACTTTGATATAACTGACTAAACTGATCAGTTGGTAGTTAATGAAATTAAAATGGATTTTTTCCTAATTGTCTAATCTAACTTACACCAATTTTCTCGACGGTTTTATTTCTTCCTTGATTTTCCCTTCATGGTTTACTACACAGTCATTCGTTTTACATTATGTTTATTATTTTATACTACCGTTTTCAGTGATGACTTATAATGAAAAATAGAATTCGTTTTTCATCTCACCCCTCAGTTAGCTGCTTTTGAATGGTATTATGTTATGATAGAGCAACTTGTACCGCTTTTCAGTTAGAATCACTAAACCCTTGAGCTGTTAAATTCCAGAAGTACACCAATCAGCTTCCCATTAGTACTGAAACATCTCAATCTTCCCTTAAACATTTAATTTAATATTGTGTCGTTCATTTTTTCTGAATTTATCTGTAGTTTAAATTGGTTGTATCGTTTGGAAGTATTTCTTACGGGGAACATTCTTTCATATTATATGTGTCGTTAACATTGATATTTCACTGGATTGGTGATCAGTGAAAGATCTCAACAAGCTTTCATCTATTGCCTGCACAAATGCATAGATTGTATGAGGTCGTTAAAGATAATGCGTAACTATTCACATTCAAATTGATGCAAAATGAGTTGTGTTTTTTTTTCATTAACTTGTTACCCGATAAATTAATTGATTGAGTAGATCAGTGAATTCAACCGTATTTTTCTTGTATGATTACTTTATATACCAATATTTAATCTGAATGCTTTTTGTATTTTGTCTTATCCACCACAAATTTTCATGGGTTTGCCACTTCATCTATTTGTGTATACAACAGACCATCAGATGAATTTGCCAAAGAAACTTTATGCAGTTTAGCATCGATTATTGAGTCTACATCTGGGACAATTGACCGATCTGGATCTAATGTTAATCCATCAACTGGGAATAATAATGTTAAAGTAAGCTCGACTATCATTATTGCTATTATTTTCATTATATCAATTTACCATAATCCTTAAATCACTTTAGTTATTACGATTTGATCTACATCTTTTTTCTCATTTATCTATCTACTGTACTTCTCATAATTTGTTTTTTTGAAGTTGTTGTTAATTTTTAAAAAAATACATTTTCGATTGAAGCACCTTGTTATGTTAAAAGAAATAGTCTTCTTAGACTTTATGTTGCCGATTTACACAGTTAAATTTGTCTGTTTATATGTCAATTTTAGTTAGAGAACCTAAAACTACGAATAATCTACTTAGTATATATCAAATATTCTTTAATTCTCTTAAAACAAAACTAACGATAATCACAATCTGAAGTCAAATTATTGATAAGTTATTCGAAATCGTGTTGTTGAGAATGTTTTTCTTACGATAATGTAACGTCAACACATGAGGAGTATGTTCTGAGAAGTACACCTAATACAGTTGTGTTCCACTGTGTTCTGAAGACCAGTCAGTAGGTTTTCTGAATTTTATCTCATAAGAATATTAATAATAATAGTTTTATTTAATATGATACATAAGTCTACATTATGACATCTTCAGCTCATTGCAGAAAAATTTACTTCAGGCATGCTGGGAGTACTGTAAAAAAATGCAACGTTACTAAAGCCCCCTACATTTTCATATGATTCATACAACCAGGTCCCTAATAATGTAAACACCGGAGAATTGTAATAAGCGTTGTAACAAAAACGAAATTTTAAGCAATCCACCTAATTTATTTGGTATATCCAGATCATATTTAGGTAATTTTATAAACGTAAATTGATAATTCTTAGTTTGTTTTAAAATATGTTTGTAAGTATATTTATGGTTTTCAATAATATTTCCAGGTATATGCACGACAGTAGAAGCCAAATATTTTTATTGAGCATTGTAATCCACAGTTTGATCATTTCAATCAACTGTGTGTAGCTAAATAAATAAGAAAATATATACAATAATAAAATTCATAGTATCCGTAGCCTATAAATATAAGTATTATCTTAATTAATGTATATACCTTATCTTAATTGTTGCTGTGCAGCTATTCGTTTAAGCATACGACCCGATAATTTTGTTATATATGCATGTACAATCTTTCGTTGTTGAATTACAAAGCGATCCTTAGACACATTATTGATCCAGTATTGAACATTGAGTTGATCCAGATAAGATTTCTTTTCATAATAATTGCGTTTTAATGAATTTACTGGATTCCTGTAAAGTTAACATTTAGCATGAAGGATTTCATTTCAAATATTTTTAATCCTTTTAAAATGAGTAGCATACAAAATCTTCATGTAATTTTTTTATCTTCATAGTGAAATAATTTGTTTTGAATTAAAATTAGTTTGTGCATATTTTCATCAAAATAATCTATTCCATTCAAACCATACTTATTTTTTAAGTCTTTTATTTCTATCCAATCAATTTTAACAATTGACTATTTCGTACTTCTTGATTCTTTGATAAATGTAAACAGAACAAATCTTGATGTTCGTACTCTGTTTATTAAACCAACCATTTGACTTTGAAATGAAATTCACTTTTTTTTCTCTGTCTTACTAATCATAATTAAGTCAAGAACGCAATTAAAAAAGAATCTATTTCATAATTTTTCTCTACTCGTCCATAGTAGTCTAATTGTTTCATTGTTTATGAGATTATCCTTGCTAAACATTTCTCTATAACAGATAAAAATGATCAGTTTATATAAGAATACACGTGTATGTACATATTATACATATATATTCATGGATGGGGTTATATATACAATCATCATTTTCGTATACCGAAGTGTGTTACTTTTTATTATTTATTACATATAAATTCTGAAACAACTGGGCACCCCTCAAATGCTTTGCACCATTTAAATGTAGTATCATTGGGGTGTATAATAAAAACAGTGTAGGATTGGAGATACAATTCAGCTGAGAATACAATCACGAAAACTTTTTTGAATTAAACAAATTCCTCATACTTTTACGAAAAATGTAAAAGAAAACTACAGTAGGACTGTTACTGGCTTTTATTTTGAGCTGTTCACACATTATCACATAATGTAGGTTTGATCACAGCTCAGTACAATTAGCATCCGAGTGAAATAAACACAGATGTAATTCATAGATTTTATAAGGATTGGGTTTTAGCTAGTATTGAAATCTATGAGATAGGTCTCGTCGTTCTCGGACTCATCAACTGAATGTTCTTGGATTCCAGCGTTAGAGTTTTTGCACTAAGACTCACACCAACTATATTAAAAATTTGTGACTTGAAAGCAATATTGAGTGAATCCACTCAGAATACAAATACACCATCAGAGATTGATCAATTTCAGTTCAGAATATCAGCAATAGGAAATTGTACCTCATGCAAAGTATGTGGTAGATCGTTTGCGAAGTAAAAAAGAAAAGCTAATTTCAAAATATTTGAGAATATCTCGCTTCTATAGGAAGTTAGCAACTTCGCCAATAACTCAATGGTAACCTAGCTTTCTGTCTATGATACCCATGTTGAAATCATGAAGAGAATATCAAGTCCTACAAGATTGAGGAATACACCTTATTGACGAGTACCAAGTATCAAGAAACATAGGTCCAAATCTACCATTATGACCTTCAATGTTGAGTTTGATAAATTGGTGAGGAATAGACCATGTGACATCACTTTCTGTTCAGTAATATATAAGTGTAAATATTTATTCGCTTAAATACTTTTATTTCTTTTGTTTAGTACACTGTTTCAAATGGTTATCCAAACACAACTGATCTGTCTTCATGTACAGATAAGGTGAAAGTTACAAGTTCATCTCAAAATGTTTCACATATTGGTGTCCCGCATACATCGTCATCAAAATTAATTACAAATGAAAAAGAAGGTAATATAAATATTTCATTTATCATTAGTAAAAGTGAATATGTTAGAATATATCTAACCAATGACCATCGTTTGTATATCTATAGTTTATACAGTCATTTTACAGTCAACAAAATACATTCTAATGTTACAAGGATTTAGGTTTATCGATGTTGATTCAAGCACTTGACATTTAAAATAATACTATTAGTTATTTAGTATAATATCTACTTTCAATATTTGATATACGAGCTCATAAATAATTTTTCAAGTGATCCTTGTCCCTTAGTTATATGTATGTTTTTTTAAAAAAAAATTAATATTTGTTATATTCATTCCATATAATTTATGTATTAATACTCTGCCAACACTTTACCATTGAAATGTAAATTAAATTGGTCAATTCAGTATGTAAACAACGCTGCCCTAGAGAGATGCACTAACTTGTTTACAAATTCTTATATCGATTTTCTACTGTCCATTTATAATTTTGGATAGAGAGAAAATCATTGTGTGTTTTTATAAAAAACTATATACGTCATTTAATTATCATTAAATCTATTAAAAATTTAATGTTAAAGATACCAAGATAATGGTTTGATTTTTCGACAGATTATTTTAGGACGATGTTATGAAGAGATTGAAATTCTCAACTTTCAACCAATAGGTTCATCTCATCTACTTCGGTTTTTGTGGTAGTTGTGTGGTACAATTAGTCGCCATTCAACTAAAGTATAACTCAAATTCGAGTACATATCAACCTGTGCTTAATAAATGAGCTATGTTATAACTCCTAATGACTATGATGTTCCGTAAACTTTTTTGTTGAATAATAATAATAAATTAATTGTCATGCAAAATAACGTGAAAAGTACCAACATTTTTAGTTTATAAACCAGTGAATATCTTTGTAGCTGTTGGCGTTTGATAATTCTATGCCTTACAACAATTCCCATAAAGCCTTGATCACGTTCATCTATTTCTTTTTGGCTATCATTGTTATTGGATTTTAGTGAATTAAACTTTGAAATTACCAGCCGTCACTCATTTTAGAATTTCTATATGTGAATTAGTTGTTAAAGATACAAATAACTTAACGATGAGCAATATGCAATAGAAAATGAATTTCCTTCACGATAAAGGTCCACTTTTGTGCTACAATAAGCTAGTCACCGAGTTATAACTCATCGAATATTATTATCTAAAACTATCAAACATCAGTTCACCGCTTCCTAGTTTATCTGCTATATTGAGATTGTAATCGTGTAGCCTATTTATGAGATCAGTGTCCCACATAAGTACAGAATTTTGTGAATGGATTGTTGTTAATCGCTATTCATTTATACTTCACTTCCATTCTTCAGGATGTACAAAAATACAAGAAACTCGATCACCGTCACCACCACCACATTCTACAGATGCTACTTCTGCTGTTCTAGGCGGTCCGTATAACAAGCCATCATATCAACAAACTGATATATGTACAAATATACCGACCAACCAACATTCATTAGGACAATCCAACTTAGCTCATAAAACGAGTCCACAAATCTCTCCTCAGTCTGTAGTGATTACAGACTCAAATAAAGCACTTCCTAGTTCAGTTTGGTCAGTTCAAACAAACAATAATCTTGGTTCTCGAGTTTCAGAGCCAAGTCCACGTGGAGGTCAAAAATCGAAAACCCAGGTGATTAAACTTGACCTCTTTTTCTTACTTGAATGCATTAGAGTTGATATATTAAAAAAAACGTTTTCTACTTACCTTGTTATCGTCTGTCCTTTTATGACCTTCAGTTATTATTCGTTCTTTATTTATTGTATCAATAGACTATAAATTTATTTAAGGCTAAATATTTTAGAGCTCTAAGGAGATTTTTAATTTGTACTAAGTTGTTAAATAATTTTAGTGTTATATATCTCGAACTCTGTTGAACAGTTGCTGACACGTCTGACCATTTTGTCAAAAACCAATGTCAATAAATAAAGTGTATTAACACACACAAAATGGGACTTATAAAGTTAGCCATTTATACATAGTGAATACAGCTATGTCTGTTTCCTTTCATTAGCCCAGATTGTCTAGATACATTTCTTAATTATTGTATTTCAGGACAATTTTCGTCACAAATATTCATAGGTTAGTTAGTCATAAAGATTTAGTAGTTGCCATAATGGTATTTTGTCATATATACTCATCTTCAAATTTCAACTGATCAGTTGCAAAATCTAGTAATTTAGTGGATGGTATAGTATCTTTCAAGATGTTTATTCTGACGCATGCATATATTTATTTGTTGATCTGTAGAAAACACGACTCATTATTATCAATTCACGTGCAGTGATTTAACACGGTAGCTGCTTTCAAAAAAAGACATTCAAAATTCACGTAGACTGATTCCTTAAAAAAAATTTGAACAGTGTTACTATCATCAACTAGTACGTATTATAAAATTCATTGCTAGTAATAATTTTTTTAAAATACCAATATAACTAAATAACTAAGGATATCACATCCTCTTCTGCTGACGACTTGAACCGAACGAATAATGAGTTGTACATCATATGGATAGTATATATGTAATCTCCTTGATACAGTTTACACATACGTATTCCCATCTACTGGTTAAGTTTATAGTCATTTGAATAACATAAGTGGTATATCCAAACGAAGATTAAGTGAATGGTAGCTGCTAGAACTAATTATAAACCATTAATACATATATTTCTGTTGAGTAATTATTAAGTAACTAGATTACAATATATAATCGTATTCCTTTTTTTCTTATGCTTTCATTTGACCTAGTGACTACTGTTATACGACTTACCATTCATAATTTATTCCCAATTTATTAGTTACAGTCTCCTATACTCACAGCCACTTTTGTCTTGATATTGCCTAAGTATCGTTCTTCATTTTATGATGCGGTACTGTCCGGTTTCCTTGTATATAAACCAAGTGTGTCTGAAATATACGATTACCTTTTTTCTTTCTTTAAGAAAAGAAAATCCTCTCTTTCTTTATTTGTCTTTCTTTTCTTCTCTTCTGGATTTCCAGTTAGATATACAACTTTCACAGTCAAGTTCTAATCCTTCATCATCTAGCAACAGTGGTGGTTTAATCAAATCAATCGCTTTGCCTAATTCATTATGTGGTAATTTACTGAATTTTAATTTACCATCAATTAGTACAATAACAAGTACAGTTATTACAACTGGTTCATATTTATTACCTACAAGTATTAGCGGTGGTGCTGGTTGTATATCAACTGCTTCAAATAATATTTCAACAACAAATTCTAGTTTAAACAACAATGATACACCGGAAATACAAGTTTATAAAAAACGTTTTAATTCGGAAATTTTGTGTGCATCTATGTGGGGTGTAAATTTACTGATTGGTCTTGAAACGGGTCTTTCTTTATTAGATCGTAGTGGTGAAGGTCGTGGTAAGTCATTTAATCTATAGCAAATTCTGTAATATAGAAAGATTACTAAATATTATTTTTATTTTGGGACTTCATCACTCTCGTTGGAATGTGATCTTCATTGTTCTAAATGTTTTATAATAAAGTTGAGTTGCTTTGATTTTAATTACAGTTGCTTCGGTCTGGGCAGCCGGGCAGTATCACAACCCAAAACACAAATCAAGTGACTTGTGTGGTGCATATGTATTTGGTGCCCCTTTGTACCAATATTTATATGTTAAAATAAATAACAGTTGAGACAAATTTCAAAATCTATGGTTATTCCCAAGATATATATATATATATCTTATTGCATATGTACATGCATTATTATGTTACACAATCATGAAATTTTACATCAATAGAAATGTGTTGACTATAAACTGAAATTGTCCGAAACTACTTGACGAGTACTGCTGAGCAGACCCACACTAGGACGAAATAGATGCGTAATTTGTCCTGGTTTCCAATAGTTATCTGAATAAAACCAGTTGATGATGTAAACGATAAACGTCTTTAGGTGTGTATTATTCAGTTTAAACTCAAATTTTGTGTTCTCTAACTTCATCTTCCTGAAGTTTTATTCCAGTGAAGATCAGTTAGATGAGCATGAGATGTGTTATTTGTGTATAACAAAGCAGGTTTGTTTCTGATTTCAAAATGAATTCGTCGTTTGATCATTTTATTTGCAATAAAGTAGAACGTAATGGCTCATTTCTTTTTTTAGGAGTAATTTTTCATATGGTTATAAAGTATGCAAAAATAGTAAAGACGTGTTTTATTTATAAATAAAGCGCAATCTGCGAGTGCGGACTCTAGACATTTCGTGAGTATATTGATAAAATCCTCAATATTTATTGGATTTTGGGAGAAAAATATGTTATTTTCGAGGATCTGATATAAATCTCTTCATTTTGTTAATCTTTTGTCGTTGCTGTGCGTTGACCTATTGTTTGTTGAGATACGCTTATTGCATAAATCGTTGGAATGGAATAATATTCCACTGAATTTTGAGTGTTCATTTGAAAATTTGACAGATTTTTTAAAGTAAAAACTTACAAAATACGCAACTTTGTACGTTTTCCTTTATTTAAACTTATATGATGTAACTAAAAAATGTAGTTGAGTGGATTTTTCCTTCAATCAATGACGACTTATATGCTTTGATCGTGCATTTTTATGTGAAAATATCATTACTCATAGAACTGCAGCTTAATTATAGTACGTATCAATGAAAATAGGTATTTCATTATTCATGCTACTTATTAGCTTTGACGCTATGTTTAATCTTTTCTACTAACACTGATACTGTGAGTCTTTCTACTACTGTAACATTTATCTTGATAATTGTTCGTGATTTTGCTGATATGATACTTTGACTTTATCTGATCCAGATTCTTTGTTGGTTATTACTGACTAACTCTCTGATTAACTTTGAAGTAGTTTATACAACTATGTAACATGATCACTAAAAATTCACCGCTATTCAATTCAATTTATTTTTATTAGTGTCATCTATTGTTTTTATAAAATAATCAGAATGGATTTATTTCCAAAAGTACTTGGCTAACTCATTTTGTTTGATACACAATCTATAATCTCTTTAAATGTAGATAGAAATATGCTCTACATTATTGTGTTCCAGGTTTTATGTTTTTTCATTTATTGTATAGAAACTCTGCTACATTAATGACCCGTGAAAGAAAACTGACTTTCGGGTTGTATTTAATGTATACCGTTAAACTCGTGATTCTAGAACAGTATTTTTTTCAGTTAATAAAACCACATTTAAAATTCGATGTTCTTTTTTCACCCATCTATTTTGTTTTCATTTTACTTTTTTCCCGATCAAAATTTTGTAGTTTATTCTTTAATTACAAGACGAAGATTTTCAAGGATGGCTGTTTTAGAAGGTCAGAATATTTTAGTTACTATATCTGGACGTAAAAATCGTGTACGCGTGTACTATTTATCTTGGCTTCGTAGTAAAATTATGAAAACGGAAGGAGTAAGTAAATTATAGTGTTCTTTGAATGTTTAGTATACAATAATATGAATCTGTCATTTTGTTCTGCTGACTAGCATAAAAGAGCAGCTTGAGAAAATTTCCAAAGGGAGATCAGACTAAGTCATTGATTATTCGTCTGAACCATGATGGGAGTTACAAACTTTCCTGGTTAGTGTCTGTTAGACGGTACATACTTGGAGATTTTAGATAATAACTTAAAGTCGGTCATAATGGTATAGACAGATCAACTTTTTATTATTCTCTAAGTCTTAGGTCTGAGTATTCAACTATTTTTATTTCGTAACATTTCTTTTCGAAGTATATCCTTTTGAAGGACTTCTCAATCATACACATTATTAGAAATCAAATCAAAAAATTTTCAATTCCTTGGTTATCTACACTAAAACATATTACACAAATATTAGGTTACCAGTTGATTGAAACTGAAAATGGAACTTACTATAATGAAAATAATCATCTTCAAACTCTGAAGTTATTGAATTCTCCGCAATGAATGGTGTGTGACGCACCTTAACCACTTTTCCTATTAAAAGTAAAATTATTTTTAGACTATTATCGGTTTTTCTTTCAATACTGAACTGTAACGAAGCGTGTCAGCTGAACTTCAAGTTAACTTATGAATTTTTAAACATTACTCAACATTTGCATAAGCAGATCGATTACTAACGTTTCATTTTCTTTTAACTAGTGTGACAAGAAGAATGGTTGGGTTAATGTCGGTGAAAATTTACAAGGTGCTATACATTTTAAAATTGGTAAGTCCGATTCTCAATGTTTCATGTATATATACACGATTGTATCCTCTGCGTTACTGTTTAGTGAATGTTACACTCCCTTATTTTTCTTATTGAAATATAATTTATACTGGTCATCTCAGTATATATACATATATATATATCGTACGGTCCCAGATGTCTTAGGTCCCTTAATAGTGCTTATATCGATCTTGTGTTATCCATATATAATTTTGTGTTTTTAGAGAATTGTTTTCGAAAATTTAGCCACTTTCCGAATATATCCTAAAAACTGAGACGTTACTGACCTATTGGTTCTATAAACATAGTCGCTCCGAATATTCTGTATGTTGGATGATTTTCACCTTTATGATATTATATGCACTGTTTAGCTGAATAATAGAACTTTATTTGTTATGCAAGATGATATAAGACGTGATGTGAATGTTTTGGAAATGATTGATCTATGTTGTTACCACACGCGGAGTCCAAGACATGCTAATACACAAGACTTACTATACAACAGTATGGATGCTTCTTATGATGTTAGTTTTTGCTTAAGTTTTTCGGAAAAATAAAGCACAACAATTTTTTTTAACCAGTAACAGTTTAATTTGTTTTCTTCTTTTTCACTCCTTTCGATTTTTTAAAATTTCTTTTCACAGTAAAATATGAAAAAATTAAATTCCTTGTCATCGCATTGAGAGATTCTGTAGAGATTTATGCTTGGGCACCTCGTCCATATCATAAATTTATGGCTTTCAAAGTAAGTTTTCATTATAACCAAATCTTATTAGTATTTCTAATTTAACTGGACATTATTTTGTGAATTAAACAATATGACGAGTAGATCATAACATTGAATGAATTTTGTGATCAAACAGTGAAACGCAAATGTTTTATTTAAATGAGGAGGGCAGTTAATAGAGTTTTGTGTGTGAAAAATATTAGAGGAATTCTAAAAATAGTCACTTCATTGGTTTTTGTTTTGGACCCTAATGCGAGAGAGTCACAGGAAAATGGTTGTTACTGTAGGTAATTTGGCCTATAATAAATTGAAATAGAAATACATTTATTTATTTTATCTAAATAGTTGAACAATTTCTATTCAACATACACTTAACCTTCAGCCTTCTTGTTTTGGTGTTTTTTCCAAATATTCTCAAGTCTTTTAATCCCTCTTTCAGTTTTCTCTGTGTTTTTTTTTTTTGAAGTGTGATGTTTTTGTGCATAGCACTTTGTATTTGGTATTTGAGTTGGTCGGCCAATAATATATTTCGCTCATCAAATAAGCTTTTAAATTACGCACAAGTTTTCTTATTAGCTGGGATCGCATATTACTCATTCTGGACCCCGGTTATGTATATGCAGTAGTAATGTTATAATTAGATATCCTGGATTTTAGAGTATTTATTGCTGGAGTATTCTGGACTAAGAGAAGCTGATTAGTACTCAGGGCTCTCTAGTTCCCAGCAAAATTTTTTCGTATATTCATCAGTGATGTAAAACTGTAGTAGAGTGAATTTGAATTATTAAATTCTGCAATCTACACAAACCTTCCTGTACTAATAATAATCATATGCTCACCGGTGGCTAGGTTCCAGATGCAATTCTCGCAGTTTTAGTGGGAAGCCATAACTAGTGGAGTTCAACATTGTCCTGTATGATATAGTTGTCCACTACAGGCAATCGAAAATGGTCAGTCAGTATCGCTAATCTATTTTAGTCAAACATGTACATCATCGGATGTCGGCTTAATGATCTAAAGGTTGAACGCTCGCAAACGAAACCGAAGGCCATGGGTTCGGTTCCAGGTGGGGTTGTAAATGAGCACTGTTGATGAATTCCATACTAAACTGACAAAGCTATCAAGTCGTTCCTGGTTTTCAGTAGTTGTTTAGCTAGACTCAGGTCGATTCAAACTATAAAAATTCTGCTATGTCCGCAAACCTAGCTATACTAATTAAAACACTGTAATGACTTAATCTTACGTGATATTTCACCCTCCCTAGTGAATACTTTCAGTAGATTTTTTCATAGATAATTGGATACTATGATAGCCTTTTATGATAAGTTTGTGATAGAAAAGGAAACTTATTCAATAAATGTGAGATAACAATGGTGAATGTTCATTTTCTATAATTGATCAACTGAACTATTTGACCATTATAATAAACATGCTTCAATGTCATTCCACTAAATTACCCCAATCGCTGTCTTGATTTCTTGTCGATCACATTCACAGAAATTGTATTATTATTATTATTATTATTATTATTATTATTATTATTATTATTATTATTATTATTATTATTATTATTATTATTATTATTATTATTAGTTAAATATGTGTTATATATTTTATAGGACTATCTGTCGTATTTTTATTTCCCTTGTATTTCTTCTTCATTTTTCACCAGAGATTCTCTGAACTCAAACATCGGCCATTACTGGTAGATTTAACCGTTGAAGAGAACACCCGTTTAAAAGTTGTATATGGTTCATCTGATGGTTTTCATGCTATTGACTTGGATTCAAATATAGTATTCGACTTATATATGCCTTCTTTGGTAGGATATCGTTTTGTAAACTTGTTTACTATACAATAATTAGGTATATGTGTGCATGAGTCATCTGGCATTTACCATAAATTTGTGCTTCTGATAAAGATGCAAACATTTTTCAAATCTATGCTAGATTTCTTACATAAATAAAAGTAATAATGAGGGAGTCTAAGTTTTATTTTCGCAAATAGTGATTTTTTTTCATGTGAACACTGGGGATTGGTGTATTTCATTAAAAAGTTATTGTTATAAAAAAGTAATATCTTGCCTATCCGAACTATGTAAGAAAAAATAGCAGCTTATATCTATGTAGTGTGACATCATACATTAACTGAAATGACCGCAACATCATGTGGTATTTGGAAGCTAATCCAGCAGGACAACAGCGGATTATCATAGCATTCATACCTGTTTAATTATCATACAAAAATTTATCGTGAGAAAAGAGACTTAACAAAACAGTTATTTGATGAAAACTTATTCATTAGTCTAATTTCTAAAGAAATCGACCGCGTAATCGAATTTGATTACGTTCAAAATTGCAAATCTCTTGTCTTGTTGAATGTTTTTGTAAGATAGTGACTGTTCCACCCCCCCCCCTAAAGTATTAATTTTAAATTCCTTTTTTTTTTGCTTTTTCCTTGTTTTATATTTAGATTAATTCACATATTACTCCTCATTGTATAGTAGTACTTCCTAATACAGGTGGTATGCAGTTACTTTTATGCTACGACAGTAAGTTTTATTTATACTCATGTATTACTATCGATTTATTAGTTCACATTTCATTGTCCCACAATAGTAAATTTTTAGTGTTTATAGATTAAATGAAAGCAAACTGTCTGGGACTTGTCAGCCATATTCATTTGTATTCCATGAAATATCGGCGTTTTCGCTAAGACTATTTACATAGAACACTGTAAGCCATCAAATTGGTTTGTAACTTCCCAGTACTGTGACTATTTTTCCTTCTGAATTTCTTACAGTCACATTTCACTGAAAACAGTTTAATCTTGGAATTGATGTATTTTATTTGCCAACATTGGAACTTTTCATATTTGTCAGTGGTTCTTCGCTCTATCTATCAAGAATAAAGACCATCGTCAGAACAATAACAGTTACATTAAGTAAAAACTTGCATTTAATCCATTTTCTTATGATCAGCACCTTTCACAGAGTAACATGGACTTACTGTAAAACCGCTTTCTTGCATCGATTTTCTTTTTAGCTGAAGGTGTTTATGTAGATACTAATGGAAAACTAACAAAAAATATCGTTATCCAATGGGGTGAAGTTCCAACTTGTGTAGCCTATATATCTACCGGTCAATTACTTGGTTGGGGTTTAAAAGCTATTGAAGTTAGATCAGCTGAAACTGGACACTTAGATGGAGTATTCATGCATAAACGTGAACAGAAATTCAAATTTCTTTGTGAACGTAATGATAAGGTTAGTTGTTTTATTGATTCACTTGGAAAGAACGTATGATTTCATATTGAATTAGATATTCAAGCAAGATAATATCATATGGGCCTGTTGTACAATTCAAGAATTCTGCTTAGATCATTCCATGTATATTAGATATGATCATTAAACTGAAGAATATTTTTAATAAATCCAAAGACTTTTTTCTACAAAAGTGCCCTAAAATGTGTAGTCATTATTTTACACTAAAAGTGTTACAGATGATAGTCTTCTAAATTTATTTTTCTATCTAAAAGTCCTAATTGTTTAAAATTAACTGTACCATTCTTTCAGAACAAGTTATCGTCTTGGATGTATCCGCATCAAACTAATTCTTCTAGAATGGTTTAACTGAAAACTTGGGACGCTTTCTGAACTTTACAATTATAATGATGAACTAAAACTATTAAAAGAAATGAAACTCTTTTGCTTATTAATTTGTTCAGAGTGCATACTTAGCTTTACGATGGCACACTTGATTGACGAAGTAGTGAAATGACCACAGGTAACAAAACTGATAATTCCAGTCGAACAGGTTTTTAAAAACAGAATCATAGGCTGGTCGAGTAAGACTAAATCTCTGAATCCCTTAGCAAATGTTCACCCGTGAAATTACTATGACTACTTCAGAACGCTTAATATAGAAGCCATCAAATTTTTAGTTGTCTGTGTAAAACAGACTCTATACGTCAATATAAAAGCGCTTACTTGGAGAGTCAGGACTAGATATCTCTTGGTAGACACTAACTATCCTTCAAATAAGCATGAGGTAATACTCAATTCTTTTATTTATGTCGTTAAATATTCTAAATAAATATAACTTTTATTCTTTAAGAAATGCGACAACATATCTAATCTATCAAGATAATTTGTTTACATTACTACAGGTATTTTTCTCGAATACACGGTCTGGGCCACCCCAAGTATCTATGATGACCCTTAGTGGTATACACTGGTAATAAATTAACTTGACTTTTCATGTCTACAGTTTTTCTTGATGATTTTTAAACTGAGCACCACCAACACTACTACGCATCCTGACACCCATACAATACAGAGAAATCGATATCTTAATATTATTTAACTAATGCAAAATTACTACTATACCTTAATTTAATGTCTGACAATGCATTTCTGTTTAAATGTATTGTTGTAATGGTAAATGACAGTGATTCTGAGTAAGAAGAAATGATAACTTTCCAACAAATTTATCTCATTTTAGTCTACAGTATTGTCCAAATAAACGTGCAAAAACATTTTCTCTCCTAATTTTATGCATAATTTACAGTTTTCTTCCAAATGACCTTTATTTGCGCATTTTCTTTGGATTGTGTACATTATCGTTGCTAATATTAACCCGCATGAATGGATATCAATTTTGAAATGTTCTACATATTCATTATTATTTGCCAGTAAATAAAAACACTACACAATGTATCCTAATCTGTGCTATGTATGTGATGAAAGCTTATTCTTTATTAATCTTTTTTTTGTTCTTATTCAGTACTATGTTATATATACAAATGAATTTAGGAAAATTTGATTTGTAGTTGTGAATTGTTTTAGAAATTTTTACTTCGAATTGTAACAATAACCTCAATTCCTTTCCTCCTATATTATATTGAACTACTTTGATATATCCATCTTTCTAGGTGCATATATGACCATATATTCTTAACTGTATCAGTTTTGGTTAGTGCTATTCATTTCCTGTTCATATTATCTAGAGGTTATTAGAATTTGACATATACGTTATTGTTATCAATCAATCATTCGTTTATCTACTGCTCTCAGATAATAGTATGGATAATCTTGCTTAACGAATATTCACTTCTCCTTTAAGTTTTACACATTTTTCACTATTATTTTCAATCCATGAGGGATGATGATAGGTTTGTTACACACACACACACACACACACACACACACACACACACAAATATTTAGCATGTTTTGCTCCTTTCAGTGTTTCTTAATTTGAACTCTTGATAACAGTTTTCATTTCTTCTTATTTTTTTTAAAACAAAGTTGTTCATGCTTATTATCCTATTTGTCTCGTTTGTATTATTGTTAACATTCAGTATTTAAATGAATTGTATGAACAAATTTTATATATGCGAGGTAGTGTGAGAGCAAAGCAAATGATTCACATACTGAAGAGGTTTCTTTGTGTACTTTTTCGTTGGAAGGGATTTTGCATCAATCAACAAGAAATAAGATCTATTAGCTCAGTGGTTTTCCAAGTTTTATTGTTTATTTCTTTAAATATTGACAATTAAGTCGTTTAAAAGTATAGTCCATGAACTGAAGATCAGATGTTTGAGGAGATTAATCTTGTTTACACTATAGACTATGGTTCAATTGCGAAGCTTCCTATGTTGTTTTGGTCAATACTGCCGACCAATATTGGTGCCAATGAATGCTTCGCAATTAAAAGACCCAACTTAGAAGAGGGACAATCAAAAGGATCGGCCTGAGCTACAAGTATAGCTTCATCATACATGTTACACTCAACTCACATTCTCAAAATTTGATATCGATACCCATGTAGTGGTAATGTACTTTCGACCTATCGCAGGCAAATCTGTTCTACATAGCATGCATTTAAGTTATTTGCAGAAAAGTTCAGTAGACTTCAGCAAACATCACCTACACATTGCAAGTGATGAGTCGCATTGTTGTGCAAACGAGTTATTCCGATTGATGTATACTACACGAATAGTACGATTACTTTCATCAACTGTAAGCAACATTTTGTACGCTTCCGATACTAAGTCTATTTTAAATGGGATTTTTGATGGGACATTAATTAGTATCGCTTGCTGCAAACCTTACAATGAAGCTACATGACTACTTAGCAAAAATCTGCTTATTTAGTAATTATTACAATCGTTGCATTCGGAGAAATTAAACCTACAATAGTTAATAACACTGAAATCTAAAACGACAACGTGGATCGTCGGATTCTGAAATTGCTGAATTTTTGCTAGTTAAGTGAGATTATCCTCAATAAACAACTTGGAATTTGGGGTCCTAATCACTAATGGAAAGATTCAAACAATTGATACAAATTAATCTAGACTCAGCAGCTAAGTCGATTACGCGGTGGCATTTGAAGTGAATGGTACTGGATGAAAGCCAACTCTGCGATGAGTCCCGAACAAAACAACGCATGTTATCCATCCCACTTTTAGACACCACTCGACTGCTTATAATGCTTGTAACGTAATGACAATATCAGAGCAATCCGCAAATATGGTAAAGAAGACTGGTCAATTGCAGTCCTAAACATGAATGATATTTTAACAATACGAATGAATTTACTTAAGCACATAAACATTGGTACAAGGAGGCACCAAATAAACATGCGTCACACTTTGTCATTCGATTTGTGTGAGGGCTGGGTTACTGTCTGGATGCATCAACTGCAACAAATGGTTTTACTAGGGAGCCACTCCCCAAGCACTTAACCTACAGGTCTGGTCCACAAGGCAGTGGAGTAACTTTAGAAGATACAGTCCTATAGCAGCCAGTGACCAGGAGTAGGTTAATGCACTACTCGACCTTTCAGAATCCATGTGCACCACCGGTTTGAAATCAAGTTTCTAAAACTTCCGTTTTCATAGTACCTACCAACCCGATTTAGGCGCCGAATATCCGCTTCTCGTCCTCTCAATTTTCCGGCTTCGAGAAAGCAATGAACAGAACTTACATAGCGGTGGCCATATGAGAGAATTTCGAGAGGGGGTGGGTTCTCCCAACCCCACCATACTAGAGCACTTGGAGGATTGAAGTATGGGATCTTTTAGAAAGTAATAACAACTGAAAGCGTGTGATCACACTACGGATGTTTTTTAAAGGTCGACAAGATTTCGTGTGTTATATTTAATGTTAAACAGCTTTATTAATAAAAACTAGTGCATATGAACCTTCTGTAAAATCAAATTCCAAACTATGTAAAACCTTTCACAATTTTAAATTTCAAAATCAGTTGAAACTTAATGACATGGTTACTTGTCTTTTGTCGCAAATCTTTGACTATTAGCAAGGCAGTACTTAAGGCAGAGAAACACTAATACTTTACATTCCGGATTAAATTTGTCAAGGATCTGCTTAGATAGCTTTGAAATCATGGTATGGTGTCAGGAAGAGCTGCAAACTGCTGGTGAAGTAAGCCTGTGTTGTGAATGACTATTTAAATCATTGGACACTAAGTATTTCATTACTACTTGTGATTATTTTGTAATAGGGCATCATACTTCTGGTTTTGAATTCAGACGTTTTTGGGTCTTACTAGTTCATAGTACTTTTCAATTGTCATACTTTGTTAACAATGCTGCACAGCAAGCTAAATAAGCAGACAAACTGAAGAAGTACGAGCTTATTTCCCGTCGAGTGACCAAACATACAATTTTTGAATCTGATTACATTTCCATTTTTACAAACTAAAGGGGTGCATATACAATCCTGGATGTCTTAAAATTCATTGATACTAATATGAACATACTGATGATGAAATTGAAAAGTTAATAGTGAGAAAACTTTCTCCACTATAGTAACAATGGTTTTGCAGAGCATTAGGGATCGTCATACGCTTTTTCTTCGCATCCGTAATCTGTGAGATAGCTTAGGAACTTCGAAACTGATTTACCACTTTATTTTATATATTTAAACACATAAATATTGGTACGAGGAGGCATCAGATATATATGCACCGCAAAAGTCATTTGATTTGTGTGAGGGCTGGGGTACTGCCAAGACTCCCAAACCGAGGCAGGTGGTTCACTGAGGCACATGAGCAACGTCAGGAGATGCAGTCCCATGGCAGAAGGTGACCAACACTTACTTCATACACCTTCTGTTCCCTTAGGACCCTGGAGCCTACATGCACCATTGGTTTGGAATCAGGGTTTTCCAAATCCCCTAGGTGGATCGATCCTCCATATTCACCAACCCGGTTAAAGCACCGGACATTCGCTTTTCGTATTCCCTATTTCGTAAACAGCACCTCCTCCACGAGAATGCCGTGAGTAGGACTTCTCTGACAATGGCTGTATACGCGTGGACATATGAGTATTTCGAGAGTGGAGGCTGACTCTCCCCACTGTCAGTCGTACCAGGGCATTTATGGGCTACTGATTTACCAGTCTTTTAATAACAAATTAACATAACTATAGGCATGTCATGATGAAAATATTTTAATATTCTACGATAAAGTATTACAATTATGGTAGATTAAGGTTTTCATCAGTGATGGAAGCCAGATCAGAGTGAACTTTAGGATTCTCAGATTAACATGATCCTAAACATATTATAAATATAACTAGTTTATTACTGAACCTACACTAAGTGACTATATACAAGGCCATAAATTAACAGAAAAAGAACGAAAACCATATTAGATTATACAAATAGATTTTTTAACATTTTATTAAGTTCTCAAATATTTAGTACTGTCGACGAAGATGAAGGCGATTGTGGAAATTACCTTGAACACCAGTTACTAAATCCCAGTACTTTCTTTGTTCGTTTAAACGTCTCTCAGAATCGGCATTAGATCTATTCTGTATTAAGGCTTTGAAGTCTGGACGTCGTATTGAAACGCTCTTCTGTCCATTATCACGGTTTAATAATTTAGCTCCATCTGTAGCAGCCAAGTGTTGTTTATAAATTGTTCTCATCTTCCGATGACCTAGAACAGTACCAGATGGTAACCGTACTTCATAAACGTCTTCATCATCTGACTAGAATTCAATAGATAAGAGTATTGATTAGGAACTCAATGAGTCGTGATGAATTGTAAAATAAATTACTTAGAAATGATAAGATTATATACGAATAGCTATTTATCTTGCAGTAAATTTATACGGCGATTTAAAACTTGTCTGCAAAAAATACGAAAGAGGGTATGTATGTGAAGTGACGTTTCAAAATTAACTACATTTGATTTTTTCCAGGCAAAAATTACCATCTAATTTGTCTCTCTCTTCTAAATACGTGGAGTCATACTAATACGAACTAATGATAACTGTTCATACTTCCGTATCTCCAAACTGTCACTTTATTTATCTAGCGTATAGCCAGTCATATTGTGTCACAAAATCTTTCTTTATGAATATACAGGTAGATTAATTTTTGTTCCCAAAAGTAAGGTTATTACTAAATGTCTCGAAATGGAGAGGTTAAAAGAGCTAAAGATGAGAAGAAACCCACCGTTGTCCCGTGTATGAGATTGATACAAAAGTGAAAACAAGTAGGATTTTGGTTACTAATGTACAAATCTGATTAACTCAAGATTCTAGTTTACATGAATAAGCTCCTAGATAACTTGAGTAATTAAGCTTCGCTTTAATTCACCAATTAGGGATAAAAAACAACTTACAAGTATGAAAGATGGTGCAAGGACTGACTGATCGTAAAACTGACTAAACAGCTCACCACCTGCAAGAGCAGCTTTAGGGTAATTTATCTCGCAATCGTCATTTGACTCTTCTTCTGCCTTAGCTACCAATAATGCCACTTGGACTGGGTCTTCTACTCCATACCATACTTGTTTGTGGCCAGGTTTGTCCAACATATGACTGCGGACGGCAGACAGGGAGATCCGAGCATTGTCTGATCCTTCCACACAACTACCGTAAAACTGACGACCACAAGCCAAGCAACAGCGTTCTTCCCCCACAATACGTCCTAACTCAATTAACAACCCGGCAGGATCGGTTAATCTTTCTGGAAATGGAACACTAAATTTGTGCACATCGAACATGTGATTTAGGACACGTTTAGCTAAATCACTTTGTTTGGCACTATCAAGTGACTCATTTGGCAAATAATTCAGTGATATATAGCGGTCACAGAACAAACATGACCCCAGTGGTAATGGTTCTGTCAAACAGTCTTCTGCTGAAGGTTTAGTAGAACTGATGACTGTCTGCGTAGTTTTCCTAAAGACAACAGGAATAAGTATATATATATAATAATGATTGGATAGGTGCAAAAAACGTTCTGACAATAACGATCGATGTGGTTCAATAATTACTCTCCTTTATTAAACTCTTATTTTTTTAATCCCTTGATACTCATGAAAAATAATATGTACCAACAGTGATTTTGAATAAAGCGTCAGAAGAGTGCTGATATTTACGAGTTGAATCAAACTAATATTATGTATCTTTAAGGACCTTATACGCAAATCAAATGATTTGTGTGGTGCATATATATTTAGTAACTCAGCCTGTAGCTCTTCTAGAGTTACTGCCGGTCCCAAGCCCGGGTTGAAGAGGGTTGGGAATGGGGTTAGCGACCCCATCCTGTAAAAAACTAACTCGCTAAAAAAACGCTAACCAGAAAAAATAACTCAAACCATTAAAACTCTGCCCTGGGAGTTAGAAGGTCTTCATTTAGAAGAACGCCCCCGAATGCCCTGGTACGGCCGAGAGTGGGGAAAGTCCGCTCTCCCTCTCGAAATACTATCACACGGCCGCACGTATACAGCCTCTGCCAGGGAAGTCCTACTCATTGCCTTCTCGCACCACGGGTGTTGTTTACGAAAATGAGAGGACGAAAAGCGAATGTCCGGCGCTTTAACCGGATCCCAAACCAATGGTGCACATGGGCTCCAGTATCCCGCAGGAACAAATGGCGTATGAACCAATCGTTGGTCACCGGCTACCATGGGATTGCATCTCCTTCGTGCTCCACTGCCTTGTGGGTTAGACCTTTAGGTCAAAGGCTCGGGGAGTGGCCTCCTAAGATAACCACCTGCTTCGGTTTGGGCACCCGGGCAGTATCACAGCCCACACACAAATTGATGAACTCTCTATGCCTATGGAAATTACCTTTCTCGATTCGAAAAACAATCAACTGCTTCAAATTATTATCATTACAATTATTGTCATTATTAATACTATTATTATTATTATCACTATTATTGTCATTATTATTATTATTATTATTATTATTATTTTCCACATTATTCACCCTCTTTTATACTTATACAGCGGCTCGTCTTTGGTGGAAATTCGACTGTATCTAAACGTTCTCGAGTCACTGTCCGGTTGAAAATTGTATGTTACCGCCGAATACGAGGACTGAAGCAGTTTTTCTGAAAACACGTGCATCATTCAAACTGGCTGCCTTCAACGTTCGCACATTTATGCAGGTCGGACAACAGATAGGGCTGGCTATGTCTTTAGAAAGTCTTAATGTTGATGTTTGTTGTCTATCCGAGACCCGTATTCAAGACTCTGGCGAAGTACTACAAATTCGATCTCCATCTGTCGCTTCGAAAAGCTTGTTTTACGTGCGCTTATCCGGGGACCCTGTGGCATCTTCGTCTGGTCTTGCTGGCGTTTGTGTCGCACTAAGCGCTAGAGCTGAGGCAGCATTAGTCGATTGGATCCCCATTAACAGTCGGTTATGTGCTGTTAGATTAGAGAGTTCCATCAAAGTGAGAAGAAATCGGCGTGATAAACGATGTCTTTTCGTCATCTCCCCCTATGCCCCGACAGATTGCAGCCCGGATGCAATCAAGGATGAGTTTTACCACCAGTTATCTGTTCTTCTCCAGAAAGTGCGTTCGACAGATATTGTGGTACTAGCCGGAGACTTGAATGCTCAAGTCGGGCGTCTAGGTACAGAAGAGAGTCGTTTAGGTGGCCGATGGGGACTCGTTGGTCTCAGGTCAGATAACGGGGACCGTCTACTGCAACTTTGCACAGACCACAACCTGTTTCTGGCTAGCACTAACTCTCGGCACAGTCATCGCCGATGTGCCACCTGGCATCCTCCCTCTGCATCCCAAGCCTGGACTCAGATTGATGACATCGCGATCAGCTACCGCTGGCGTGGTTGTGTACAAGACTGCCGCTCCTTTTGGAGTACCTATCTGGACTCTGACCATGCCTTGGTCTGCGCCAATCTTGCCTTACTTTTCAGTGGACAACGAAGTGACCGCCATCAACGGATTGATATTAGCAAACTGGTTGCAACTTCTGTTGCAAGTAAGTATCGAACCGAGCTAGCCTCTAGGCTAGCTACCACTCCACCGAAAATTATAGATGAGCATTGGTTGCAATTGCATGACGCCATGAAAATGGCGGGTACAGTCAGTTGTGGGTTTGCGAAACGTCCCGCTTATAAGCACTGGGTTTCTGCAGGTTCCTTACAACTCATTGAAGCCCGTCGGTCTACTCCGGGTGACCGTGAGTTTGACCATAAACGAAGGATGTTACGTAAGGAAATTGGGCAAAGCTTGCGTAAGGACCGAGAAGCCTGGTGGTCGATGCGTGCTAATGAGCTGGAAGCAGCAGCTGCATCTGGTAACTACCGGAAGCTCTTCCAGCTCATCCGAGCCACTGGCAGCAAGAAGTCTGGTGTGAGCGAAGCAATCTGCGAGGATGATGGGATGCCAATCAATAACATCCA